ACCAAACATGTGCGTTAATTTCATCTTAATTCGGTACAAAATGCTTTCACCTTTTTTTTATGCAATTTATTAATGAATGCCGCGCAATGTCTAAATTAATTAGGCAACATTTGTATACCGCGGACAATAAAAAAACGGACATAAATTACGAGAGGATTCAATTTATTATAGAAATCGGCATTTCTGATATTGTCGTCGCAGATTATGCAAATGTTGCTCGGATTTTGGCGCAGCAGGTTTTTTCAATCGAAAAATGTAGGGCAATTGCAACAGTCGAGACTTGCTTTATAAGGTTCATTGCCACATCTCGAGTTACACGCCTTTCCGCATAGTTTCTTGTATTATTATCCAGACAATATCGACGTAATAAATCGCATATACAGTGTGACCAAAAAAGAAAATCCAAATATCAAAAAACTCAAAATTCAAAATGTTTCCCTGGTCGAATTTTGAGTAATTCATCGAGCTTGGAAACTACAATCTTCATTTTTGCACTTGATGGGAAACAGCAAAATTCAAATTTCAAAAATTCAAAAAACAAGACGATTCCATTTTCTTTTTAAATTGAGTGAAAGCATTTTGTTTTTTTTTTAGTTCATTTTGAGTAATCCGAGCTTGCAAATAACAATTTTCATTTTTGCATGTGGGAAACAGCAAAATTCAAATTTCAAAAATTCAAAAAGCAAGACAATTCTAATTTTTTTGAAATTGAGTGAAAGCATTTTGTTTTTTTGAGTAAATTTTGAAAAATCCGAGCTTGCAAATTACAATTTTCATTTTTGAATTTGGAAAACAGCAAAATTTCAATTTGGTTGGGGGAGGGGGTATTCCGTACCCCCCAGTGGTTTAGTGGTTCCCCTTCCTCAAAAACGATTAGTGTTATACGATAATATATATACCCATCAGGAAAAAAGGATACGACTGCCCTTTCCAAAAACGCAGTACCGGGGGGTCTGGGGAGGGGGGGGGGTATGGAATACCCCCCATCAAACGAAGATGGGATTACCTTTTCTAAAAAATTACCATGAAAGCGATAGGAGTAAAATAAATGGAATTTTCGAGTTCTATTTTGTCGAGAGCACCCTCTAATGGCTGGGGGGGAATTCCATACCCCCCAGACCCACCGGTGGTTTGCCCTTCCTCAAAAACGTTTAGTGTTCTACGATAATTTTTGAGAAAATGCCATCCAACTTAATACCCCGATCCTGTGAACGATGAAATATCCATCTGGAAAAAAGGATACGACTACCATTTCCCAAAAATGTAGTACCGGGGGGTCTGGAATACCCCCCAGCAAACGAAGATGGGATTACCTTTGCTAAAAAAATTACCATGAAAGCGATAGGGGTAAAAAAATGGAAATTTCGAGTTCTATTTTGTCGAGGGCACGCTCTAATGGCTGGGGGGGGGGGTATTCCATACCCCCCAAACTCCCCGGTGGTTTGCCCTTCCTCAAAAACGTGTAGTGTTCTACGATAATTTTTGAGAAAGTGCCATCCAACTTACCACCCCGATCCTGTGAAGTATGAAATACCCAAAGGATACAACTTTAATGTGGGCCAGACGGCCACTGAATTTCGCTACCTTAAGGGGGGGGGGCACGAATTATTTCCTGAGATGCGGTTTTTTGAAAGTAAAACGTAACTTTTTGCATACGATAACCAATTGGTCTCAGATTCTACATACGCATGCCTTTAATGGTGCCAAGTAAAACATTTGAAAATTGGGGGAGGGGGGCGTAAACACGCGTTCTGCCCTTCATGATATTATAATGAAATGTCTCATCGAAATAAATTGGTTTGTCAAAGTATAACCTTCCCGCGCGACTCTTTTTCGTCGAGATCTTCTTTCTTTCTGAGCTCATATCAAATGGGGAGGGGGGGGGGGAGGGGAACTGGTTTTATCCTTCATGGTACTCTAATGAAAGGTCTCAATGAAAGGAATTAATTTCTACTAACCATTGTCCTCCTCCTCGACCCCTTATCGATATATTCCCAGAACGGATTGTCTGGAAGCAATTGGTGATAGCAAAACGAATATCTCGAAAACGGTTTATCGGAGGAAAGTACTCTCAAAGGCAAAATGAATCGACTAGACGAAGCATATCGATTGGTGAAGTCGAAGCAAACACCTTCACAACAAAGTGTCTCGTTTGAAACTGCGTAATGACATTTGGTTTTCCTGTTCGAATGTTGAGTCATTCGAGATTGTAAATTTAAATTTTTGCATTCGATATCCAAATATAATTTGCTTAATTATAATTTTAATATTTCTCTGATAAGTCTCGGTCTATAATTATAGGCACTAAAACCTGTTTGCATTCGATAAATACGATTAAAAACGTTGAGAAGATGATATTAAGCAGTAAACATTGCAGATTATAAATTAATTATTCGGATTTTAATTTGGAGAAAGGTTAACGAAATCGATTGATTACTCATCACTCACCATTCATTGCCAACCGAACATTAATGCGATAAATGCAAGATTGTGTAATAGGAGGCTGAGTAATTTTTCTCAAAAGCATAGTCTCCTAGTAAGACCTCTCCAGAACTAATTGTACTAGGACCTAGATCCTGACAGACATTTTCTAACCAATTGATCTCTGATGATTCAAACTTCTGTTTTCCTATTTATCGTATCAGGATCGCAGACTTGCAATAACCTTCGCCCGAATTGCGTTTGTTTGATACAAAATTGCAGTAAAAGTCATTGGGGAAAAACATAATCAGACCTACTATACCTGTTCTCCTGATACAAATTTCAGAAATTAAAATTCCTTATTTCTGTGCTCCTGATGTTTTTATAACATATTGGTATTAGCAGACTATGAATGTTAGTGTCCTATGCCTTTCGCATTCATTCTGTAAGAAAAGTTGCTATCAGGAGAACAGTTTTTTTAGGGAATTTCCTGCTCCTGTTATAATATTCGGCGGCGATTACAGTAATAGCGTTAATAAACGGGAAATAGATTCGAATCGAAACAATTTGGGAGAAAGTAGAACATATTCAGGCAGTGACAGAGTCGAAAATTCACAAAACAGTGCTAAAACATAATAATTCCGTTAGAATTATTCAATCCGTATATGGAATTAACTCGAAAATTAATGACACGGCCCCAAGCGATTCTGAGAACTCGTTAGATAAGATCTGTCTCTCAACGCAATTTTAGAAATTTCATTCAAGAATGCCATGTCGCAACACATTAGCGTAAACGTGCGATTTTTTGTGTTGTTTAATAGTTACAGATATCTGTCCACGGTCATTATATAACTTTTGCGCCCACCCGAATACCGATTTGACAATTAATTTCCACTTCTATGCTCCTGATCTAAGAGATTTGGAGCCACAAGAATGCAAACTGTCGCTACTGTAGTTATAAGGATGGAAGATATGCAAATTGTTGGTGCATCTGTGCTCCTGATACATTTGGAAGGATTTGCGTTCGGGCAGGATCGCATAAATCTACAAGTCTAGGTGGAAGATTTAAAGCTCATTAATTTATTGCCAAGGCCAAAGCATTTATGTTAATGTATTTTAATGTAAATATTCCAAATGTTATTGCTATAATTAAATCTAGCGTTGTTTACCAACCCATTATTATAGCATATAGTAGCCTCTTACGACAGGCAGTGCGTACGATGAGGAAAAATCAGGAATGCCTTTCGCACTGATCAATGCGCTATGTCAATAGAAGAAAAAATATAGCTATAAACAAAAGAAATTCTACAATTTGCAATTAGTTTCAACGTAAATATCATGTCGTAAAAAAACATAAATAATTATTCATAGAAGGTATGGTTATTGAGTAATTTTTCAATGGTTTGCGACATTATAATCGATTATTTATAAACGTTATAATGCATTTTAGATGATTGATTTATTAATTTATGCAAATAAGAGCGTAGAACAAGATACTATGGAAATTTGTCGACCTATTATTGTAAACAAATTCTTCTTCTTCAAAATCGTTAACATTCCCCAAGGGGATAGCTGCTTACCATACAAGAATGTGTTCAGACTGTGAAGATAAGCAGCTGCACATCAATGCCAAGCGAACCGACGGCGAGTTAGGCACACATTCTATCCCCCTGATACAATTTATCTAGATCTTGAGGAAGAAGAATACAATTTTTGAAAAAGTGGGTTTACGGTCTGGAACTTTTTTCAGTAAAAATCAAGGAAGAAAGAGGAATTAGGGAAGAATGTGAAGATATTGATAGCGTTCGTTCGTATCTTTAAGTAAAAAGAGCGAAGATCTCGAGGAAGAAGAATGAAATCGGGAGTGTGTTTACGGTTTGGGACTTTTTTCAGTAAAAATCAAGGAAGAAAGAGGAATTAGGGAAGAATGTGAAGATATTGATAGCGTTCGTTCGCATCTTTAAGTAAAAAGAGCGAAGATCTCGAGGAAGAAGAATGGAATCGGGAGCGAGTTTACGGTTTGGGACTTTTTTCGGTAAAAATCAAGGAAGAAATAGGAATCAGGGAAGAATGTAAAGATATTGATAGCGTTCGTTCGCATCTGTAAGTAAAAAGAGCGAAGATCTTCAGGAAGAAGGATGAAATCGGAAGTGCGTTTACGGTTTGGGACTTTTTACTGTAAAAATCAAGGAAGAAATAGGAATTAGGGAAGAATGTGAAGATATCTCGTATATATACTTTAAGCAAAGAGTGAAGATCTTCACGATCACAATTGCATTTAAAAAAAGTGAGGTTGTTGGCTCTAAGGGTTTGATTCCTTGACCTTAGCGTCCGCCCTTGACTTGCAAACAAACAACCATGCAATTTCCCAACCACCAAACTAAAAAATAAACGTATTGTGATACGATTATTGCATTTCCAAAATTGTGTACACAACTTCAACAAACAAATGCACCCTTTTCCCACGTGGCATGTCAAAAATTGTGAAAGCATCACTCCCCTCCCCAATCAAATCAAAAGGGTTCAAAAGGTCACCGATTACACACAATTTTTATACAGCTTGACTCCGTTTCGATGGATCATTTGAAAAACCAGTGACGTTTTCTTCAAATTGAAGAAATGTTTGGCCAGTACAATTTACAGCGTAAGTGATTTTTTTCTGTTGTGCCTTGACCTACCTCGGCTTCTGCTTATTAAACTTGTAAAGTTCGCAATTTTTAACGAAACGCAGTCGTTGACGGAATAAACGGGGCGATTAAAAAATTGCGTCGCGACGTGCGTCAGTTCTCCCCCGTCTAACTTTCCAGTTCGCTAATTAAAAGTCGCCTTTTACTTGCCTTTTGCAATTGCGGGATGATATATTACAATTTTGTACTGATTCAGGTCGCGATTATGAAAGTGAGTTGAAAAAATGCGGTAGACTTCTGCTTCTTGTACTCTTTGATAAGTACCACCTTTCGTTTTGTTTGCGAGGTTCGGCGAGAGGGGAGGAATTTATGCCGAATTCGCCTCCGGCAACGATTTTCAAAAAGAAGAATGGGGGACCCAAAATTGAGTCGGTCTTTTGACTCATTTTAGTACCGAATGAACCAGGACAAACAACACTCTCTCAATATCTAACGAGATAAGAAAAATTCGACTCGGGTAAAAGTCAAAAAGGAGGATGTTCAACTTTGGATTCCCAAAAGGCTAATCAGAGGTACCAAAAATTAATCCACCTGCCCTCACCGTCGCCCAATTTTAATGCCGAATGGACCAGGACGAACGCTCTCTAAAAATCGAACGAGATAAGCAGAATTCAACCCGAAAAAAATTCAAAAAGGAGGATGTTCAACTTTGGATTCCAAAAAGGCTAATCAGAGGTACCAAAAATTAGTCCACCTGCCCTCGCCATCGCCCAATTTTAATGCCGAACGGACCAAGACGAACGCCCTCTAAAAATCTAACGAGATAGAGAATTCGACACGGGAAAACGTCAAAGTCACTGTGGATTCCAAAAAGGCTAAATCAGAGGTACCAAAAATCAGTAGATCTCTCCGCCTCGTCGTATAATTTTAATGCCGAATGAACCAGGACGAAAACTGAGAGAGACCCACGGGAATCAGATATTTATTGACATGCATCACGGCTGATTTTGTTTTAAATCACACGATCGGGATCGCAGAAATTCAAGGGCGTTTTATGTTCTCCTGATACGAATTGTGGTAGCAGGCACATAGAGATGCAAGACACATGCATTCTCACAAATTGCGCAACCCAAATTTAGATTTATGTGCAGAAAAGTGCTGTATCAAGGCCACAAACACGCAAGAAAACGCTGGATCAGGATCGCACAGGAGCAAGGAGATGAAACCCCTTGGCGCCCTATTTTCCCCTGATACAAGTTTTCTTCCCGCATTATGTACTTTTTTAAGAATAACTGTAGTATTAGAATCACAGGAAACGCGAGGAAGTATAAAATTCACCTCCTCCCTGCGCCTTACTTTCTACTGACAAATTTTCTTCACTCATTGTTATTTTTTTAAGAAAAACGGTGCTATTAGGATCACATGAGACGGAAGGAGGTATAAAATTCACTTCCTCGCGCATTATGTTCTTGTGATACATATTTCTCTGTGAGAAAGGGCTGGATCAGGACCGAACAGATGCAAAGATATCAAAATTTATTAACACATGCTTTCTGGCGCCCCATTTTCTCCTGATAAAAATTTTGAAAACGTTCTTATTTAAAAAAAAACGGTTGTATTAGGATCACAGGAGACGCATGGAGGTGTCAAATTCACCTTCTCTCACCCCTGATATGTACTTTTCTTTGAGAAAACAATGTATCAGGATCACACAGGAACAAAGAGATGAAAATTTACTGACAGACACCTTCGGGCGCCCTATTTTCCAATGATACAAATTTTCTTCGCGCATTTAGTTCTTTTTTTTAAAGAAAAACGGTTGTATTAGGATCGCAGGAGACGCAAGGGGGTGTACAATTTACCTCCTCTCACATTATTTTCCCCTGATATATTTCCCTTTGAGAACACAATGTATCAGGATCACAGAAGAGCAAGGCGATGAACATTTATTGACAGACACGTTCTGGCGCTCTAGTTTCTCCCGATAGAAATTTTCTTGGCGCATTATGTTCTTTTTTTAAGCAAAACTGTTGTATTCGGATCACACCTCCTCTCAACATTATGAACCTCTGATATTCATTTCTCTTTGAAAAAACGCTGTATCAGGATCACACAGGAGTAAGGTCAAAATTAATTGACAGATACCTTCCCGCGCCTTATTTTCTACTCACATTAAGTTCTCAAAACATCAAACTTCAAAAATAACTATAGTATTAGGATCGCATGAGAAGCAAAGTGTAAAATTCACCTACTCTCACATTAGGCTCCCCTGATACATGTATTTCCCTTTGACAAAACAATGTATCAGGACCACAAGCGAGCAAAGAAATGAAAATTTATTGACTGACACTTACTGGTGCTCTATTTTCCCGTGGTAGAAATTTTCTTGGCGCATTATGTTCTTTTTTTAAGAAAAACGGTTGTATTAGGATCACAGGAGACGCGAGGAAGTATCAAATGCACCTCCTCTCTGCGCCTTATTTTCTACTGACACAAATTTTCTTCACGCATTGTTATATTTTAAGAAAAACGGTGCTATTAGGATCACATGAGACGGAAGGAGGTGTAAAATTCACTTCCTCGCGCATTATGTTCGTCTAATACATATTTCTCTTAAAAAAACACTGCATCAGGATCACACAGACGCAAAAAGATCAAAATTTATTGACAGACGCTTTCTGGCGCCCCACTTTTTCCTGATACAAATTTTCTTTACGAATTATGTTCTTATTTTAGGAAAAACGGTTGTTAGGATTACAGGAGACGCAAGGGGGTGCCAAATTCATCTCTTCGTACATCATGTTCCTGTGAAAAAAAATGTATCAGGGCCGCACAGGCGCAAGGAGATGAAAATTTATTGACTGATTCCGGCGCCCTATTTTCTCCTGATAACATTTTTTTTCACACATTATGCTCGTATTTTAAGAAAAACATAGGTATTCGGATCATAGGAGATGCAAGGTGTAAAATTCACCTCCTCGCAACATTATGAGCCTCTGATATACATTTCTCTTTGAAAAACGCTGTATTAGGGTCACACGGGAGCAAGGAGGTCAAAATTAATTGACAGACACCTTCCCGCGCCTTATTTTCTACTGGCATTAAGTTCTCAAGACTCAAGACTTTAAAAATAACTATAGTATTAGGATCGCATGAGAAGGAAAGTGTAAAATTTACCTCTTCACACATTAGGTTCCCCTTATATATGTATTTCCCTTTAAGAAAACAATGTATCAGGATCACACAGGAGTAAGGAGACGAACATTTATTAACATTTTCTCCTGATAGAAATTTTCCTCGCGCATTATATTTTTTAAAGAAAGCTGTGATACTAGCACCGCAGGAGACTCAAGGAGGTGTAAAATTCCCCTCCTCTCACATTATGTTCCCCTGATATGTATCTTTCCTTGAGAAAACAATGTATCAGGAGAGGGGCAAAGAGATGAACATTTATTGGCACTTTCCCCTGATAGAAATTTTATTCTTTTTTTGAGACAAACGGTTGTATTAGGATCACAAGAGACACAAGGAGGTGTAAAATTCACGTTCTTTTATACATTATGTTCCCCTGATACATATTTTTCTTTAAGAAAGTGCTGCATCAGGATCACGCATGAGCAAGGAGATGTAAAAATCGTTCAATTCCACGAAACCTTCAAAAAACAAAAGAAATACCGGAAACATTAGAAGCTTTTAAATTGTAAAAACCGTAGGAGCAAGGAGACTCTGTAAAAGTAGATGTGGCAATCAAGAAATTTGGGAAATTTTTTGAGACTCTCAATGTCCATGGCAAAGGTCAATCTGGCCATCGACATCGCCGATTATCACCTACGTCCATCGAAAATTACCTGGCGGTCGAATCGCATCCGTCCCGACGCGGTTTTTCCCCAAAAAAGCAGAAGGTGGGGGCAAATCCGTTGGGAACGACCGGATTGGCCGAGTGAAAGTTACAAATATTTTTGAAGTGGACATAAATGAAAATATCGCACGTTGAGGAAGTTTAAATCGCGCGCGTTTGTTCTCTGGTGCAAGTTGATCATTATATAGTTCGGTGCGAGAGTGTAGTGGTCATGAAGGATATAGTGACCAATTGGAATAAGTTACTGGGACGCTCCTACTCGGCGGTGAACAGAAGTGATTGCCCTACCCCCAAATCCCCTAGGAACGTCGCCCTAAATATCGTCCATGGAAGATTTAAGCGTAAGTCCATCCGCCGGGGGGGTAAAGCGGCGGCAATTAATTTGTTTTTAATCTAAAAACAATCGCCTTTTGTGAAAGTAAAAAAAACAAACGTAATTGCGCTTCCAGGTATTCTAACGTTGGCATTTTTCGGACTCGTCACCTTCGGATCGGGAATTCTGATTCTGCTCGTGCAGCCCTACGATCTCCTCTTCAAATTCGTAAGTCGCGCGCGCGCCCTTTTTGGGGCCATTTTAATATCGAGCGCGTTGTTGCAGAAAAACGTCCTCAGCGATGGAGGCGAAATCTTCGAGCTTTGGCGGAAGCCGCCCGTCGACCTCTACCTCAGGGTGTTCCTCTTCAACGTCACCAACAGGGACGCGTTCCTGAACGGCGAGGAGAAGCTGAAGGTCCAAGAAGTAGGGCCCTACGTTTACAGGTACGTCCGTGACAGGCCTTGCTTATTTTGCAAACTGATTTTGTTTGTTTAAACTATTCGCACGTGCCTAAAACCGTCCTTCTGTTTACCTACGCTCGCGCTTTTCTAGTAATCTAACTCTTTTCAAGGGAAATCATGTCACATGAGGAGGTCAGATTTAACACCAATGGGACAATGTCGACGATACCGCAGCACCCACTCGTTTGGGTCCCCGAAATGTCAGAGGGTAACCGTGAGGATGACCGCCTGGTGTTGCCAAACATCGCGCTCCTGGTAAGCATTCGATAAATAATTAATCACGAAATTGCGTAACTCCCAAATTTTCCGAAAAGTGGCACATCCGATTGAGTAAAATTGAACTTGAGACCAAACATGCAGTAGGTTGGCCGATTGTATAACTTATTATTTAAATAGTGCGACACACTTTCACCCCCCGCGGCTCGCCGACAATATTTATAACAAAAATTTCAAACCCATCCGCCGTTACGCAATGTTTCTCGTTTCAGAGCATCGCCCAGGTCGTCTCGACGGAATCTTTCGTCACCCGTCTCGGTCTGAACATCGTGATCAGACAGACAGACACGCAACCCCTGGTCGAGATGACGGCGAGGGAGTTCATGTTCGGATACGAGAGCACGATAATGTCGCTCGGATATCAGTTCTTGCCCAGTTGGATTTCGTTCGAAAAGTTGGGGTTAATCGACAGGGTAAGTCTTACATAATTAACGACGCAAATTTTTCTGTGCTCCTGATATAAGTATTTTTGGGCGCAGATGTTCATGTTCCCCTAATATAATTAAAAGACAGCATTTATTTCCCTTCTGGGCTAATATAATTATTTTTCAAAAAGTGATTCATATGCTCCTGATAATAGAACTCATTTAAAGCGATCTTAGCAAAAAGAAAATTACTCGAGTATTTTTGCAGAAGAATATAAGAGGTTGCCTGCACTTACGTACGATTTGGTATCTCCTGGGCTCTTAATATAATCCCTTTTCAAAAAGCGATTCATATGCTCCTGATAGATTACATGTAAAGGCAATAGCCCAAGTATTTCCACAGGAGAATAAGAGGCTACCTGTTAACTTACGTACAATTTGGTGCCCTGTTGGCCTCCTAATATAATTAATTTTCGAAAAGAGATTCATATACTCCTGACGGAATTAATTTAATGCGATTTTTAGTCAAGAGAAAATAACCCGAGCACTTTTGCAGAAGAATAAAAGATCGCTTGTTAACTTACGTACAATTTGGCGCCCTTCTGGGCTCCTACTATAATTACTATTCAAAAAGTGATTCATATGCTCCTGATAGAATCAATTTAAAGCGATTTTCGGCAAACAGAAAATAACCCGAGTATTTTTGCAGGAGATAAGAAGCTACCTGTTAACTTACGTACAATTTGGAGCCCTTCTGTGCCCACTTTTCAAAAGGTGATCCATATGCTCCTGATAGAATTAATTAAAAGCGATTTTTGGTAAAAAGAAAATAACCCGAGTGCTTTCGCAGGAGAATATGAAGCTACCTGTCAATTTACGTACAATTTGGTAACCTTTTGGGCTCCTAATAAAATTACTTCTCGAAAAGGGATTCATATACTCCTAATAGAATCAATTTAAAGCGTTTTTTGGTAAAGAAAAAAAAACTGAGTACTTTCGCAGGATAATAAGAGATCGCTTGTTAACTTACGTACAATATGGTGCCCTTATGAGTTCCTAATACAATTATTTTTCGAAAAGTAGTTCATACGGTCCTGATAGACTTAATTTAAAGCGATTTTTGTAAAAAAAAAAAACAAATAACCCGAGTATTTTTGTAGGAGATAAAAAGCTACCTGTTTACTTACGTACAATTTGGTGCTCTTCTGTGCTCCTAACGTAATTACTTTTCAAAAAGTGATCCATATGCTCCTGATAGAAATAATTAAAAGCGATTTTTGGTAAAAAGAATATAATCTAAGTATTTTCGCAGGCGAATAAGAGGCTACCTGTTAACTTACGTACAATTTTGTGCCCTTTTGGGCTCCTAATACTATTACTTTTCGAAAAGGGACTTATATACTCCTGATAGAATCAATTTAAAGCGATTTTTGGTAAATAACGAGTACTTTCGCAGGAGAATAAGAGATCGCTTGTTAACTTACGTACAATTTTGTGCACTTTTGGGCTCCTAATACAATTACTTTTCGAAAAGGGATTCATATACTCCTGATAGAATTAATTTAAGGCGATTTTTGGTAAAGAGAAAATAACCTGAGTACTTTCGCAGGAGAATAAGAGATCGCTTTGTTAACTTAGGTACAATTTGGTGCCCTTCTGGGCTCCTAATACAATTATTTTTCAAGAAGTAGTTCATACGGCCCTGATAAGACTTAATTTAAAGCGATATTTGTAAAAAAAACAAATAACCGGAGTATTTTTGGAAGAGATAAAAAGCTACCTGTTAACTTACGTACAATTTAGTGGCCTTCTGTGCTCCTAATGTAATTACTTTTCAAAAAATGATCCATATGCTCCTGATAGAATTAATTAATAGCGATTTTTGGTAAAAAGAAAATAATCTGAGTATCTTCGCAGGCGAATAAGAGGCTACCTGTTAATATACGTACAATTTGTTGCCCTTTTGGCCTCCTAATTTAATTAATTTTCGAAAAGGGATTCATATACTCCTGGCGGAATTAGTTTAATGCGATTTTTAGTCAAGAGAAAATAACCCGAGTACTTTCGCAGGAAAATAAAAGGTTGCTTGTTAACTTACGTACAATTTGGCGCCCTTCTGGGCTCCTACGATCATTACTATTCAAAAAGTGATTCATATGCTCCTGATAGAATCAATTTAAAGCGATTTTCGGCAAACAGAAAATAACCCGAGTATTTTTGCAGGAGATAAGAAGCTACCTGTTAACTTACGTGCAATTTGGAGCCCTTCTGGCCTCCTAATTTAATTAATTTTCGAAAAGGGATTCATATACTCCTGACGGAATTAATTTAATGCGATTTTTAGTCAAGAGAAAATAACCCGAGTACTTTCGCAGGAGAATAAAAGGTCGCTTGTTAACTTACGTACAATTTGGCGCCCTTCTGGGCTCCTACTATAATTACTATTCAAAAAGTGATTCATATGCTCCTGATAGAATCAATTTAAAGCGATTTTCGGCAAACAGAAAATAACCCCAGTATTTTTGCAGGAGATAAGAAGCTACCTGTTAACTTACGTACAATTTGGAGCCGTTCTGTGCTCCTAATATTATTACTTTTCAAAAGGTGATCCATATGCTCCTGATAGAATTAATTAAAAGCGATTTTTAGTAAAAACCCGAGTGCTTTCGCAGGAGAATATGAAGCTACCTGTCAATTTACGTACAATTTGGTAACCCTAATAAAATTACTTCTCGAAAAGGGATTCATATACTCCTGATAGAATCAATTGAAAGCGATTTTTGGTAAAGAAAAAAAAACCGAGTACTTTCGCAGGAGAATAAGAGATCGCTTGTTAACTTACGTATAATATGGTGCCCTTATGAGCTCCTAATACAATTATTTTTCGAAAAGTAGTTCATACGGTCCTGATAGACTTAATATAAAGCGATTTTTGTAAAAAAAAAAACAAATAACCCGGGTATTTTTGCAGGAGATAAAAAGCTACCTGTTAACTTACGTACAATTTGGTGCCCTTCTGTGCTCCTAACGTAATTACTTTTCAAAAAGTGATCCATATGCTCTTGAAAGAATTAATTAAAAGCGATTTTTGGTAAAAAGAAAATAAGAGACTACCTGTTAACATACGGACAATGTGGCGCCCTTATGGGCTTCTAGTATAAATCTTTATCAAAAAGTGATTCATACGCTCCTGATAGAATCAATTTAAAGCGATATAATTAATTGAGAGCAATGTTTTGCTACCAGAATAGTAGCGAGAGGAGAATATAAAGAACTTGTGACCCTAATACAATTATTTTGAGCAAGGAGGATTCATGTTCGCCTGATAAAAATTAATTTGTTAATTTATTGCCAGGAGAATAGTGAAAGTTGTACCACTGTCGATTAGGTGGCAGCTTCTTGTACATCAAAATTATTTTTAGCAAAGAAAATTCATGTTTTCCTGGTATAATTTATCTAGAACGATTGGTACAAGGAGAATAGCGTTTAAACAATAAGTAAGTGTAGGAAGAGAGGAGCTGTTCGTGAATTTATTTAGAACTTCTAACCATTCTGTGCTCTTAATACAATATTTTCAGCAAAGGATTCCTGTTCTCCTCATATAATTAGTTTGGAACGATGGTTAGGGTTATATTACTATTTTCGTTTAGGTAGCAGGAGAACATATGAATAGTTTGAATCATTTATTATCAGAACAGAAATGAGAGATAACTTTCATAGTTTGCGCTGTACCTATATAAAAAACGGTTAATATAAGAGTGTTACTGGTACCAAAACTAGATAATTAACACATATCTCGTATGTTTTCCTGTTCCTGTACCAGGAACTCAGAAGTAAAAGTGCCTTTTTGTGCCTTTCAGATGTACGACTTTGAAGGTGACTACGAAACGATTTTCACAGGCGAGGGTGACACAATAAATTCAGGGCTTTTGGACACTTACTGCGGCTCAACCAAGATACCACAGTGGGAAGGTCACTGCGGTAACATCCACAAAGCGGCAGATGGCACCAAATTTCGAGGCAACATTAAAGAGAACGACACCTTGCTATTTTTCCGAAAGAGTATGTGCCGCGCCTACAACTTGGTAATACCTACCCCAAAATCTCAATATCCGTAAATACAATTTTTGATTAGGTACCAGTAAACAAGACCACAATTGCGGGCCTAGACGGTAACGTGTACCATTTCGAGACCAACTCGCACGACAACGGACTAAACCGATCGGAGAACTCCTGCTTCTGCAAGCGAACCCCTTGCATGCCCGCGGGACTGCTGGACGTGCACGGCTGCTACTACGGTTTTCCGATCGCCACCAGCTTCCCGCACTTCCTGGACGCCGACCCCAAAGTGCGAGAAAGCGTCGAAGGTACCAACCCCGACCACGACAAGCACCACACCTACTTCGTAATCGAGCCGGTACGTAATCCAATCTAGCAGCTCACCCCCGCACTAATCTACTATTGACAGAAATCCGGCTTGCCCCTCGAAATAGCCGCCCGCTTCCAAATCAACATGGTCTTCGGCGACCTAGAGTCGATGGCGCACGTCGAGCAATTCTCCAACATGATCCTCCCGCTGCTCTGGACCGAAAACGTAAGTCGCGCGAGCGCACCACGTCGACGACGCTAACCATTAAACTCGCAGCGCCTCTACGGCCTCCCGGACACGCTCCAGTCCCGCTTCCGCCTGTACCTCAACGTCGCACCCGTCGTCGAAGTCGCCACCATGTACGTCTCGTTCGTGCTCGGCACCCTCCTCCTCTCGTTCGCCTGCTGGCAGTACACGAAGAAGATCAGGACGATGACCCGCCCCAAAACCACGTGGATCGACGAGTACGTCGAGGAGGACGTCATCGGAAACGGTCGCGTTTACAACGCGCTCACGCGAGCGTCGCTAAGCGACAAGGAGCTGAAGACTTACTACGGCAGCCTGATCACGCCCCTCAATCAGCAGATCGACGGCGACCATAAGGGCGACGAGGAAGACGTCTAGTCGAAGATGTGCCAGAAAAGCGCCTGTGATTGTGAATGTCTGTGATACGGTGGCGGAGGCATTTGCTCAAATTATTATTAATTTATTATTAGTCTAAGCGGTTTATTTAATAAAGATTCTTACATCGAGTTTGATTCCTCCTGTATCATAAGAAGCACTAAATGATTTGTCCCCTTACTTTCCTTAAAAAAGAATAATATTGTAGCGAATATTCTAGAAATCACGGAGGCGCGATGAGAGATGACCATATAAGATCTTCGAATTCAGTTTCGTGATAGTTCAAATTTCAACGCGGAAGTAATAAATAGTTCGTGCAGTTATAAATTGTGTAATAATATTCTAACTGTTATAAATCAATTGATATAAATTTATTGTTAATAAATAAACTCCATAATTAAATTTATGTTACCTACAATATCAATTTGTGACTAAAAGCCACAATAGACGATAATAAATTACATGTATTTTCTGTCAATGTGCAAATTTTAGGGTGTATTGTTTTCCTGTAATTTTACATGAATACCCCCTAGCCAGCAGAGTGTGCCCTCAGAAAAGTAGAACCTGATCATTCTTTATTTTTCTCCTATCACTTCCATGGTAGGTAGTGTTTGGGAAAAAGTAATCGCATTTAGGTCTTCTGGGGGGCGTTCCATACCCCCCAGAACTAAGTTTTTGAGAAAGGACCGTCGGTTTACTTTAGTCGCCCAAATATATATACAATATTGTACTGAACTTCATTTTATATCATGCTCCGCGTCACAATTTTAATAAGAATGACAGATGTCCTTGGAATGGACAATGATTTGTTTCACTTTATCTACCCTTACAGTTAAAAAGACATAGCCAACTTATTCAAACCGACTAAAATGTCAATTTAAAAACATCTGCTATAAAGAAAATTGTTCTGTAGGTGACAGTGACACTTGAAGTGCATTTGAAGGTAACGACATCAGTTATTGCATGAAATATTGAGGGTAGAACAAGAAAAAACATATAGTCCAGTTATATTCCCATAGTACAAAAAAAACTGCACTGGGAATAGGGATAACACAAGAGGGAATATTTAAATTTCATTATTAGGTACATTTTTGTTATACAAAGCAAGATTGGCTTACCTTTGCCTCATTCCTACAGCCCTTTCAGAAGATCGCTCAAACTCGTCACGATTCAGCACCTGAAAAGAAACAGATTTCAATGTCAAGGCAGTTATTCCACCAATTCCACAAATATTACCTCTCACTTCTGCTCGAAAAGACCACGAACTCTTGGTGGAAGCCGATGAAAAACTTCAAGCTATTACTAACACAGTAGGCTTGGGGTATGCTCGATCATTTTGGGGAAGATATTTTATTATCAAACTTAACAATTACTTTTAGAAATAAAAACGTATATATATTAAAGGGAATAATTTGTAAAAAATATAAAAAAATTGCGCTAAAATCGGTAACGCTATCTTTGTGCAGATCTCTCCAATTCTTCTATTAGCTGTATTAACTTTTGCCTCGTCTTTTTATTATTTTGACAAGCGCAACTGACGAGCCCGTACAGATGCTTCGACGAGTACTCGCAGTGCTCGCGTATCCACCTCTCGAGCTCTGAGTCGGGGAGATAGTACGCCTTGACGTAGTTCTCGACGTACTCGCGATGCGGCACGGGCCGAAGCGACGAGATCTTTTCGAACTTCGATAGGAATTGAGTGAAGTCGAGCTGCATTAGGGCGCGTCCGCCGTTCGTGCACCGTTTCGCCTCCGAGAATCTGCAAAGAAGTGTTAGTGGCATACGCGTGCGCTATGTGGCGTTACCCCTGAACGAGAGTGTGAGTAATGATATGCGCAATGCTCTCCCACAGCAGGTTTTGAACGTCGCCGGAGACGGGAATTCCCGAACTGATCTCCTCGAGTCGTATTCGAAATATTTGCACCTCCTGCAATTGGAAATGAAACCTGTGGGCGTAGCAGAGGGAACTTACCCGTAGAAATACGTCGATGTAGGAATTGTGTTGGGACATTACGTCTTTTACCTCCCAGTTGATCTTTGACATTGCCATTAGATTCTGCCTCAAGTCGAAGGCGCGGGCGGCCACGCACATGTAGATCGGCCTGCGTAGGTCGGTGCTGGCGACGATCGTCTGTAAATTTAAACGGGCCCCATTAAAAATGCAAAAATTCAAATAAAAGTAGGGTTATGTTCGCGACCAGCGCTGACAACTTTAAACCGTTAGACTTGGCAACACCGCGACCATAACCCCAAACTTTGTTATTAAAACATAACCTCAAATTTACAGCGAGAATGGAGGAGAATTTAATAAAAGCTGGAAGTTTCGCCATAATTCAACGCCAGAACTACACAAAGCTACAAAAAATTAAAGAAAACTGCACGGTCACGCTCGGCAAAGACATCATCAACGTTGACTCGGTGCTCGGCCACAGGTACGAGGAGACGTTTCGCATGGTGCTCAAGCCGGGCACCAGACGCGTCTACATGCTCGAGGAAGTCTCCCAATTGACGCTTACGAACATTAAGCAAATCGAAGAATCGGGCACCGACAACCGCGATATAATAGACGACGGAACGTCGCAAGGGCTGAGCAAAACCGAAATTGAAGACCTGCGTGATCAAGCTCTGAGCTCGAACGACATCGTGCAAAAGTTGGTGGAGAATTCGAAGACGTTCAGCTCGAAGACCGAGTACAGCCAGGAGAAATACCTCAAAAAGAAGGAGAAAAAGTACTTCGAGTACATACAAGTGCGCAAACCGAGCATACGCCTTGTGGCGCAGATGTTTTACCGACAGGACCCCAATAAAACTTTAGGACTACGCATAGACGACCTCTCCCAATTGTTGACCTACGCGAACGTGCAAAGCGACGGCAACTACCTACTGTACGACAGCGGAACGTCCGGGTTAGTCGCCGCGTCCATACTGCACGCTGTTGGGCGCGATACGCCCGGCCACCTCGTCCATGCGCACCCAGGGAATGAGTGCCAGAAGAGCGCCCTGCTGGCGATGAACTTTCCCGCCGAACAGCTCGAGCGATGCGTCAACGTTAATCTGTACAGCGTGCTGAGGTGCTTCTATCAAAACGACGCCGAGCTCGACACCGAAACCGACGGTCCGAAACGCAAACAGACCAACGACGACACGTCCGCGCAGCCGAAGAAGAGGCCGACATGGCAGATCGAAAACGAAAGCGCCTGTCGCGTTTTACGCGAAAAAGTCGACGGGGTAATAATCGTCGCGAAGGAGCATCCCGTGAGCATCACGCGGGAGCTCGTCCCGTTCCTCAGGGGCGGGCGGTGCGTCGTCGTGTTCAGTTTGACGAGGGAGCCGCTGCAGGATTTGTATTTTTACTTAAAGGAGCGGACCGATTTCATAGCGGTAAATGTGTCGAACAGTTTCGTGCGGAATTATCAGGTGCTACCGGAACGGACGCATCCAGAAGTGATTATGAATTTCGGCGGGTATTTGCTTAGTGCCTATAAGCTAAATGTGTAATTAATAAAATGGCAGGGGGAAAGGGGGCAAAATACAACTTTTAATTAAACTCAAATAAACCAAACCCTTTGAGTTAGACAACCCATCACGCTTGCATGTAAAAATGTAGTCTAGCAATTTTTCAAAAATCCCGCTGAAAACAAAACCTCCCCCACAAGAGACAAATGCATTGAAAAAGCGGGGGAGACCAAATGCAGCTTTTAGTAGAACGCAATTGGATAGGCAACCCATCATACTTGCCTGCAAAAATGCCACCTACACTGTTCAGTGAGGCAATTTCTCAAAAACCCCGCTGAAAACCTCCCCTACATGGAACAATTGCGTTAAAAAAGTGGGGGAGACCAAATGCAGCTTTTAGTAGAACGCAATTGGATAGGCAACCCATCATACTTGCATGCAAAAATGCCACCTGCACTGTCCAGTAAGGCAATTTCTCAAAAATTCAGCTGAAAACCTACCCCACAGAGGACAATTGCATTGAAAAAGCGGGGGAAACCAAATGCAGCTTTTAGTAGAATGCAATTGGATAGGCAACCCATCATACTTGCATGCAAAAATGCCACCTGCACTGTCCAGTGAGGCAATTTCTCAAAAATCCCGCTGAAAACCTCCCCTACATGGAACATTTGCATTGAAAACGCGGGGGAGACCAAATGCAGCTTTTAGTAGAACGCAATTGGATAGGCAACCCATCATACTTGCATGCAAAAATGCCACCTACACTGTTCAGTGAGGCAATTTCTCAAAAATCCCGCTGAAAACCTCCCCTACATGGAACAATTGCATTGAAAAAGCGGGGGAGACCAAATGCAGCTTTTAGTAGAACGCAATTGGATAGGCAACCCATCATACTTGCATGCAAAAATGCCACCTGCACTGTCCAGTGAGGCAATTTCTCAAAAATCCCGCTGAAAACCTCCCCTACATGGAACAATTGCGTTAAAAAAGTGGGGGGGACCAAATGCAGCTTTTAGTAGTATGCAATTGGATAGGCAACCCATCATACTTGCATGCAAAAATGCCACCTGCACTGTCCAGTAAGGCAATTTCTCAAAAATTCAGCTGAAAACCACCCCACAGAGGACAATTGCATTGAAAAAGCGGGGGAAACCAAATGCAGCTTTTAGTAGAATGCAATTGGATAGGCAACCCATCATACTTGCATGCAAAAATGCCACCTGCACTGTCCAGTGAGGCAATTTCTCAAAAATCCCGCTGAAAACCTCCCCTACATGGAACAATTGCGTTAAAAAAGTGGGGGGACCAAATGCAGCTTTTAGTAGTATGCAATTGGATAGGCAACCCATCATACTTGCATGCAAAAATGCCACCTGCACTGTCCAGTGAGGCAATTTCTCAAAAATCCCGCTGAAAACCTCCCCTACATGGAACATTTGCATTGAAAACGCGGGGGAGACCAAATGCAGCTTTTAGTAGAACGCAATTGGATAGGCAACCCATCATACTTGCATGCAAAAATGCCACCTACACTGTTCAGTGAGGCAATTTCTCAAAAATCCCGCTGAAAACCTCCCCTACATGGAACAATTGCGTTAAAAAAGTGGGGGAGACCAAATGCAGCTTTTAGTAGTATGCAATTGGATAGGCAACCCATCATACTTGCATGCAAAAATGCCACCTGCACTGTCCAGTAAGGCAATTTCTCAAAAATTCAGCTGAAAACCTCCCCCACAGAGGACAATTGCATTGAAAAAGCGGGGGAAACCAAATGCAGCTTTTAGTAGAATGCAATTGGGTAGGCAACCCATCATACTTGCATGCAAAAATGCCACCTGCACTGTCCAGTGAGGCAATTTCTCAAAAATCCAGCTGAAAACCTCCCCACATGGAACAATTGCATTAAAAAAGTGGGGGAAACCAAATGCAGCTTTTAGTAGAATGAAATGCGATAGGCAACCAATCATACTTGCATGCAAAAATGCCACATGGACGGTCCAGAGAGGCAATTTCTCAAAAATTCAGCTGAAAACCTCCCCCACAGAGGACAATTGCAGTGAAAAAGCGGGGGAAACCAAATGCAGCTTTTAGTAGAATGCAATTACACCCGAAGACTTACTTATGGTTCTCGTTAACTGCAAGTATTACCGATTACTTTTCTGAAAATTATCGTTAACCGTTGAATTGCTTCGGTACCCGCGATTTTATCTACGCCACTTTTTGTTGTTCCGAAGACACAACTGCACCCCTCCCCCCCACCTCGATAAAGCTTACCTGCTGAAAGAACTGTTGCAGAAGAATCTTGTTGTTGGGCGGAAGTAGGTACTCCAAGTAACCCTGCAGGAACTCGTACTGCTTCGCTAGAAAAATCAGACTTTCGACGGCGGCGACGCGCTCCGACAGTCCGTGGAGAGTGTCGGATCGGTTCAGATCGACGATGGGCGAGAGGTGGGGTTTCGGTATTTTACTAAAATCGGAAGACTCGCCGTCGAGTATCAGACTGTCGGCGATGCGCTTGAGCGTGCCGTTCAGCTTCAGCGAGTAGAGGGCGGCGCTCGCGACCGTCTGCAATTGGTGCGTGAGCGTGAGACGGCACTGACACGGTGTGACTTACGAGATCCGAGGCGAAGAAGAGGTGCACGGTGTACAGGTAGAAGTCGAAGAGTTGAGTCATGCACATGATTACGTCGAAGGCTATCGGTCGAAGCAGCTGAGACATTTGTAGATATTTTCCTATCTGTCGCAGGAGCGATAAGGACGTGTTTGTGAGAATCGGGGATTTGGAAGGGCGCTTCTCCTTTTTCTCCGGAGACGATCTGAAAGCAAAACAAAAGTGAGTGACCTATGACTCTTGATTTATTTTAATTGATAGCGCAAGGTCAAGTGTTATCGTGATCAGACAGTGTTAAGTAGGCTCAGTTGACAATTGACTGCGTTAAAAAATGAAACTGATTCTTTTATGTTTGGTGGCGGTAGGGGCGCTTGATGTTTTTCAGGAGAGCAATCTCAAATTTTCATCGAATCTATATCAGGTAGTATCTTTTTCTTAACTAGTCTCGATGGATTTGGTATCAGGAGAACACGAGATCTCCCAGTACCAAATTTCCGAGCAAAGAACCTATAGCCAATCTTGCAGGAGTTGGGTAAAACCAACGATGGAGACTTTGTCGTATGCTCACTTTCGCTGCAGCTGATTTTGGGGCTGCTGCACGTAGCCGCCCAGGGCGAAACGGCAGGCCAACTCGCCGAAGGGCTACACCTGCCCAACAACGTCTCCGAAACGCTCCAAATTTTCGGGAACGCAACGCCACAAGTGGAGAGGAACGTCAGACACTTCGTCGCGAACATCGTGAACAAGGTGTACGTTCACGAGAAGTTCGCTATCGAGCCGAGGTTTCGCGACGTTGCGGCCGACGTTTTCCGGGCCGATATCGAAAACGTCAACTTCAACGAGAAAGAGGCGACGAGTGCCCAAATTAACAACTGGATGGAAGGCAAAACGCTGAATAACATAAAAAACTTCGTCACCGGTCGAGACATTTCCCCCGACTCCCAGGTGATGCTGATCAACTCCATTTATCTACAAGGCGTGTGGGAGAACGCGTTCACGTCGACCAAAAAGCAGAGGTTTTACACCAACCACTCCAATTTCTTCGAAATCGACATGATGGAACAGAAAAAGGTTTTCTCGTACTACGAAAGTGAGAAACTGCACGCGAAGATGCTCAAAATGAAGTACCAGCAGAGCAAATACGCGATGGTCATCGTGCTGCCGAACGATCAAGCCGGCTTGAGTCGACTCGAGGCGAACATGCCCGAAACCTTCCGAGAACCGCACTACATCAGCGCGCAAGTGCAAGTCAGGATACCAAAGTTTAAGGTGAACGCGGCTATACAGCTTATACCAATCCTACAGGAGGTATTGCCGATATTGACTAAGTCACAAATGACCTTGATCGACTTTCAGATGGGAATCAGGGATGTCTTCGCGACGAGCGCCAACCTCCGCGGCATGGGCGAACCTCAAGTCTACGTAAATCAGATCGTGCAAAGGAATTATGTCGACGTTAACGAAAACGGAACAATAGCGGTGTCGGCGACGCGAGGTATAGGCGAGATCGGGGTGTAGACTCGGGGCCTAATCGTGAAATTGTAGCGTCAGCCCGCTTGGGGAGACCTAGAAAGGTGCAGGAAAGGGAGTTCGTCGCCGACCATCCGTTCATCTACTACGTACGGTCGCCGGTGGGCATCGTCTTCGTGGGGCGATTCACTGGTATTCACCTTTGAGCTCGGCCGAATTGACACGATTAATATAAATATAATTTTTGTTTTCTACACTTCTGAGCTCCTGATCCAATTAATCTATTCGCAAGAAAAAGTAAAGAACAATAGTTTGCACAGCCAAAACTACCAACAAAGGATTTTAAGCAATTTAATATCAGGATAATGTGCTAATAGAGCAGGAGTTGCAGCTGTGCTCCTGATACTAACACTAACATTGATAAAATAGGCAATTGTAAAAAAAAACGCTAGAAACACAATCTTTCCACATCTGTGCTCCTAATCCATTAAGCCCATTAACAGCAGAAAAAAGGGGAACGCGAATTGGCACGACTAAATCAATGTTCTATATTCTAACCAAAAAATTAACTAAATGCAATGAATTGTGAGGAAGATTTGGTGTATTTGGGTACTGTGCTCCTGGCACTAACATTAAAATTATTGGTAGACTTTGAGAGTTGCCATAAAAGACCGGAGGAAGACATTCTATATAATTGCTGATCTTTACACCTCTGTGCTCCTGATGCAATTAATGTAATCGCAATACAAACATAAGAATGACGCGAATTCTCTCTTAAAAAAGTAAAATTCGATTCGAGTTTATTAGGAGGTCACAGCAAGGGAGCAGGAACACCAAAACTTTCATTTCCTAGAGGGTATTATACCTCCAGACCAGCGTGTTCTCCCCCCCCCCCCCATATTTAGTGCCATTACCTCCCAGCCCCAGCGAGTGCACAAAAATCTTGTGACAGTTGAAGAAAAAAGAACACTGAATCTTTCATTTCCTGGGGGGATTAAATACCCCCCAATCCCGTCTCACCGGTTTTACATTCTCTCCCCAACACATTTAGTGCCTTTAGCACTTACACAATAATTTTTTTAAACAAACAAAGTAGTCCAATCTTGGAACCGTTTGAAATTATGGATTCTACAGGCCAAATTCTATCAGAAAAACTTTTTTCCCGGTCGATCTGAGACCATTTTTTTTTCAGGCCTCAAAAAAAGGCTTTTTTACCAAAAACGACTGCACCAAAATTTCGCGGGAAAACACTTTTTCGTACTAATTTTGGTGCGTAGAATCCAAAACGAGTCGTACTTTTTCGATTAGACCTCTCAATCAAAGGTTACAGACCAGAAACCAATTTCGACCAAAAATTCAAAGGGCTATAACTTTTGATCTAGTAGTCCAATCTTGGAACTGTTTGAAATTATGGACTTACACAATAATTTTTTGAAAGAAACAATCAAATATGAGCCTTTTTGAGGGAGAATGGAGCACCGGGGGGTCTGGGGATGGAATACCCCCCAGCCATTCTCTCTAGTGCAGAAAAATATTATGACAGTTGTAGGAAAAGTACCACGCATCTTTTACTTCCTGGGTGTATTCTATACCCCACAGACCCCCCCGGTTTTACATTACTCCCCAACACATTTAGTGCCTTTCAATACCCCCCCCCCCCCAGCCATTCCCCCTAGTGCACAAAAATCTTACGACAGTTGTAGGAAAAGTACCACGCACGTTTTACTTACTGGGGGGTATTCCATACCCCCACACCCACAGACTCAAAGGTGCTGCTGGTAAACTTTCGTCCGAGGTATCAGGACCTTACCTTTGAATGTTATCGTAATCGTCGACGAAATCCTGCTTCAACTCCTCTGACTCGTCGTCCGTCTCGTCCGAAAAATACCCCCCACCCTCGTCGCCGGTCGCCAAAATATCCTCCTGAACGACGGACTCGTCCAGAGACCGATCGAAGGGAGTACCGTGCTCGGAGTACCGCAAGAAGTAGTTACCTGAAAATGAACCGCGATGCAAATGCCAAAGTAAATCGGTTCGCTCACCGACGATGCTGCTCCCGTCCTGCGAGTTGTTCGACGAGCTGCAGTCGGGAGTGTTCGCGTACGGCTTCATTTTGTAAGTCTTCAAAATCGAACGTAACGGCTTGAACTCCTGCAGCTGGAGAACGTCGAACGTCGCCTTCACCGGGCACAGCTCCCAGCTCTCGTTCTCGAGGAAGATGCGCAGCTCGTCCAGGCGCTGCACGTGGTAGTTCTTGAAGTAGTTGAAGCTCTGCTTGCGAATCGACTCCTGCAGGTCGTCCGACTTGCTGCCGCAAAACTCCTCGCCCACCTCCATCAGCCTGAAAGCCAAGGTGAGAGTGTCAGCCGAAAGCGGAAATTGCCATTTACCGATGCACGACGCCTAGAATTACGACGAACTGATCGAACTTGTATGACGCCAAGTTGCCGTTCAGCAGCAGAACGGAGACCTTGCTCTGGACGTCGTGCCACATCTTCATGAGACCGCTCTCGAGCTTCTGCTTGACGTACTGCACGTTGAAGTTATCCTCGAGATCGTCGGAGGAGTCGTCCAGGCTGAAGTGCCAGCGGCGCAGCTGGTGGTAGCTGAGGACGATCTTAAAGAGCGACTTGCACAGCTCGACGAGACACGGAATGAACATCCCCTCCTCGATGCGCAGGCACAGCTTGTCGTACGGCTTCCTCTCGCTGACGTCGGCGGCGGTCTCGTGAACGTCGGCGGAGGTCGCGTGTACTCGCACGATGTTCAGCGCGGTGTTGTAGATCGCACTGGAGTAGTGCATATGGAGGTGATCCATGGCGATCTGCGTCTTCCCCAGGAGTTTGTAGGCCGACTGCAGCTTGGCGTAGCGCACCGAGTCGAAGTAGAAGCACATCTGGGCCAGGACCTTGTCGAGCTTCTCCTCGGTATCCTGGAGCGTCTCCTGCAGCTTGTTCGTTAGCGAGGCAACGCACGTAAAATGCCGGTAGGTGTTCGCGGCCGCCTGGCATTCCTGCAGCAGCTCGATGGCGCCCGCGTAGTTTTCCTCGGAGAGGAGCTCCTGGAGACGCTGCCCGGTACAGTGCTAAGGAAATCGGAGTTAGTATCGGGACCGCTCACGACCACTTACCAGAGTCTTAATCGTGTTGAGATTGTTAAGCAGGTTCTGCACAAGCTTCCGCTTCCGATAGTTCGCGAGAATACTCAAACTGCTGCTGAACTGATGCTCGGCGACGTTCAACTCGCGCCTGCTGACCCTGCACGACGCCAGAGTCTCGGCGAGCCGGTCGCGCACCTCCAAAACGCGCAGAAACTCCTCCTCGCAATTCGCCGTCTGCTCCAAGATCAGCTGCAGCACCTTGTTCGCGACGACCTGGTGCTGCTGCTTCAGCCGTTTGAAATCGCGCTGAATATCGTCGCAGTCGAGATACTCGGGCAGCTTCTGTAAGCGAGCGATTTAGTGACTGGAGACGCGCGAACTTTCTTACGCTCAATTCGAAGCGGCAAATGTCGAAGTCCTCGGATACCGAGAAGTACGCCTTCTCTATGCTCTCGAGAATGTCCTGGTCGGCGGGCCGATTGACTTCCGTTACCGTTTTGCTGTTGATCGATAGGGTTCCCGGTTGTAAAAATTGGTAATTCGCGTCCGAGAAGCCCATCGAGGGAATTTTGGGAGTCTGAAATGGGAATTTTAGATGATGGTCGGTTCCTGTCGGGTTTTGTTAGACCACCTGCTTGTTGAGTAAGCCGAGAATTTTGTGCTTCAGCTCGTCCATGTCTTTTGGTTCCTTCGGGAAATGTAAAAATGCTCAATTCATTGTTCAATTTATTGTTATTTTGTGTCTTTTACCAAATAATTTTGATTTTGACACATAACATAACCCCACATGCGATTATTGGATGTGGCTGATGGACCGGATGATAGTATCTCATGTACGTACAGGATTTTTGCGAAAAACCCACTTTTTTTAAAACGTTTTCAGGCGCTGAGTGCATTCCTCTGGAGAAATGCAATAAGGCGCTTTGCAACGTTTTCGATTACTCTAAAAGGTATAGATTTGGATTCCATATTCTAGGATCACCCAATGGGATCACCTTATAAAGCACAAAGGAAGCTCTCCACTGCTCACTGCTTTCCTGTGCAATCAAAGTATCTCTAAGTATTCCCCATGACAACAAAAAGGAAGACATTTACAAACTTTTTAAAATTTATTAAACTATATACAGCAGTACAATTACAGTATACGTACAAGAGCAAAATGTTCGAAACTTCCGCCGTAAGATAAGTAGAAATATCGAACGCGGTAGACAGTAATGTGTACTTTCGTATAAAGGAAAAAGCCTTTTTACTCTATACTGCGAATGACCAATTAGACGAGAGAACCAAAAACAAAAAAATATCAAAAAAAAATTACATTTACAACAATATATAATTGCGAAAACAAGGAACAGAGTCGTTAATCCTCAAAGGTTTGGTTTAGCAGAAAGTTTGCGGTTAAATTTTCGTTCTTCTCGCACGCGAAGTAAGCCTGCACTACTAAATGTTCGGGGAATCCGAGCGCCTTCAGTCGCTCGATCGCGTCCCTGTCCTGTTGGGTCACCTGAAACACGCCCGGCTGCTGCAAACCGGCCGCTTGGCCACCGACTGGTGCCGCTAGAATGTTGGAAACAACATAATTATGACATTCAAACTGAGAGAGAGGAGTTAGTTCAAGCTACCCTGGTCCTCCACTCAACCCTATTTCAATATATTATAAAAGATATTAAACAGCAGGGGCCCAAATATAGAACCCTGTGGAATGACTGTCACTATTTCGCTGCGACTAACAGCACAAACCGCCAACTAACCTGCGGGCGTGGATCCCTGTGTGGCCGGTGGTCCTTGCGCCGGCTCGTTTAGCATCCGCACGAAAGCCTCCTGATTATCGGATATGAGCTGAAGTAGGGCGGGATTCGTCTGCCCGATTTGTTGCAGCACCGTGTTCAGCAGCTGCGGATTGTGCTGAATTACGCTTCGCATCTGCTGGAATTGGGGCTGAACGCGTAGAAACGCGAGGGGGTCGTCGGCGTCCGATTGTCGCTCGTCAATACCCGACATGTCCGCCGTCTCGCTTACCTAAAACGGTCCGATGTGATTATTTTAAATATGGCGGCGACCGCCTAGTCTACAGGGTGTCCGGATCTTAATGTAATTGCAGGTTGAACACAGTCGGTGCGGTGACTTACCGCCTCTTGTTCGTCGGCGATGGAGGGAATTCCGTTAATGAGATATTCTACAGCACGATCCGGATTGTTATAGCTCGCTCGAAGCGCCGCCTCCACCTGCTCCTTTTCGTAGCCCATGTCAATAATATTTCTAACCATCGTCTGGTACTCCTCCCCCATGAGTAGGGCGGATTCGGCGCTCGATATATTCGACTCGACCGGCGGCACGCTGGTTTCGGTCCGGGGCGCCGGTACCGACGCCGCTGTCGTTGTGGTGGTGGTGGTGGTGGTCGTGGCAGCGGGCGCGGACGTCACGTTGCCCCCGTCACCGCTATCCGCCTTCTCGGTCTGTTTTGGTTTGGTGACCATAACGACGATGAACTTCTTTTCGTCAATATTGTACTCGGAGATTGCATTGTCGTCCGTCAGTATTTTACCTGAAAGTGAAAGTTTTGTCACAAGCGTAACGGTACGAAGGTCCCACCTGCGTAGATTAACCTCTGATTTTCGGCAGAGTAGTCTTTGCCCTTCTCCGCTTCGATCTTCTGTTTCAATTCCTTAACCTGAAACCGGGACCGGTTCAGAACAATCAGAATAAACAATAACGCCGTGACTTACCGATTTTGAGGAGTCTATTTCAACCTGAAAGGTTTGTTGTTGCAAATTCTTTAGTGTGATCTTCATTGTTGGCGACGTACTGAAAAACCTCAAATAAATCCTAAAAAAATAATAAAATTGTCGCACTTTTTGTTTATTTTTAGCTTTAAGTTTTAATCTCGGTCGATGATAAAGCACAACTCAGAAATTTGGCGGCCATGATAATATGGCGTGCGTCTCATTGCGGGCTGCCAACCGTCGAAACGAAAAAAATGATCTTTGACACAAACCCAAATTGTTTATTTCTTTATTTTTGAGGCGACATATAAATACAAATTCAAAAAATTAGCTTAGATTTAGCGTGGGCAATTTCTTTTTATCCCCATCGGATAGGTCCGAATGATTTGAGTTGTTCGCGGCAGCAGCGGGAGCCTTGTGCTTTAATAAAAAGTTACCGAGCGCCGAAACCGGGTCGGCCGGTCGCTCCTTCGCAACATGCGATAACCCCTGGAGCAGTATCGGCACGACGGTCTGATCGAGATACTGCCTTGTAGGCAAGGAAGATAAGTCGACCCGGTGCTTCTTCGGCTGCTCCTCCAAGTTATCCATTGGGAATTCCCCACGTAAAGCTGCAACCTTATCGTATGAGGTTAGCTTCGTTTAACGTTATACGAACCTATAAACAATAAGATTTTTGGCAGTTCCACACAAAACCGGTCAAATTTCGGCGAAAAACTCGGTAAACAAAAAAGGCATGGGGGAATTTTCTTCCACCATTTTGTTTATACCAAACCATACCGAAACAGTTTGGACGTTGGTAACACTGATGTAAAATTTAAATCACTGGAGGACGGACGCAAAAGAAACCGCAAAAGCTCTATTTTCTTTCAGAAATGGTGCCTTTTAGTTAAGCTTTCGTTTTACTGGAATGGTTTTTGTTCTACGCATGCGTACACACTGCCTCCCATGCGTAGGGCAACCTACAGAAGCAGCTAGGAAAGGATCAGAGACTCGCTGTCTATATGTCTATATAGTAGTCACTGGAGCAATGAAAACCACGCCAACTTTGGCCATGAAGGAAGGCACTTCTGGGACTATAGAGCCTTTATACGTCGCTGTGGAGGCAGAGACTCGGAAAGCTGCCTACGGCTAAACGATTAGGAGGAGTGTAAGAATCGAGGCAGTCTTGAGCACGGCCGGATCAGAAGGAAACCCTCAGATCCGATCCCCTCCTCGCAAGAAGGGATGTGAGAAAGAGAGGGGGGAAGTGCTGCCTGGTTGTGCTCCCCTGTCACGAATATATTATATAAGTTCGTGTCCCCTGTGAATAGAATATGAGCCTTCCGTAACTTATAGGCATTTATCAAAGAGTTCTAAATACATATCTACTTATTCCACATCTTATCGACGCTTTCCAGATTCCATAATTGATACAATAATATGTAGAGCCATATAATAGGCACTGCTTTCCATGCCTTTTATGACCAAAACATACCAAGGTAGTGAGGAGAAATCGCCTGGTTATACCGTTTTGTTTTTGACTTCCCGTATTTTAGGTTCAGAGCGAACCAAAACTCAAAATACTTCCCAAGGAGCCCCCACAACATGTCAGACACGTCGGACGACGACTACTCGGATGATCCCCTCGACGCCGACATCCACCAGAGCAATTCGACGAACGGTAAGCGACCGACCGACTTCGCTTTCGCTAACCTTTCCCCTTCGCAGAGGAGGACGAGCAGCAGGAGGGCGAAACGTTCGACACGGATCTACCGACCGCCCACAAGGTACGCCCCCCCCCCAATCGCGTGACACCCTAATCTTACCGCGACTTGCCCGCAGTACCTCGGTAAGCTGAACACGGTCAGCGGATACACGATCTTCGACGACGGCGAAGTGATCGAGCTGCTCGCGATACACACGAAAACGCTAGTCTTTCCCGGATTCACGCTGCCGCTCGTCATGAACACTCAACTCGAGCAGTCGACAATGGACAGCTTTCTTAAGAAGTGCAACATTTTCGTGCTCGTATGTGCGGAGTAAGTCGACGAATTTAGTGCTTGTTTCTGTTGTAGTCTTCCTCCAGATGTCATAAAAAGCGCGGGAAAAGGCCACCTTAAGGGTTCGGAGGAGGCGGGAGAGTGTATAGTATTCGGGAGTATACTCCCACCCAGGCAAAGATTTACCATTTCCCAAAGGTTGTCATGAGAGAGCTAGGAGTATAAGAGACAGAATGATTGAGTCCTCTTTTACTAAGAGTACTGTCTGCGGGGGGGATTCACACCCCCCGTTTTAACTTATTCCTCAAAAACCGGAAACAAATATTTGTTTTTTTCCCAAATCTTTATAAGAGTGGGAAAGGCTGAACGCGTTTGTGAGAGTACTCATAACCGGGGGGTCTGGGGGGTGAGATGGAATGATTGAGTCCTTTTTTACTGGGAGTACTGTCTGCTGGGGGGTTCACACCCCCGGTGCTAACTTATTCCTCAAAAACCGGAAACAAAGATTTGCTTTTTCCCCAAATTTTTATAAGAGTGGGAAAGGCTGAACGCGTTTGTGGGAGTACTTAGAACCAGGGGGTCTGGGATACCCCCCATCATACAAAGATTTGTTACTTTTTCCCGAAGATTATCATGACAGTGCGCGGAGTAATAAGAGACAGAATGATCGAGTCCTTTTTTACTAAGAGTACTGCCTGCGGGGGGGTGTTCACACCCCCCGTGCTAACGTATTCCTCAAAAATCGGAAACAAACATTTCTTTTTTTTCCAAATTTTTATAAGAGTGGGAAAGGCTGAACGCGTTTGTGAGAGTACTTAGAACCGGGGGGTCTGGGGGGTATGGAATACCCCCCAGTCAATATACATACCCCCCATCATACAAAGATTTTTTACTTTTCCCCGAAGATTATCATCACAGTGCTAGGAGTAATAAGAGACAGAATGATTGAGTCCTTTTTTTTACTAAGAGTACTATCTGCGGGGGGGGGGGGATTCACACCCCCGGGGCTAACTTATTCCTCAAAAACCGGAAACAAAGATTTGTTTTTCCTCAAATTTTTATAAGAGTGGGAAAGGCTGAACGCGTTTGTGAGAGTACTTATAACCGGGGGGTCTGGGGGTTATTCCATAACCCCCCAGCCAATATAAATACCCCCCATCATACAAAGATTTTTTAGTTTTTCCCGAAGATTATCATAACAATGCTAGGAGTAATAAGAGATGGAATGATCGAGTCCTTTTTTACTGAGAGTACTTTCTGCGGGGGGTATTCACACCCCCCGTGCTAACTTATTCCTCAAAAACCGGAAACAAAGATTTGTTTTTTCCTCAAATTTTTGTAAGAGTGGAAACGGCTGAACGCATTTGTGGGAGTGCTTACAACCGGGGGGTATGGAATACCCCCCAGCCAATATAAATACCCCCCCCCCATCATACAAAGATTTTTTACTTTTCCCCGAAGATTATCATGACAGTGCTAGGAGTAATAAGAAATGGAATGATTGAGTCCTTTTTTACTAAGAGTACTGTCTGCGGGGGGGTTCACACCCCCTTATTCCTCAAAAACCCCTGTCTACTTCGTTCTTGCCTGCGAATCTAGCACTGGTTTCTATTCCAGCGAGATGGGCTCGCGTCTATACAAATACGGCGTAACTATGGAGGTGTTCGAGTCGGTGTCGCAAAACGACACCCTCTACCTAAAGGCGAAGGGCAGACAGAGATGTAAGATACTGCCGACCAAGGAAATACAGCACCTCGGCGGTCGCCTCCAGAAGGTGACGGTGAAAATTTTAGCCGAACCGGCGTTTACGTCGCCGATCGCCTGCACGCAGTTGCTCTCCCTGTGCTCGCGTCGGCCGCACTTATTCGCGAACTACAAGGACCTGCTGCGGAGCTACAAGTACAGGCGCTACCATTTGGCGCAATTCCCCTGCGCGTCGTGGGTGTACGATCGGAACGAGGTCTCCTTCTACGTCGAGCACATGCTGAAGCAGTTGGTACGTTTTTACTTGAAAGGTACGTCGACGAATTGATGTAGGAGCGTCGTGAATGCGTAAATTTCCGGTAAATCGCCGAGCAAAAGTCTCATTTTTCCGTTACAGAGAATATTCCTCTCGATCCCGTCACGCTGTCCTACTGGTTCATCCAGAACTTCCAGCTGTGCCACGAGGAACGGCTGCACCTGATGAAGTTGGATTCGGCGCTCGAAAGGCTCAAGGTGGAACTTCGGCTGTTGGAACGCGAACGCCTGCTCTGCTGCATTCTCTGCAAGACTGAGATAACGCGACAGAGTCAGGTGTTCGCGATGTCGAAGGACGGCGTGCAGAGCAACTACTGCAATCCGGGCGGGCACGTTTACGAAACGGTCACCGTCGTCAAGGCGAAGAATTTCAATTTGGTCGGCAATCCGTCGAAGGAATTCAGCTGGTTCCCCGGGTAAGCGAGGTAAAGTGCGCTCGTCCGGTTACCCGTTGCCTTTTTTGTTAGGTACTGGTGGACGATTATGCAGTGCAGACTGTGTCAGGGACACATCGGATGGCGGTTTTCGTCCAATCATCTACAGCCGCGCACCTTCTACGGGCTGGCGAAAAGCGGACTGGAAATTAGGATTTTAGCGAAGAATCAGAGCAATGAATTAGATTAAGGTTTAATATTTAGGAGTGATCGTGATACTAACAAAGTTATTTATATTCGCAAGTAATTGAAAATAAAATATTCCCCCCGAGAATTATCTGATTAGCATTTTCTACCACCTGATTATTCCGGGAGATTTTAACACGGATCCAGCTACCTTGTTCTCTCGCCATGGGGACATACTGGCTGATATATTCTTGTAAGCAATTGGGCACCTTTCTACACTAGGCAGATACCAACCGTTAAATCTTTGAGTGAACTGGGGGAGGAGTGTCTGCTCTGCAGCTCGAAAAACGGAAATATAGAGCTGATCATTACCAGGTACCCTCGGAAAAATCGGTTAGTTTCTGTTGAACCTGAATTGTCTGGTGGAGAGCTACTTCTGCGGGAGGGGGGGGGGGGGTGATACAATCGTCAGCTATCTGGCCAATGAGGATGAATTGTTGGAACTGCCATAAAAATGGACATTGTGCTAGAAATTGTAATAGACATTGCATAAGATGTGACGTGTAAAAGTCTGTCCCAAACGTACTAGAAAGCCGGAAAACATGGGGGGGGGGGGGTAATTCAGCATAGTACCTGCGAAGTATGGAAAACCCTCCAGCCATACGCAGTACACGAAAGTTTTATCATACGACTCCTGGAGAAGATTTTAGTGTAATGGGGTGGTATAGCTGGGGGGGTTTTCCATACCCCCCCAGACCCCCCGGTTCTATATTCTTCTCCGAAATATTTAGTTCTTCCAGTACTTGCACCATCATTTTTAGAAAGAGACCATTTAATGTGTGCTCTTGGGAGTGAATATAGCATCGGGGGGTCTATACCCCCAGCTATACCACCCCAGTACACTAAAATCTTATCTCCTCCAAGAGACGTGTCGTAAAACAAGGGGTGGTAAGGCTGGGGGTATTCCATACCCCCCAAACTCCCCGGTTCTACATTCTTCTCCGAAATATTTAGTTCTTCCAGCACTTGCACCATCATTCTTAGAAAGAGACCATTTAATGGGAGCTCTTGGGAGTCAATATAGCACCGGGGGAGTCTATAGCCCCCAGCCATACCACCCCACTACAGTAAAATCTTATCTCCCCCAGGAAACGTGTCATAAAATAAGGGGTGGTAAAGCTGGGGGGTATTCCATACCCCCCAGTTCTACATTCTTCTCCGAAATAATTAGTTCTTCCAGCACTTGCACCATCATTTTTAGAAAGAGACCATTTAAAGGGAGCTCTTGGGAGTGAACAAAGCACCAGGGGGTTCTATACCCCCAGCCATACCACCCCAGTACACTAAACTCTTATCTCCTCCAGGAGACGTGTCATAAAACAGGGGGTGGTAAAGCTGGGGGGTATTCCATACCCCCAGACCCCCCGCTTCTACATTCTTCTCCGAAATATTTAGTTCTTCCAGCACTTGCACCATCATTTTTAGAAAGAGACCATTTAATGTGACCTTTTGGGAGTGAACATAGCACCGAGGGAGTCTATACCCCCCAACTATACCACCCCAGTACACGAAAACCTTATCTCCTCCAGGAGGCGTGTCATAAAACAGGGGGTGGTAAGGCTGGGGGGTATTCCATACCCCCCAGACCCCCCGGTTCTACATTCTTCTCCGAAATATTTAGTTCTTCCAGCACTTGCACCATCATTTTTAGAAAGAGGCAATTTAATGTGAGCTCTTATAAGTGAACATAACACCGAGGGGGTCTATACCCCCCAGCCATACCACCCCAGTACACAAATATCTTATCTACTCCAGGAGACGTGTCATAAATGTTTCATGTACTGGGGTGGTAAGGCTGGGGGGTATTTCATACCCCCCAGACCCCCCGGTTCTACATTCTTCTCCGAAATATTTAGTTCTTCCAGCACTTGCACCAGCATTTTTAGAAAGAGATCATTTAATGTGAGCTCTTGGGAGTGAACATAGCACTGGGGGGGGGGGTCTATCCCTCCAGCTATACCACCCCAGTACACAAAAATCTTATCTCCTCCAGGAGACGTGTCATAAAACTTTCAAGCAAAAGTTATGAGAACTGAAAAGATGTATTTTCTATGTTCTTTAACTTTTCTATTTCTAACGTTTAGTGAAACATGGTGAAAATCGGCCGCCATTTTCCAAGATGGCGGCCGTAGCACAACATGCACAAGTGTTGATTTTTTAAATGTTTTTAATGGTTATACCAATACAACACATATACAAAGTATCCCATTTTAGGGTTTTATTCTACAAATCATGGTCTAATTTCAAATATTATAACGGTTTGGGTCTACGTGCACGCAAACGTTCCCAATTCTTCTTAGAAATCCTTCTAGGAATTTTAGTAGGAATCTTTGAGACACGAGATTTTTGCAGAATCTTCTTAGGATTCCCCATGAACTTATCTTAAAGAGCATATACTTCTAGATAAATATCAATACAGAATCAGATAATAAATTGCTTAATCCATTCCAAATATTTGGATACGTCAGTGACGGTAAGATACTTCAAGGGGTCGCACCTCACTTCTTTATTAACCACCGATAACACACCTCTCAGATACCAAACGCCTCCCCGCGCCGAAAAGAATCCCCCACCAGAATCCGCGTTACAAGTCACAGTTCCAGCTTTAAATATCGTACAGAACGTATCGGCGGAAACAGAAGGGCACAGCTGCTTTGACGCGATCTGCAACTGTCCGCGGGTTAACTCCGGTCGAAACTTACCCATCTGGTCCACGCCCCACCCGACCGTTACCCCATCTTCGTCGACGCCCTCGTCGCGCCACAGACAGATGGCTCGAACGTAATTCGACACCTCGACCGCGGCCGCGAGCTTCAACAGCGCCAAATTGTGAACGGACGTGCTCGAGTTGAACAGGGGATGGAGCACGAAGTCGCTCACGCCTCGAACTTGAAGGCCGACGCTCGAGAAGCTGCGCAAGTTGTGCTTGCCGAAGTAGACGACGAGCTCGTCCGGGAAGATGGCGGTGTGCGGATCCTTGTAGAGGCATCGTGCGGCGGTAAGCACGTACGCTTTTGATAGCAGGTTACCGGCACAAATGTGCACCAAATCGACTCCGTTGGTGTAGTAGATGCTGGCGTGCCATGGGTACTCCGTCTCGTGACCGCCGCCCTACAATTATTATTATTATTATTATTTCTAAAATCCTACTTTTATTGCAAGCAATAGACGGGGTGGTCCATTAGTGCGTGAAACTCATCGATCAAACAAACATAAATAAAGTTGCCTCGCATTACAAAACGAGAGTAGCTCTAGGGACTTCATTGATTACAAGGAAGTCGAAAGAACTACTGAAAACCTTCCAGCCCTTCCCCCTTTGATTGGGGCACATCCTGGCCCCCAGGAACAAAGAAGTATTTAACGTTCCTTTTATACAAAGAAGGATTTAACGGTCCTTTTCCTATGATAATAATAAGATTTTCATTAACGGGAGCCTTTTGGGCAAAACGTTTTGAGGGAGAACGTAGCACCGGGGGTCTGGGGGGTATGGAATACCCCCCAGGCACAAAGAAGGATTTAACGTTCCTTTTCCTATGACAATAATAAGAGTTTCATTCACGGGAGCCTTTTGGACAGAACGTTTCGAGGGAAAACGTACCTCCGCGGGGTCTGGGGGGGTATGGAATACCCCCAGAAACAAAGAAGTATTTAATGTTCCTTTTCCTATGACAATAATAAGAGTTTCATTCACGGGAGCCTTTTGGACAGAACGTTTCGAGGGAAAACGTACCTCCGCGGGGTCTGGGGGGGTATGGAATACCCCCAGAAACAAAGAAGTATTTAATGTTCCTTTTCCTATGACAATAATAAGAGTTTCATTCACGGGAGCCTTTTGGACAGAACGTTTCGAGGGAAAACGTACCTCCGCGGGGTCTGGGGGGGTATGGAATACCCCCAGAAACAAAGAAGTATTTAATGTTCCTTTTCCTATGACAATAATAAGAGTTTCATTCACGGGAGCCTTTTGGACAGAACGTTTCGAGGGAGAACATAGCACCGGGGGGTCTGGGGGGTATGGAATACCCCCCAGGAACAAAGAAGGATTTAACGCTCCTTTTCCTATGACAATAATAAGAGTTTCATTCACGGGAACCTTTTGGACAGAACGTTTCGAGGGAAAACGTACCACCGGGGGGTCTGGGGGGGTATGGAATACCCCCCAGGAACCACCGGGGGGTCTGGGGGGGGGTATGGAATACCCCCTAGGAACAAAGAAGTATTTAACGTTCCTTTTCCTATGAGAATAATAAGATTTTCATTAACGGGAGCGTTTTGGACAAAACGTTTCGAGGGAGAACATAGCACCGGGGGGTCTGGGGGGTATGGAATACCCCCCAGGAACAAAGAAGGATTTAACGTTCCTTTTCGCATGACAATAATAAGATTTTCATTCATGGGAGCCTTTTGGACAAAACGTTTCGAGGGAGAACGTAGCACCGGGGGGTCTGGGGGGGTGTGGAAAACCCTTCAGGAACAAAAAAGGATTTAAAAAGGAGTTCTAATCCCGTTCCAGGACTTTATAGAATGTGGTCTGAAAAGTTCTGGAAAGGACTTTTTAAACGCGTTTCATGGTCATTACAAACTCTTGTAAGAGCCTTTCCAGAGCTTTCTAGTCGCCTGAAAAGTCTAGGAAAGGCCCTTAGGGGGTAGCCAAAGTCCTGGAAAGCAACAAAGGGTTCTAGAAAGTCTCTTGAAAAACACAAAACGAGTTAAAAACGTAAACGATTTACAAAAAGCGCGTTTTTTAGTCTGCGCTTTTCCTTAAAATTTCATAAAAAATCAGTCACAAATAAAAAAGCTGTCTGCGCATGCGCAATTTTTTTTTCAAAAAATGCGCATAACAAATATGGATCCAAAAAGGTTAACCATGGTTGCCAACTGAGAAAACTAACCGTTTCTCTAAATCAAATTTTGGGTTTCTTCCAAAATGATCGCTATAGTAGTAAGTAGAGCATGTTTCATGTCCAAATTTTGGCAAAGCAAACAAACGGCAAACGTGTAAAATTATGAGAAGCGACTGTCTTTGTAAGAGACAGAGAAAATAAGCCTTCCTTGATGCAAGCATTGCCACCATAACAACCCAAAAAAAGTAGCTCGCTTAAGATAAAGAGATGTAGGTGCAACACAGCAGTAGGGACGAACAGATGAACGGACAAAGTGCCCACAATTGCGCATTTTTTTGTGTGGAAATGGGCTAAAAATAGGCAGCTTTCCACTGTACATGGGGCAATTGTTTGTATACATAAATCTTTTTTTTTTTAATACCTTACTGTTCTACTATGGTAAAAGTGAAGGTACAAACCGTGACTGTTCCGCATCCATCCAAAGGCGACGTCGAGGTGGCCTGTTGTCGATTGAGAATGCCAAAATCGCCGATGAAGTAATCCTCATCGTCCGATATCCGCAATGGAATATTCGGTTTCGCTGTGGTAGACCTGGAAAAAGTTCAGTTAGGGTCCGGTCCACAGATGGGGCTCTTACGATTTCGCAGTTGTGCGTACCACGACACCCTCATCCGGACAGACGGTTTTGGCATTAATTTGAACGGACACCAGCCCCGGTACGGGTCGACCTTCGTCGTACTGCGCGTAGAATCGTACCTGGTGAGGCACGTTCGCCTCCAATTTAAAGCTACGGTTCTTAATCACGAACTCCCTGTTGTTGTCGTTCGCCCGCACCTCCCCGAACCAATTCTGAAATTTGACGATTAGTTCCAGCCTTTCTCGGCCGCCCCTTTTTCGTTTACGCCGAGCTGTTGAAGTTCGCCGTCGAAAGCCAGACGCAACCAGACACCTTCGAGGGCGGTTTCGCTCGACACCGTCACGACACCGTACCACCGATTCGACGCGGACGTGTTCCGCTCGTACGCGAACAGTCTCGGACAGGGAGACGTCCGATTTAGCGCGGAAACGCAAGAAATTACACAGGCAAACAAGAATTTAATGGAGACCATCGCTTACAACAACATAACAAAACAAAACTTAACTCGTTTCGAGACATTCCGTTGACCTAAAAAGGTGAAGGTCAACATCTAATCGTATAATTCTATTTCGCAATGACGCTTCCGATCCAGCCCAAGTACTTCGCCGAATCGGTAAAGACGACGTAATTCGAGTAGTCGCAGAATTGGGACCGTAGGGCTATGCTGATCGAGACGAGCCCCCTCAGGTACCAACGCATCGTATCCTTACGTAGGAAGACCATGCCTCCGCCGGAATCTCCGTTGCAAACGGACGAACCTGAAAAGGCGGCGATCAGTGCCCGTTTTTCGCTAAGGCCCTAATTTTTTTTATTGAGCCTAATCAAAGTAGACACTTTTTATTAGGCTCAAGTCAACTGAGTGCATACGAGTTTTTGTGCTCTATAAATTGGTGAAGAAGTAAATCTTTTCGCATCTGATAAGGCCTTCTTCATGCTACCTTCAATACAATACACCCCCACACGTGTTATCTTCAAATTCCACTAGCGCCTTCTTCACCAGCGACTCCATCACATTTAAAAGTGTTTAATAATCACCTTCTAAAGTACGTTACGACCTTTAAAGGCACTCAAGAGCCTCAATGTCTCTGTAAGATCTTCAACAAACCTTAAGCGAAGTCATCTTGATGAGCCTTTATGATCTTTATTAGCACTCAAGATCCTATAACAGTTTTTTAAGCGCATGAATGCAGTGACCTCTAACAGAACTGTTGAAAATCCTTAAGGGCTTTAAGCGCTTTTTTCAAAATCATCTCAATAGTGTTTACGCGGCTAGCCTTAAAGAGCCTTTGAAAGCTTTTATGAATTCTTGAACTTTTTAAAAGCCTTTATGGGTCTTTAAAAGTCTGTAACAGCACTTAAGAGTTACAAACTGTCTCCAAGAGCTTCCGAGAGCCTCACAGAGTTGCCCTTAAAATTCATACCGCTCTCTAAGATCCAAGCCTTTAAAAGCTTTTAAGTCTTAAAGGATCTTTAAAAACCTTTTATCTTTAAAATTCGCCAACAGTTTCTAAGTCTCTAAGAGCCTATAAAAGCGTCTAAAGAATTTTAGTCTCCAAGAAACTCCTAGCCTCTAATTGACTGTTAGTCTTTAAAAACAGCATGCATGAGTTCTTAAAAGCTTCTATAGGTCTTTAAAAAAAGCACGTAAGCAAGAGCGTCAAAGTTTTCCAAAGGCTTATATAATCCTTGGGACCCTTTCTTCTCTTTAAGATACGACCCGAGCCTTTAACGTTTTTGTAAATTCATTTTCATGCTCCTTAAAAACCTTTAAGTGCCTTCAAGAACGAAGATAATCCTTCAGCGTCTTTAAACAATTCGAAAACTCTCCAAGAGGTTTTAATTATCTTCTTTAAGATGATTTATTAGTCTTTAAAAATTCTTGGGATTAGGTTTAATAAGTGTCTCCAAGTGCTTCATGAGTCTTTTATGAACTTCACTACCTTCAAAGGACTTCCGTCACGTCTTGTGCTTACCTCATTTTCTCTGTTTCAAGCCACCCTCGGGCCCCCTTACCCCTTTCAAACTTCTTCACAGTACCATCTACCCCGAACTCTGGCGATGCCTCAAATTGCAAACATTTTTCGGAACCGTCAGGTCCTCAGAATTCTTCAAATTTATTGTTCCCATTTTTGTCTTGTCTCTTTCCTTCTCCTAACCCCCCCCCCCCCCCACACATTCACTATCAAACTTCTCTGGTTCCTCCTCCCTGTCGCTCTGACCGTTCAGTATGCCCCTTCCTTTTCACGCGGTTTGTCCTCCCCCCCCCCTTCCCCCGCTCTTTGATCTATAGATGCGCCAGAGCCAGACTCTTCAAAGCCAATAGAGAGATCTTCAGAACTTTTGGTAGCTATATAAGAGAGATATGATGACACCTATATTGTATGAGGGGGGGTATCTTATTGACTGCATACCCCAAGACCCCCCGGTGCGACGCCCTCCCCCAAAATGACAATTACTATGGTTGTAATAATTTTGTAGGGAGTGTCATCAAATTTTTCTTTTCTGAGAGATATTCCATACGCAAGAGTTCTAAAGGTTGAACGTTTTGGGGGACATAATGTGCTACCGGAGGGTCTGGGGGGGTATAGAATACCCCCCAGCTATAAAAGAAATGTGGTGACCACTGTCATGGTAGTTTTCGGGAAAAGGTAATTGATTGCTTCTGTGTGCTAGGGGGTATTCAATACCCCCCAGACCCCCCGGTGCGACGCCCTCCCCCAAAATGACAATTAGTATGGTTATAATAATTTGGTAGGGAGTGTCATCAAATTTTCCTGTTCTGCGAGATATTCCATACGCAAGAGTTCTAAGGGTTGAACGTTTTGGGGGACATACTGTGCTACCGGGGGTCTGGGGGGGTATAGAATACCGCCCAGCTATAAAGGAGATGTGGTGACCACTGTCATATGGTAGTTTTCGGGAAAAGGTAATTGATTGCTTCTGTGTGCTCCCCTCCCCCAAAATGACAATTAGTATGGTTGTAATGATTTTGTAGGGAGTGTCATCAAAGTTTTCTTTTCTGGGAGATATTCCACACACGAAAGTTCTAAAAAATTCTGTCTGTGCACCAGAAAAAGTGTCTACTTTGACTCACTTTGTCTGGTACCCCACCAGTAACCTGCATCTAGGATTTCAAAGTTGTAAATGCAAAATATTACAGTGCCCCCCCCCCTGGGGGGTGGGACTTGCTACCTAAAGACCTCACCGTTTTTGTGACCGGCGCAGTAGGTCGTGCTGGACGTGTACCGCGCGTAAAACTGCGGAAACGATTGAACGCACGTTTCTCGCGTCACGACGGGCATCGTAATCTGCATCAGTTCGTCGGTAATCCTACCGTACTGGTCGTAACCCCAACCGACGACGTCACCTACAGACCCAACAGATCAAGTCAAGTCAAGGAAAGTCAACCACCCTCACCGTGCTCCCCGATGATCGAGTCCAGACTCTGCGACTGCGGCCACAGGCAAACCGGACGCACGTAGTCGGTTATGGCGGCCTCTTCCTTAAGCTTGACCAGAGCGATATCGTTGGCGTAGGTGTGCGCGTCATAGTCCGGATGCCGTTTTATTTCCTCGACCGCGTGATCTTGTATGCCCGGATTGGAGAACTTCGACAGGTAATATTTGCCTGAAACAAAAGCAATCATCAGGTCTGAGAGATTGGCACTGTCGAGAGCGCTAAAAAATCCTTAGTGCCTCCGCTGATGATTTTCTTGAAGAATTAGAAGTTAGAAGCGGAAGGGATAAGGCGGAGCTTAAGAAAAGGGTTTGAAGAAAAATTCAAAAGATTCTTCAGATCGCATGTGGTGTAATGGAGTGGCTCCTCAACTACAGCACTGAGGATCACTGGTTCGAATCCGGTTTCGTGCATGGATTTTTTTAAGTGGGTTGAGTTTGAAATTGTGAACAGGAAGGCACAAACGAGGTACAGATCGCAGCACGCAATTTCAAGGTTTGCTCTTTTATGTGCTGCAAATTTCACGAATTTAGTTAATTACAATTGGATTCGGTCATTAGAGAGTATAAACGGTAATCAAATTTAATGAAATTCAATTTGCATGTGAAATAGTTCTAAATAATATGGTCCCATTTAAAGAGGATTGGCCTTGTATGGTAATGAGGCTAAAAATACAATGTCTTAAACTAAGTCAAGGCAATATACAAAATTAAACCTAAATAAACACAATGCAAAGAAAAAAATATAAACAATAATTCATACATTGCAATTGTTAAAAACAAATGCTATTTACTTGGTATTGTGATGTGTGCTGACTAAAAACAAGGGGCGAATATAACAACGCGAGACGAGGCGGAGCAGCCTCTTTCATTTTGCTACAAAACATTGAATTTGTACTCTTTCAGGATGTTTAAAAGTATTCAAGACACTTCAACAGAGAATTGGCTTTTAGAATCTTTAAAAGTCCTTAAGAATCTTTAAAAACGCTTTTAAGAGTTTTGTTTCTAAGAAACTGTAATAGTCTCCATGCATTTTTGAAGATTTTCAAGAGTATCCAAGGCACTTCAAGGGATTTCTCCGCGAATTGACTATTAGAATCTTTAAAAATCTTTAAAAGCGCTTTTAAGAGTTTTGTTTCTAAGAAACTGTAATGGTGTCCATGCATTTTTGAAGATTTTCAAGAGTATCCAAGGCACTTTAAGGAATTTCTCCGCGAATTGACTACTAGAATCTTTAAAAGCGCTTTTAAGAGTTTTGTTTCTAAGAAACTGTAATAGTCTCCATGCATTTTTGAAGATTTTCAAGAGTATCCAAGGCACTTCAAGGGATTTCTCCGCGAATTGACTATTAGAATCTTTAAAAATCTTTAAAAGCGCTTTTAAGAGTTTTGTTTCTAAGAAACTGTAATGGTGTCCATGCATTTTTGAAGATTTTCAAGAGTATCCAAGGCACTTTAAGGAATTTCTCCGCGAATTGACTACTAGAATCTTTAAAAGCGCTTTTAAGAGTTTTGTTTCTAAGAAACTGTAATAGTCTCCATGCATTTTTGAAGATTTTCAAGAGTATCCAAGGCACTTCAAGGGATTTCTCCGCGAATTGACTATTAGAATCTTTAAAAATCTTTAAAAACGCTTTTAAGAGTTTTGTTTCTCAGAAACTGTATAAGTCTCCATGCATTTTTGAGTAGAGAGATCCAAGGCACTTCAAGGGATTTCTCCGCGAATTGGCTTTTAGAATCTCTAAAAGTCCTTAAGAATCTTTAACAACTCTTTAAGAGATTTGTTTCTAAGAAACGGTATGAGTTTCCATGAATCTCCAAAGATTTTTAAGGATATTCAAGCCACACCAAGAGTTTTTTAGAGGCTTTTACAGTCATTAAATCGAATCTTTAGCCTCTAAGAGACTCCAAAGAGCATCCAAGACACTCTAAAGATCTTTTGGAGTCTTGTAAACACTTTTATGTACGATGTGTTGCCTACACTCCCAGTAATTATCGGTCTCGGTGCCAAATTTGAACTTACCCAAATAAACTCGCATGCTGTTCGGATTTAACGCGTTCGCCGCCTTCGCCTTCGTAACGCAATGCGCGACGGTAACGACGTAGAACGACGATATGAGAACGCCCCCGCAGACGTACACCAAATCGAACCCCTTCGACCGATACAGAGCCACGTGCCACGGGTACTCCCCCTCGACCGTCGACGTTCCGTACGTAATTAGAGGTTTCGGTTGCGGCTGAAAATACGTCCAGTAAACGGGAAAGCTAACGACGTGAGGTTCCGGGTACACGAAGCTTCTCTTAGATCGTCTGATCTAAAAACGTACACCGGCGAATAGACACGGCCTCGCAAACGATAGCACTTACTATAACTGTTCCGCACTCGTCCGTCGAACCGCCCTGATGCGGTCTAATGAAGGCAAAATCGCTCGGGTAGTAGTCCTCGTCTTCGTTCGACGCGGGCGGCGGTAGAAAGCCGAACGACAACCTACGAGTAAATGTGAGTGGTCAAACGGACACTTCCGCGGATATTACGGTCGGCTTAGTGAGTTAGTCGGTTCCGGGCAGACAGTTTTGTCGTTAAGGCTTAACGAAGTTAGTTTGGGCGAAGGCGAGCCTTTGTAGTTTAGATAGAAGCGGATAGTCTGAGGTCTGTGAGCTTTTAGGGTAAAGTTAGTATTTTCAATTACGTAATCTTTGTTGTTAGTCGTGGAGACTTCACCAAACCAGTTCTGAAAGTGTGGATTAGCGGGGAAAGTGGCGCGATTGTGTACGTACCCCGAGTTCCAGAGAGGGCCGGTCGAATTGTAGACGAAGTCGAATTCCGGTCAAGTCCTCCGAGCTGAGTAGAGTGATTATCCCGTACCATCGACCGACTTGCATGTGCTCGTAGACGAATAGTCTCGGACAGGGGGAGGTTTCTAAACCGTTATTTAATTTTACTAGAGCAAGGAGGGTGAGTAGTAATTTACCCATAATTTCACTGCCTGTACTATCATTATCATTAGTTCACGAAGTTTACGCAATTTAAATGTAATTAAATTTGCATTTATTGAGCAAGTTTACCTTGCTATTCATAATTTGGGAAATTGTTAACCTTGAACTGTTCACTTTTTCAAATTCCCGCGCGTTTCCACATAACCTCATTTCGTCAACGGGCACATAACCACAACTTCAAAACAGGAGACATAACCTCATTTTACAATGTTCTTAATTTCTCGCCTTTTAACTGCAGTATCGTAAGTATTTCGGTTTTTAGTGTCGCTGTTGATGTTGAAATTTGGCAGGAGAACTTCAGTCGGCAACTTTCACTCTTTGGCTGTCTCGCCCTCGGCAGGACCATCTCCCGGTGGTCTGTACGGTGTTTTCGTGCGCTACGTAATCAGGAATCACTTCCCGAGGCCTAGCGAGCGAAAAAGGATCAAGCGCCACGGCTGGAATAAGCGAATGTCGACCCCTGCCGGGCAACGGGTAATAATGCGCAGAATGTTAAAGGGCAAACATGTATTGACTCATTAATTGTATAAAAGAGAATAAAACTAGCTAGTAATAGTCGAACGAATCCAGTCTAAGTGTTTGGCGACGTCCGTGAATACGATGTAGTTCGAGGTGTCGCACACGACCTTCTCATTTTGCAAGGCGACGCTGAGCGAGATGACGCCTCTCAGTTGCCACACGGTGCCACCGCCGACCTGCTTGGAGAAGACCATTCCCCCGCCCGAATCTCCGGTACACGCCGAGGTGCCGTTACGAAATCCGGCGCAGTAGGTCTTGTCGGAGGTGAAGCGCGAGAAAAAGTCTCGGTTCGAAAATATGCACGTTTCCGTCGAGACGACTGGCATTTTCGCCTGCATCAGTGTTTCGGTGACGTCGCCGGACTCGTCGAAGCCCCATCCGACCACCGTGCCTAAAACGGAAGTGTTAGCGCGAGGGGACCGGGCGAACGGCTTACCTAGCCGGTTGATGATCACGCTCAGCTCCAACTCTTCCTCCCAGAGGCAGACCGTCCGTACGAAGTTGGTGATTTCGGCGGGTCTTTCTAGGTGTAGGATTGCGAGGTCGTTATGTAAGTAAGAGGCGTTGTATTGAGGGTGAATCGATATTTTGCTGACCCCCATGTTCTGTACGCCCCCATCTTGCTTATACAGATTGTATTTTCCTGTAGGGATTCTGTGTAGAAATCGGACAGAATTGTCATGCCAAAAAGGCCGAGCGGTGTGACACTTCCAAAAAGTTGTATGTACATTAACAATTGATGCACAGGGTACTCCAGCTGGAGTGTTCTATTTTTCGAGTTTTTAAGTGCCTTTGAGGATCCCTGAGCCTTTAAAATTCGCTTCCTCGGCTCCTTCAGATTCCTCAATCATCTTGATTTCTTATGCCTTAAGCATTTAGTGAGCCTTTTGAAGGTATTTAAGGGCCTTAGAAGTCCCATCAGTAAATGGGGGTGCAACAGAACTGGCCACCAAAACGCATTTTGAGAAATTCTGACAAACTTTTGCAAGTGCCTCGCCCTCGTGTCACGCTTACCTAAATATATGAGTAGTAGCTCCTGATTGATGATGATGTTCGTCTTGGACTTGGTCACGCAATGCGCGGCGGTCACTACGTGATTGCGCGAAATTAAACTTCCCCCGCACAGATACTGCATGTTCGCGCCCTTGTAGCGATAGAGAGCGGCGTGCCACGGCCATTCGCCTACGGAAGTGCAAGATATACAAGTGGGGACGACGATAGACGTGTTACCTTCCGTAGTGCTCTGCCCGTAAGTGATTAAGGGGCGCACCTCGATCTTGACCGTGCCACAACCCTCGGCGGTCTGCTGCGGCTTCGGCGGTATCACAATGGGCTGTCGGGTCGGCGAGAAATCGCCCGCGAAGAAGTCGTCCTCCGTAGTTATTTGGCGGGGGGTGGTCATTTTCGTTCGAATATTACTTATATGCAAAACTGGGGCGGGTGTAGTCGCATCGGGGCCACCGCAAATTACTCTACCGTTTAACTTAATTCGTACCACGCTCGGCACCCCCTCCTTCGGATCGAAACGTACAAAGAACCGTATGGAGAGAGGATCATCGGTCGCCCTCAACACCTGATTTCGATTTTTGATCACGAAATCCAAATTGTTCTCCGTGGTGGACTCCCCGAACCAATTCTGCAACTGAATTCTGCAATTATGTCTTTGAAACGCACTTCTCATATTTACCCCGAGCAGTATCGCCGGCGAGTCCAACTCGATTGTCACCCACACCCCGTTGAGCGTCTCCGGGGTGACTAGTGTTATACGTCCGTACCATCGGTCCCTCTCCGACTTGGTCTCGTAGGCGAACACATCGGGACACTGCGAGGGTTGGGAAAGTACATATCTAATGCAAAACAGCAGCAGTAAAGGCCACATATCGTCATGCAAATGTTCCAATTAGTAGTAGCTTAAGGTATATACGCCTTCGCTCATTAATAAGCAATTAACTTGATGTTAATTACAAGTAATTTAGGCAGAGATTGGTTTTCTTTAATGCTCTACATTATCTCGGAACACAATTTTGTAAACAAATATTTCCGATAAGCCTTGAGCTTTGACCTTTACTTAGTAATTGAGAGTACCTAACGTTCAACGGAAATCGCACTTGTAATAAAAGGGAAATACCGCAAATATTTTCGATTAAAATATACGCATCCGACTGGTTTTTCAAGTTTGAAGAATTTTTACCGCCATTCGATTGTATTCCAGTGGCGTAGCGGAGAAATGGTCACATTGGGAGGGCGCTTGTAATTAATTTTTTTCTGATTTTTTAGATTAGTCCACCTCTGGATCTGGCGATCCGCGTTAAGGTGACGCACAGCAGAATGCGCGGTGGCTCCAGTTGAGCGGCAAATTCAAATATAGGTAGGTATCCAATGGCGGCGTTACTGATAAAAATTCTAGCCAATGGTAGCTGAAAAACATGTAGAAGACGGTTCCTAGGAGACTCCATGTTTACTATTGCTCCGAAGGTTGTGTGTTATCGAAGGCATTTTCAATGGCAGATGTTAGGGACAGTTCATAGGACGGCACTCCTCTGGCTACTGGTGGAGGATTTATACTATTCTCAAGAGGAACGTTTCCGCAATTCATTTTCGACTATATGTACTATTGAAAACTTCCATATTAGGAGAAAATAATGAAGGAGAAGTTATCTCTTCTGCTCCTAATAAATAAAGTATTAATTGGAAAACACAATAAACGAAGTATTTTTCTTGTCGTAAGATAAATGTATCCACAATTGATTGTCGTTTCGATTAGGTTTTCTCAACGGCTACCATGATAGTGCTAGGGGTAATACAGAAAGAATTGTTAAGTCCTGCTTTATTGAGGGTAGTCTGTTGGAGGGGATTCCAACTCCCTCCCCCCCCCGCCCATTGCCTACCCCCTAGTATTTACAGAGATTCGTTTTCCTTTTCCCTACAACTACCATGATGATATGATAAGGGTAATGCAGAAAGAATCCTTCTTGGTTGAGGGCGTTCAGCTGGGAGTATTCAATACCCCCAAACCTCTCCGCCCAATAGGTCGCAGCGGGAGGTCTGGGGAGTATAATACCCTTCAGTATATACAAAGTCTGTAAGAGTCTCCATGAATCTCCAAAATTTTCAAGAGTATCCAAGGCACTTCAGAGGTTTTCTCCTCGAATTGGCTTTTAGAATCTTTAAAAGTCCTTAAAAATCTTTAAAAACACTTTAAGAGATTTGTTTTTTAAGAAACTGTAAGAATGTCCATGAATCTCCGAAGATATTAAAGAGTATCAACGGCACTTCAAGAGATTTCTCCGCGAATTGGCTTTTAAAATCTTTAAAAGTCTTTAACAATCTTTGAAAACGCTTTTAAGAGATTTATTTCTAAGAAACTGTAATAGTCTCCATGCATTTTTTGAAGATTTTAAAGAGTATCAAAAGCACTTTTAGAATCTTTAAAAAGCCTTAAGAATCTTTAAAAACGCTTTAGAGATTTGTTTCTATGAAACTGTACGAGTCTCCATGAATCTACGAAGATTTTAAAGAGTATCAAAGGCACTTCAAGGGAATTCTCCACAAATTGGGATTAGAATTGGACAAGTATACAAAGACCATCAGGTATAGAGACACCACCTTTGAAAGAGATGTTGACTTTAAGATTTCAACGAGGATACGCCTAAAATTTCAATAGCTCGAAGGTAAATCCTAGGGTCAAGCGGGGCCCTGCGCCAAAGCTTGTGTCTGGGTCGTTGGTACACGTGATGCAACCCAACATCAGGGACCAAGGGTCTCAGATTGGAGGGAAGCACTCCTGGAGCACCCAAAGTTGTGGGCGCACCAAGAACCAATGGGCAAGTCGCTGCGGCGTTGCTCAGGGTCGCCATTGTTCCAGTTCTGGAAAAGACCAAGGTTGTTCCATTTAGAAGGAGAACGAACCTTAATGGGCTCACTTTTCGAGGGTCTAATAATAATAATAATAATCTTTAATTCAAAAAATTGTAAATAACAATTACAGAAACGTCAAGTCACAAACAAAACATGTAAATTTGTGGACAAACAATTCAGGTGCATCCAGTAGGGTCAAGTCAGTAAAATATTTGGGATCAAAGACTCCCTCCTGTGTCGGAAGCACTTCTGGGACTAGCGCCTTTACACTTAGCTGTGGAGGCAGAAACTCAAAAGGCTTTTATACGGCTAAACGATTGGGACGAATGGAATGATCGACGCAGCCTTGGGCACGGGTAGATCTGGGAGAAAACCCTAAGATCCAATCCCGTAAAAAGGGATGTGATCTGGCCTGTCTTACTAAGACCAAAGAGTTATAAAGTCACTCTCTCGGAAAGGGAGCAGTGGCTGAAGTCAGGGCCAAGATTAAAGATTCGGGTGCCCAGTCAATTTGAGGCTCAGTGACAACAAGCAACTGGACTCAGACAGGGCCCCTTGGTAAATGTGGGTCTTCTTAGCTTCTAAAACTGAAAAGCTGGCTAAAGAGGCCAGATTAAGAAGATAATCGTGTCTTTACGGGGCACTTGGTGGTCGCCACTATCACCGGCACAACATATTGGGCTTCTAAGAGAGCCCAAGTACAATAAGTTAGGCTAAAAAGGAGAGGAGGGGGTTTTGAACCTAGTTGCGAAACAAAGGGGGTAGGCGATGTGTCTAAAGTGCTGCCTGGTCGAGCTCCCTTTATGAATAGAATAGCCTCTAAAGGGTCTGAAATCGGGTCTAGAGTATTTTAAACGTTCGGAGAACCTTTCATTAGCAAGTCTTTAAGGGCATTTGACTGCCCTTCAAAATGTTTAAAAATGCCTAATAGCTCTTAATGATGGCGAAGTGATAGTCGTTTAAACTCTAAAAACTGGAACAAAAAATTACAAAGGTCTTCAAGACCCCTTCAAGGGACACAACAAGAATTTTCCAGAAAGGCCTACGAGATTCCCTCTTTTTTCAAGAGAGGAGCCTTTAAAGATCTTAGGTGCTTTCAAAAACATTTGAACACTTTTAAAGGTCGAGCTTATTAACACGAAACCCCTACAAGTTTTCAAGAGACTTTAGACCTTTGTTTAAGAATGTTTGAAAAGCGAACCTTGAGAAGCCTTTAAGACCATCAAGAAGCATTTGTAAATCTTTACACGACTCAAAAGTGTGAGGAATCGAAGACGAGGTCAGCAAAGTCTAATAACTGAAAGACCGACAAAATTGAGCAGTCGGAGGAAGAAATCGAGTGGGGTGTGATGGATTTTAAGGGTGAGAGGTCTGAAGAAGACCCTCAAGGGCAGGGGAAGCAGGAGAACCTTTGACGTAAACATGGACAAATTGCACAGCTTTCGGATTAAAGATCGTAAACTATCGTTTGTTTTGTTCCTAGAAAGTGTTTTATTTACGTTTTGGATTAAAAGACACGTCCAGCAGGTTACGTAAGATGTGTATATAACGATAAATGGGAAGCCGAATAGTTAATTTGCAATTGCAATGGTACATTTGAAACCGTTTTTAGAATTCGAAGAATGTTTAGTAAACAAAAAATCGGATGCATTTGATTGGACCATTTTTTCAGACGGGCCAATCAGAGAGACTCTCGCAGTCGTGACGTCAGTATCGCAAGCTTCATCACGTGATCCAGTGTGTCGTTGCTGCCGTGCCGGGCGTGTTGTACTCTTTTCGTTTTCTCATAATTTGGGAAGTGCGACATTAAAATAAACTTAAAAATAGGCAATTAAAAGACGCGGAAAATAGTTGGACGTCGTTCGTTTCGGTCCGTAATACGTAAATCGGTGTACAAACGTAATTTAAGCTACGAAAAGTTATGGCGTCCCTACTAACCTACTTTTAGTTCGAATTTAAATCGGCGTTTGCGTGCTGGATCTCGGGACGCGATCGCGTAAATTTTTATTTTGTTGTTAAAATCAACCCTTAAATTAATAAAAACTGACGGGGGAGTGTTAGTAAATCGGTCTTTTCGGTGTCATTTGAAGATTATCGAAATTTAAATAAAATGGCGTCCTATTTCAAATTCACTTGTTTGCGTTTAAAACTTAACGTTTTGTGCCCCATTTTTCGTCTTTGGAATCAAGAAGCCCAAGATTTCAATGATATGTTGATTTGGGGTAAGTTTGTAAACCTTTACAAGTTGCATGGTAACGGTTACGATAATGCCTTGCGCCACCCTTAAGATATGACGTAGCTGGTATCGATGGTGACAATCCGTTCAAAGTATTCGGTATATTTCATTTCGGCTAGGGCCAGAATTCATTTATCAGTCACAAAACGTAGAGCTGAACAGTAACGAAGTAAAATTTTCTTGACGCACTGTACGATAACCGCACTCTAATACTTTGCTACCCTTCATATTAATCCGAATCACGAGACGAAGCGCTACCTAAAGGCGGGAATACTTTAGGAAGGTTTCTCAGTTGCCGTTTGATAGCGGTGTCGAGGTGTATACATCCCCCCCTAAGTCAGACGTACGGTGGTATTTACACCTCGACAGCAACTTGCGCGAGAAATCTTGTTAGAGTATTCTCGCCTTTAGGTGGCGCTCATGAAGCGCTTCGTCTGTTTAATGGATCCATTGTCACATGCATTCAAGTTGTTTTTTAACACGTCAACCGTCAGAGGGGTCTTCTGTACTGGTGCTAGAACAGTTATCGCATGTCAGCCGGCTGCAATACTTATGTTAAACGGTCACCCCATTTGTACAACCGGCGTCGTTAAATACTATCTCCTACGACAGTCGGCTGTACATGTGGCGGCCAACGTGCTAATATACAGTGGAATGACCACAGGCTTGCAGAAGACTGCGCTACGATTGTGACAATTTCATCGAAATGCTGGTACTTACGGTCGCAACTCTGTCAATTGTGCGTTATTTCGTTAAAACTCCATTTGCTTCGCTCTAGACCTACGTTTCTCTGCTTTACAAACAATTCCACTGCGTCAGTTTATCTTTTTGGAGTCCATTTCAGTTTTCCCCCGGCAGCTTTAAGTAATTTCAGAAAGTACATTCCAAGTCCACACGGATCTTGCCAATTTTACTAATTTAATTCGGGTCGCTGCCAAGTAACGGGAACCGTACAAATCGTTGTCGTTCACATCTTGATTCTCCTCCGATACCTGAGATATTGACAAATGAAGATCGAGTCACAAGCACAAACCAAGTGACAGGATACTCTCCTCGAGAACGTTTTACAAAATGAGACACGGGGGCCCACACCGGCTACCAACCAGGATTCGTATCCCAATTCTTTCATCCATGGCGACACTCATTGAGTTAGAAGACAGCGGCACTTCTTCCACCCGCATCTCTGTTTAATTCCTTTTCACTTCATCAACAGGTGACTTAATTTCAGTAAACTGTCATGCACGAATCAGAGAATAATAATAATAATAAATATAAGTAATGAACTGTAGGATAAAATATTGAACAGTGGCGTAGATGTTGTAAGTAAATTCTAGTTAATTTTTGTCATGATCTCTCTTCCGTCTTTGGATTAATCCGAGGATATCATGAATGCTTATATTCAGGAAAGTAGATAAGGAAAGGTGATGTGCATGATCCTAGCAGAGAAAGACACAATCAAACATATTGCATAATTAGGTGGTAATTAAGTACCCTATTAACGAATTAAATGCTTCCCTTTTTAAAAAAAATTATGACGTCTGCCAGGTTCATTTGAACTCGGCAGAGCACTACCTTAAAAAACCAAGAAAATGAAAAGTGAATAAACTAATAATTAGGTGCTAATTAAGTGCCCTATGCCCCTATTACGGAATTAAATGCTCCCTTTTTTTAAAAAAAAATTATGACATGTTCTGCCAGGTTCATATGAACTCAGCAGAGCACACCTTAAAAAACCAAGAAATTGAAAAGTGAATTAACTAATAATTAGGTGCTAATTAAGTGTCCAATTACCGAATTAAATGCTCCCTTTTATTTTAAAAAATCATGACATGTTCTGCCAGGCTCATTTGAACTCGGCAGAGTACTACCTTAAAATACCAAGAAAATGAAAACTGAACTAACTAATAATTAGGTGCTAATTAAGTGCCCAATTACAGAATTAAATGCTCCCGTTTGGGGCGTTTTTGTACAGGGCTATCAAGGAAGAACCTGTGGTTACTCGTGATATATTGGGCTTCTAAGAGAGCCCACGTATAAGTTAGGGTAAAAAGGGTTTCATTCTTTATTGAGAGGAGCGAGCTCTGAACCGAGTTGCGAAAGAAAGGGGGTAGGCGGTGTGCCTATAAGTGCTGCCTAGTCGAGCACCCTTCATGAATAGAATATAGCCTCTAATGGGTCTGAAGTCGGGTCTAGAGTTTTTTAAACGTTTTGATAACCTTTAATTAGCTTTTAAAGTCTTTAAGGGCAGCCCTTCAAAATGTTTAAAATGACTAATACAGTCAAGCCAAGCAAACAAGTACGTCAAGAAGGTGATGGTTTGGTGTCGCTGTATTTTAGAAGTACACTGTGTCAATAGTGTTTGGGGAGAAATTTAAACTTGTTCTATTTTGGCATTTTTTTAATGTAGCTACGTTTGGAAACTGGAGAAAGAAATTTAATACAAGAATTATAAATCGAAATAACAAAATAGTTACCTAAGTACTACCATTGTATAAAATGGTACTACTAATGACAAAGCAGTGCGTATTTAAAACTAATTAAACGCTATCGTCGTCACTTTCTTCCTCACTGATTTCAGAACCTTCGCTTGATGTGCCAGTGATTACCGTGAAAGATAAACTTTCTACAGCTTCATCTAACAATCCATGGCGTTGCCAAGTTGATTCTTCCAATCTCTTAATGTGGATTATGTCGTATCCAGACTTATACTTTTCGATTTGATGATGAGCTGTACCCAATTTATTTCATCCTGCTTCAGTCAGTTTTATATACACCAGGTTCTTCTTCTGTTAGCAAGCACTCCATTAAATGGATGGACGTAGGTTTCGTCAAAAAATGTGATCTTTACCTCCAATGCAGTCAATTTTCGCTTCTTCATTTTATTAACTAAATTATTTATTGTAGAGACTTTGTTATGGATCATATAAATTGCATTCTTCAATACGCCTAAATGAGAATTATCCAATGTTATTTTGTAGGAAGTTGCACTTCGTTGCGTCTTTGATGGAAATTTCCATGTCCTATCATCGGCAAGTTTGACTTCGATCTACAGGATAACAATAAGTATTTATTTCAGAGGAATATTAATTAAATGCACATTACCTAATCTTGGTTATGAATTTCGTTGGTTTGCCGGTCGCAGCAGCAGCTAGCACCCTTTCCCAAAGGAAATATCTACACACCGGCAGCTTTCTCTTTGCCGAAGAATTCCACGACCCTTTTAATAACATTTCTGGCTTCGGAATGCACAATTGCAGAGGTTTGTTTCTCTTTTCTTGCCGTACGGATAAAATTGGCGCAACTATCACATTTTTTACGGACTGTACACGCCTGCTTTTCTAAATTAGTTCGCATATTTTCTGAGAGACTTGTTTACTTGGTGGTGCTGTAGGTCTCAATGATGGCGAAGTGATAGTCGTTTAAAGTCTAAAAACTTTTCTGGAACAAAAAATTACAAAGGTCTTCAAGAGCTTCCAAAGGGATCAAGTTTTCAGGAAAGCCTATGAAATTCCCCCTTTCTTCAAGAGAGGAACCTTCAAAGGTCTTAGGCGCTTTCAAAAACATTTGAACTTTTTTAAAGGTCGAGCTTATTAACACGAAACCCCTACAAGTTTTCAAGAGACTTTAGACCTTTGTTTAAAGATATTTGAAAAGCCAGCCTTAAGACCATCAAGAAGCATTTATAAATCTTTAAACGATTCAAAAGTGTGAGAAATCGAAGACAAGGTCGGCAAAGTCTACGAACTGAAAGACCGACAAAATTGAGCAGTCGGAGGAAGAAATCGAGTGGGGTGCGATGGATCTTAAGGGTGAGAGGTCTGAAGAAGACCCTGAAGGGCAGGGAAACCAGGAGGGCCATTGACACAAACATGGACAAATTGTACAGCTTTCGGATTAAAGATCGGAAAGTGTTTTATTTACGTTGTGGATTAAAAGACACGTCCCGCAGGTTACGTAAGATGGGTATATAACGATAAATGGGAAGCCGAATAGTTAATTTGCAATAGCAATAGGACATTTGAATTATTTGAAACCGTTTTTAGAATTCGAAGAATGATTAGTAAACAAAAATTCGGATGCATTTGATTGGACCATTTTTTCAGATGGGCCAATCAGAGAGACTCTCGCAGTCGTGACGTCAGTATCGCAAGCTTCATCACGTGATCCAGTATGTCGTTGCTGCCGTGCCGAGCGGGTTGTACTCTTTTCGTTTTCTCATAATTTGGGAAGTGCGACATTAAAATAAACTTAAAAATAGGCAATTAAAAGACGCGGAAAATAGTTGGACGCCGTTCGTTTCGGTCCGTAATACGTAAATCGGTGTACAAACGTAATTTAAGCTACGAAAAGTTATGGCGTCCCTACTAACCTACTTTTAGTTCGAATTTAAATCGGCGTTTGCGTGCTGGATCTCGGGACGCGATCGCGGAAATTTTCATTTTGTTGTTAAATTCAACCCTTAAATTAATAAAAACTGACGGGGAAGTGTTAGTAAATCGGTCTTTTCGGTGTCATTTGAAGATTATCAAAATTTAAATAAAATGGCGTCCTATTTCAAATTCACTTGTTTGCGTTTAAAACTTAACGTTTTGTGCCCCATTTTTCGTCTTTGGAATCAAGAAGCCCAAGATTTCAACGATATGTTGATTTGGGGTAAGTTTGTAGACCTTTACAAGTTGCACGGTAACGGTTCCGATAATGCCTTGCGCCACCCTTAAGATATGACGTAGCTAGTATCGACGGTAACAATCCGTTCAAAGTATTCGGTATATTTCATTTCGGTATAAATGCTAGGGCCCGAATTCATTTATCAGCCGCAAAACGTGAGGCTGAACAGTAACGAAGGAAAATTTTCTTGGCGCACTGTACGATAACCGCACTCTAATACTTTGCTACCCATCATATTAATCCGAATCACGAGACGAAGCGCTACCTAAAGGCGGGAATACTTTAGCAAGGTTTCTCACGCAAGTTGCCGTTTGATAGCGGTGTCGTGGTGTATAGATCCCCCCCTAAGTCGGACGTACGGTGGTATTTACACCTCGACAGCAACTTGAGCGAGAGATCTTGTTAAGAGTATTCTCGTGTTTAGGTGGCGCTCATGAAGCGCTTTGTCTGTTTAATGCATCCATTGTCACATGCATTCAAGTGGTTTTTATCACGTTAACCGCCAGAGGGGTCTTCTGTACTGGTGCTAGAACAGTTATCGCATGTCAGCCGGCTGCCATACTTACGTTAAACGGTCACCCCATGTGTACAACCTGCGTCATGAAATACTATCTCCTACGACAGTCGGCTGTACCTGTGGCAGCCAACGTGCTAATATACAGTCGAATGACCACAGGCTTGCAGAACACTGTGCTACGATTGTGACAATTTCATCGAAATGCTGGTACTTACGGTCGAAACTCCGTCAATTCTGCATTATTTCGTTAAAACTCCATTTGTTACGCTCTAGACCTACGTTTCTCTGCTTTACAAACAATTCCACTGCGTCAGTTTATCTTTTTGGAGTCCATTTCAGTTTTCCCCCCGCAGCTTTGAGTAATTTCAGAACGTACATTCCAAGTCCAAACGGATCTTGCCAATTTTACTAATTTAATTCCGGTTGTTGCCAAGTAACGGGAACCGTACGCACCGTTGTCGTTCACATCTTGATTCTCCTCCGATACCTGCGATATTGACAAATGAAGATCGAGTCACAAGCACAAACCAAGTAACGGGATACTCTCCTCGTGAACATTTTACAAAATGAGACACGGGGGCCCACACCGACTACCAGGATTCACATCCCAATTCGATCATCCATTGCGGCACTTCTTCCACCCACATCTCCGTTTATTTCCTTTTCACTTCATCAACAGGTGACTTTTTCAAAGTAAACTGTCATTCACCAATCACAGGGTATAAGTAATGAACTGTGGGATAGAATATTCACCAGTGGCGTACGTGTTCTAAGTAACTTGTAGTTAATTTTTGTGATGATCTCTCTGCCGTCTTTGGATTAATCTGAATGCTTTCTAAAAGAACAAAACAAACATGATCATTTCCGATATTCATGAACGTCCTAATTAAGTGCCCTATTACCGAATTAAATGCGCCCCTTTTTTAAAAAAATTATTACATGTTCCGACAGGTTCATATAAACTCATTAGAGCACTACCTTAAAATACCAAGAAAATGAAAAGTGAACTATCCAATAATTGAGCGCTAATTAAGTGCCCTATTACTGAATTAAATATATGTATAGTAAAAATCAAATGCGCACATGGTATTGCTTTCAAAAAATATTAATAAATTGAACATTTTGATTAACTCAGCGATTGATTTTATTTGATAATATTTCTCCTTTCAGTTCTTGAGGAACGAGGAATTCGAGGAAGATCTGCAGTGTTTCATCTCTACTTTGGTTGATGGTTCTTCCCGGGAGAGACTGAATGAATGAGGCTAAAGGGTAAGTGTTCATTCCTTTTACTGCAATAAGTGTTTATAGGCCAATTTCTTTAAGAAAACGGTCAAACGCAAGCAAATGCTTGACTGTCCCAGTCAAAATTTATAATTGTTTTAAACCATAAATACTCAAAACACAAAATATTTTAATATCATTTCTAACGTAAATCTTCTCGTTGTTACAGATTGCAGAAAGGCGGCCTCATAAAGGTAGGATTTTTCCTTTTCTGCATGGTGTATAGCATGTCATATTTTTTGTAAGGGGGGGCAAAAGTGAATAGTGAATATATCAACAAGATGGAAGATCAACAATTGCTCTTCGCTTGAGTTCCATGCTATAACCCTATGCAAGTTGTAACAATCTCCTTCTGTCACCCTGGTGACGTAGGATTGGATTATTACACCTTCGTGTGTTATTGCACGAAGTTCAGCTTAGAGGAAGGTAAGTGCGTGTTCATAATATTAATGAATTAGTTCATTAACCAAAAAAAGAATTGTACTTGAACTCGCATTACAATGGTTACCTGATTACTAATCTCGTCAATTGTTACAGCTCCATCGACGTCACTTAACCTGATGGTGAGGATTACGCCTACCACCAGTGCTGGGTTAAGGGTTTCTGAGCTAGGGGGCTACCTACGAAAGCCTCCCCCCCCTCTCCCTTTTAACTGACAAGAAAAAATTGAACAAAAAATTAAATTCCTTTGTTTATTTAGAAAAAAATTGTTGTACCACTTTTTTGGCCTTTTGAAAATTTTCAAATTATTATTTCTATGCTTTTTCCCTTTCATATGATGTACAGGTTGTTCGAAAAGTATGGAATATCGTATATATCTTGGTAAACATCCACCTTTTGAAAAATGTTTTCATTTTTTTTAAAACAAAAGCGCAATAGGTAATTTTCTTAATGACAAAGATCAATTGTTGCCAACTTAATTGATATAGTTTTTTATTCCTATTCATTTCTATATACTTTAAATGGGTATTTCGCTCACACATGGATGTCAACCAATCTAAATTAGTAACTTTTTACTTCAAGTTCAGGTACTACTTTGACAGTTCTAAGACGCAATTTAAACAAAATTTTTATTTTTGTTTAAAAAAAAATTAAATTCCATGTGATAAAAAATTTCATAAACAATAACTTTTATTTGAAACATTTTTTTTATAAAATGGATATTTACTACAAAGATGTATACTTTTCGGACACCCTGTACATACACAAAGTCATTTTCAAAAATCTTTAATCAATCGTCAAGACTAGCAATAAACAATTGAACCAGAAACAATATTTTGAAACTTGTTGATCCCTTAGTTTATTTCTGGTTTGTACCATTCAATCTTTTTGGACATACATATTATTATTATTATTATAGTACTAGGGATGGCCCCAGTCGGTTCCTGCATTGCGACCTTGTGCTCCCCGGTAGTGTCTACTCTTCAAGAATACCTGTGTCTTTAACAGAGTTCAGGATATTGATAGTTCAAACCTTTGTTACTTCCCCTTGTGTAATTTTCTTATTTCCAAGTAGGCGTTCCCTATTGCCTTTTGTGCTGGCGATATATTATGAGTATTTTCAAAATGCGACCGTCGCTGCCCACATCTTCTGTTTGCTTTATCCGAATCGACCACGAACCATCTCCGCCAGCATATTAAATGCTTCTTGGTTAAAAATTGGCATTTTAGAAAAGATTCAAAATTCAAAAAACTTTCTGAATGTGAATACAGCAGAATAATTTACAAATTACAGCTGTTATTATTTTATAATGCATTGTGTTTCATTTTTTTAATTTTCCAAGGCCTACCTAAAAGTGTAGGGTCCTTTTTCAAACAATCTTTCGCGCCATCCACAAATACCAAAAATACGTCAAATAAGATTGCATTTTTATTAATTAATCTCATTTTCCCAATATTAGGTTAGGAGCGAGATTTTGAAAAACGGTTTTCACTGGCCTCTTTGGGTGATATTAGGCTACTTTTTCTTAAAGAAAAAATCATTTGATTTTGTTAGGATTTTAGATCATAGTGTCTTCCCCCTGGCGGAGAAGGATTCAACTAAATTAACTATATTTTGGTTGCTCTTTTCAACGATACCAAATTTGTTACAATCGGTCAAACGGTTAAGAAGTTAAAACTGGTTATTGCGAAAACAATTGAACGCCCCACGCCATCTTTGCTTTTGAAATAACTGAGTTTTTGTTTTTACGAAAATGATAGATAAGGTTCTTCGCTTCAACGAGTCGAAGTTTCGCCCCCTCCCATTCCTTCAGCCACGCATTCCCTCGGTCCGACCCTTAGGATTTAGGAAAGTTGCTGAGGTTGTCTCCTCTTGGTCCGGGCGGTAAAACCGAGACCGCCGGCACCATCCTGAGCCCACCAGGTTCGCGCATGGTATATCGACACGTTTAACCCCGTGCAAGCTCCTCGTCACGATAGAACAGGGGGGGGAGCTGGTCCGCGATGGCATCTTTGGCTGCTACCAGTCGTTGTTTCATAAGTGGCAAGCATCTTTATCTCTAGCATTAACCTTTGCGTCACTTGACGCTCATACGCTTAGGCCGTTCCCCTATCCGCTAGTAGGTGCCACCCCTCAGTTTTTTAAATACTCAAGTACAGGGTTTTTCCCTAAATATGATGTAAATATGGAAGGAGGTAATTGTTTGGCTTATATTTTAACTAAAAACGCTTCGTTCCCGATCTACAGGGCATTAAAGTTTCAAGATTTTTTTATATCTAACAGTTTTTGAAATATTTTGCTCAAATTTGAAATATAACATTTTCTACCCCTGAATTTTTTTTTCGGTGCGCCACTGGTGGATTGCAAAATTGATCGTCTGCTTTGTTTGGGCACTCTGTTCGATCTCTTGTATTTTTTTCATATTTGCGACCTTTATCTAAAAAAAAAATAAAGATTGATTTCGGTACTTTGGTAAATGAAACTAAAATTTGTCAAATGGTCCAGTAGGCCCTGGTTTTAATAATTTCTAACACCCTGTAGATCGGTAACGAAGCGTTTGGGGACCTATATTTATTTGAACTTTTAGTCATCAAATAAACCTCTTTTACATAGTATTTAGGAACGCCTTGTATAATAATGTTTTAAAACTTGGAGCCCCTAGAACATCGGGATTCCAAGGCTGTAGCCCCCATAGTCTCACCCTTAATCCGACGTTGCCGACGACCGCTACGATGGATCAGAGTAAATTCAACACAGAGTTTACACAAACGAGGTGAGTAGTGAGTACCTCAGTGTCCTTAACAGGAATTCCCAAATAAAATTTTGATTTTCATATAACTCTTGCCAGGAAAGATTGCCGGTCACAGCACACTTTGTGTCGATTTACAATCTTTGTTTTTCTTAAGATGCGAGCGACTTCCGGAATGGGGTTGACACGATACTATCCCGGAAGTCGCTCGCATCTTAAGAAAAACATAGATTGTAGACCGGGATCAAGTGTACTATGACCGGCAATCTTTCCTGGCGAGTGGTTTAGGTAATTTAGCGTAAAGAAACTAATAGTGGGTAAATTTTCGCCTAAATATAGAAAACTAAAGCCCTCCCCCAGCATAATTTTTTAAAATAAATACCTACATTTTGGCATTTTTTTAACGTAATTTTTTTCTTGTTACAGATTCAACAAGCGAGCAGCCTTATAAAGGTAGGATTTTTTTTTCTATGCATGGGGGAAAAGTGACGTGTATAGCGCAATTAAAACGTTTATCTCGCGGTATCAATCAGTTTGCCCCATATAAATCCGAATGACTATGGATTCATAGCCATACGGTTTTGGGACAACTTCGAACAGACTCATTTACACTGAAAACTCGCGTACTCAAGCGATGGGAAATTATAGCTTATAAAGTTAGAACAAACGGACTTCTAAAAGGTTAACAGCCGAATCTAAAATCCAAGCGTTAGACAACCATATATGCAACTATGAACTATTACGTTTACAAATTCCAACTATGATCTAAAAAATTGAAACGAACTCTTTCATGGTCGTAATCTTCCGCTTCTATTATCCTGCCAGATTTCTCATTCGTGTTGCTTTGTGTGCCGCACAAAAAACCCGAATCACTGATTACTTCCGTTGTATCCCACTTCTGAAGTGTTCTATTTCTTTCAATTCTGAATGCGTATTTGCAAAGAACTATTCTTTGACGTTCTCCAACGACTTTTACATACAACCACACTCGTCCAACCTCAAAAATGTAACATACGTACCCCACTTACTCCAAAAATAATGGCTATATTTAAAAAAGTATGTGGGAATTTTATTTAAAAATTACAAAAGATGTTCTAAAATGAATACTTTACAAGTACACTATCTTTATTCAAAAATTAATAAATAACGTAATTAACATAAATTCGTTATATACAAAAATTATTGCATCGTTTTTACCTTTGTACAGAAATATACAAGTTTCTACATAGGAAACGTCATATTTTACGAACCTTAAAATGAAAAAATGATTCACAATTATCTCAAAGGAAAGCATAATAAAAAAATAAATTAATCTTGTTCGTGCGAGAGAGTCGAAACATTGAAAACGACACTTAGGGTGGAGTCCGACTGCGGTTATTGCGATTTCTACTTCGAAAGTTACGCGAGTTATTCCTGCCAAAGTTCCTACCGCCCCTGCGCGGCCGATCGCGAAAGCCGCCGCGACCCCCCCTGCCGCCGCGCGTCACCGGATTGTTCTCGACGTAATTGCCGCCGCCGTCCTCGTAGTAATTGTCGTTGAAGTTGTTGAAGTTCGAGTTGTCGTTGTTGTAGTTGTAGTTCGGGGCGTTGCCGAGGAGGCCGCCCTGTCGCGGGTCGAAGTTGAGCTGGAAGTCGGGCGGCATGTTCGGCAGGCCGGGCGCGGCGCCGAGCAGGCCCGGCTGGACGACGTTGGGATTTTGCGGCATCTGATTGACGAACGGCTGCTGATTTTGGGGCACTATGATGTTCGACGGCTGCATCATCGGAGTCATGTTGTTGATGTTCGCGAGAATGTTCAAGGCACTAGTGTTCGCGTTCGGCAGGACCGCACTCGCGTTCGACAGCAGGCCCAAATTCGACAGGATACCGTTCAGTGTCGGATCGTTGCTGCCGCTGTGGTCGTACTTTGACGCGAGCTCCTGGTTCAACAGGACCTTCTGATTGCTCGTTAGGCTCTGGTAGAACGCCGAGGTTTGCAGGATGTTCAGCTGCTGCGAGTAGTTCATCATGTTGACTTCGGCGATCGCGGGAGGCTTCTCGTCCAGCTTACGGCGGCGGGGATCGTTGCGAACGGTCGCCACCGGCTTCGGACTCTCCTTCGGGCTCGCCGGACTGTCCTTCTCTTCGGTGCTGTTCAGTCGGAAGATTTTCCGCAGACGCGGATCGCCGGTGTTCTGCGCCTCGTGGGGCGTCAACTTCAGCCCCGTGTAGTCGGGCTTGGGAATGTCTACTAAGTGCACGCGCCACTCGATCGGCGTTCGCGTGTTGATGCTGGCGTCGATCTCGGACGCGGGGGTGTAATTCTGCATCGCCTTGAAGGGCAGACCGAGCTGACGTAAGTCGATATCCGGGCGGCTTGAGGCTGCAAAATTTCGAACTTCGCGTGAACAATTTTGTTAAGTTTGAAATCAATGTTGATAATAATAATCGCCCTTTATTTTGATTGACTTATTTTTCAGTTAATGAAATGTTAGGGACATCTGGAAATAATTGCGTTGTGTTTTTCAAAAGTTTATCTGTACTTAAATCCGGTCTTGCGATAAGAAATTCGTTATCACAACAAAATAAATGCGATGCAGGTTTATTTAAGCGAAAAAAAAAAATCGTACTCACCTCGTAAATCCGTATCGCGGAATTGCGGCCTTAAATCGGTGTCTTCGAGATTGCGTAAGTCGACGTCCTTCGAATTGTCGAGCGAGATGCTGCCCTGATCGTAGATGCTCTGTTTTTCGGCCTTTTTCGCTTCCGTCGAACTCTGTCGCGTTCGCCTAGGATCCGTCTTCGGCGGATCGCCCGATCGAGGATCTTTGGGCGACGTTATCGTGTCCTTGATAAGCGCCGCGGTTTGATTGATCGACGACAGTAACATCTTGGTCACCTCCGCCGATATATCGATTTTGGAGAGGTCGCCCAATTTCTCGATCACCTCCACCGGCTTGATCTGCGAGGGTAAAACGACGGGCGGCTCGCTAGGCTCCTCCACTTTCGGTTTCGGCTCCTCGATATCGTCCCCGATCGTCAGCCTGTTGTCGTCGTCATCGTCATCGTCGTCCGAGTACCAGTCGATGTTGCTCGGCTCCTCGTCGTCCGTCTCCTTCGCAATCGTCGGCACGTTCTCCTTTTGCTGCGCGCGAATTCGCAAAAACAGCTCGCGCTGTTTCTTCGGTAAGGTCTCGGGTAATTCGACGGCGGCGTCGGTCTTTTCGCCGGCGCCCTCCTCGACAATTTGAAGGTTCGGCTCGTCCGTCGCGTTGCCGTTATCGTCGTTGGTCTTCGACGCCATTTCGAACTGCTGCGACATCTGGCGAATGTCGACGTCCTTCGTAAAATCCATCGGCGTCTCGGCATTTAACTGCCGTATGTCCGTGTCTTGAGTCGGCCGGATGTCGACGTCTTGTAAGGACTGCATAACCGGTTGAGTATTTAACTGTGGTGGCAAAGTGCGCATGTCCACATCCCCACTACTAAAAAAAACAATTGATCAGCGCGTCAAATGACACATTGTCAAACGCATTTACCTATTGACACGCATATCCTGATCGCCTCGCTCGCTGTAAAACCCTTTGATTCCGAACAGATTCACCTGAGCGTCCTCCACCGGATCCGGATCTTGCCACCTCGACGGTCGGTTGCGCTCCCTCGACGCCGGTTTATCCGATTTCTCATCTAAAATCGACGTTAGTAAAATCCGGGTGGATCTTTCGAGTCGAATAGTTACCGTCTTTCTGAAGAAGCTCGGCCGGTACTGGAATGTTGAGCTCGAACAGTGAGGGTATCGAGTTCGGATCACCCCCCTTCTCCTCGTCGTACTTAATCTCCAACGCCTTCTGCGCCTGGTTGATCATGGTCAGCGCGCCGTCTCGACTTAAACGAGGAAACTCGCCGAGAATCTCTTTCGGGGCGGTCTCGATGTGCTTAAAGAGGATCTGTCGTAATCCTACAAGCAGAGTGTGATTAAAAGGGGCGGAGGGGGAACGGTTGCGAGTTTACCTTCTTCGAGCGGTTTGCCGTGGGCGAATTTACACGAGTCGCCCGCGTAGCAGGGAAGACCTGTATGGTAGAATTTACAAGGGAATTCCGAGTGCATATAAAAACATTTTTCACCTTTGGCACAACATCCCATCAAATAAAACTTGCATAATTCTAATTTAAGCGGCTGCGAGAGTTCGTGCGAGAACGGACATTCGTTGTCCTACAACAAGAGAGAGCCATTAGAGTGAGAGAGTGAAGAGTTCGGTCACTAATACAAAATTGGACGCGGTATTAAGACTATGGAGAGTCTACAGAAAGAATGAGAGAAGTGAAAAAAAATAGAAAGAGAAAGCTAAAGACAGTTTCAATCCGAATCAGAAAACCCATGCAAAAATATTTATATAAAAAATTCGGATTCCTGGTGCTGGAATACCCCCCAGCCAAGGGGATATCGGCTGGGGGTTCCAGACCCCCGGTACTATATTCATCCACAACAGCTTTCCCCTCAAGACATTCATAATCGTCTTTGTAGTCTTTTCTCGTAAATTATCATATGGCATTAAACATTTTAAAAAAAGAACGTAGTACCGGAGGGTCCGGAGTACCCCCCAGCCAAGAAGGAGTCAATAATTCATCCTGTATCACCCCTAGCAATCTCTTGGCGACTTTTGTGAAAAGGTAATCAAATCTTTGTGTGCTGGGGGGGGGGGGGGGGCTAGACCCCTCTTTGGAGGCTTTTCTCGCAAAATTATCATATAGCATTAAACATTTTAAAGAAAGAAAGTAGTATCGGGGGTCCGGAGTACCCCCCCAGCCAAGAAGGAGTCAATAATTTTTCCTGTATTACCCCTAGCAATCTCTTGGCGACTTTTGTGAAAAGGTAATCAAATCTTTGTGTGCTGCTGGGGGGGGGGGGCTAGACCCCTCTTTGGAGGCTTTTCTCGCAAATTATCATATAGCATTAAACATTTTAAAGAAAGAAAGTAGTATCGGGGGTCCGGAGTCCCCCCCCAGCCAAGAAGGAGTCAATAATTTTTCCTGTATTACCCCTAGCAATCTCTTGGCGACTTTTGTGAAAAGGTAAATAAACCTTAGTGTGCTGAGGGGGGGGGGGGGCCCAGACCCCCGCTACTATATTCATCCACAAAAATGCTTCCCCCTCAAGACTTTCATAATCGTCTTTGGAGGCTTTTCTCGCAAATTATCATATAGCATTAAACATTTTAAAGAAAGAAAGTAGTATCGGGGGTCCGGAGTACCCCCCCAGCCAAGAAGGAGTCAATAATTTTTCCTGTATTACCCCTAGCAATCTCTTGGCGACTTTTGTGAAAAGGTAAATAAACCTTAGTGTGCTGAGGGGGGGGGGGGGCCCAGACCCCCGCTACTATATTCATCCACAAAAATGCTTCCCCCTCAAGACTTTCATAATCGTCTTTGGAAACTTTTCTCGCAAATTATCATATGACATTAAACAATTTAAACAAAGAAAGTAGTATCAGGGGGTCCGGAGTACCCCCCCAGCCAAGAAGGAGTCAATCATTCTTCCTGTATTACCCCTCTTGGCGACTTTTGTGAAAAGGTAATCAAATCTTTGTGTGCTGGGGGGTGCTAGACCCCCGGTACAATATTCATCCACAAAAGTGCTTTCCCCTCAAGACTTTCATAATCGTCTTTGGAGGCTTTTCTCGCAAATTATCATATGGCATTAAACATTTTAAAGAAAGTAGTACCGGGGGGTCCAGAGTACCCCCCCCCCCCCCGCCAAGAAGGAGTCAATAATTCGTCCTGTATTCTCCCTAGCAATCTCTTGGCGACTTTTGTGAAAAGGTAATCAAATCTTTGTGATTCATACACAAAAGCGCTACCCCCTCAAGACTTTCATAATCTTCTTTGGAGGCTTTTCTCGCAAATTACCATATGGCATTAAACATTTTACAGAAAGAAAGTAGTACCGAGGGCCCGGAGTACCCCCCAGCCAAGAAGGAGTCAATAATTCTTCCTGTATTCTCCCTAGCAATCTCTTGGCGACTTCTGTGAAAAGGTAATCAAATCTTAGTGTGCTGGGGGGTTCCAGACCCCCGGTACCATATTCACAACAAAAGTGCTTTCCCCTGAAAACTTTCATAATCATCTTTGGAGACTTTTCTCGCAAATTATCATATGACATTAAACAATTTAAACAAGGAAAGTAGTACCGGGGGTTCGGAATACCCCCCAACCAAGAAGGAGTCAATAATTCTTCCTGTATTACCCCTACCAATCTCTTGGCGACTTTTGAGAAAAGGGAATCATATCTTAGTGTGCTGAGGGTATTGGCTGGGGGGTCCCGGACCCCGGTACTATATTCATCCACAAAAGCGCTGTCCCCTCAAGACTTTCATAATCGTCGTTGCAGTCTTTTCTCGCAAATGATCATATAAAATTAAACATGTTAAAGAAAGAAAGTAGTAGTCTGGGGGAGGGTATCCTCAGTAAAGGAGGACTCTATAATTCTTTCTCCATTGCCACTGTTGTGGTAAAAACTAATCAACACTTTGTATTCTGAGGGGTTTTCCATACCCCCCCCCCCCCAGTGGAACATACTTCCACAACAGCGCCAAGCCTTCAACACCCTCATGCACATACTTAATCTCAAATACTGCAATTTAAACTAAACGCATTAAATAGAAATAAAATTTATACAAATATTGCAATAATCGAAAGGAAAGAACAATTTTCCCTGCATCAGGCGTCCCACAAGGATCAATTTTGGGACCCCCTCTTTTTTTACAACTTAAAATTCCAGTTGCGCCCTCTATTGTTAATACAATGAAGTATGATCATGCAAGTTCTGTTAGCAGCTTTAATTTAGCACTTATCGATACTAGAGACGGGATTTCTATGCATTTGCAAATTTGAAAGTGCAAAGAATCCGATCTCTAATTATTACCTTCGTGCATTTCCCCTGCAGGTAAAATACGCAGACTCCCTGAGTGTCTTTCGGTTGCGGATCAGACTTTTTAAACTTTTTGTCTTTCGTCTTGGACTTTTTTTTGCCTTCGGACGAGGTGGCCGAGTCGTACGGGTCCGAGTGCGGCGACGGCGAGTTGTCCTTCGACGGGAGCATTTCACTGTCTTCGGCGTCGTCGGGTTTCGGCGACAGACGCCGCTGCTTCTGCCTCTTTTTCTCCTTGTCCTTTTTTTTTCGTTTCTTTCCCCGCTTGTCCTCCTCCTCCTTCTCGTCGTCACTGCGCTTCTTGTCCTTTCGCAGCACGTTCGCGATCGCCTTCTCGATGTTGCAGGCGAAGTCGTCGTTGGTCGACGGCGGCTCGCGCTTGTATCGGTCGCGCTTCTCGCGCTCGAAACGTTCGAGCTTGTGCAGGTGCAGGACGCTCTTTTCCGCTTCGGTCAGGTGCCCGCGTTTGCGCTCGTCGTATCGGGCGTGTCGGTCGGGTCTGTCGAAACGACTTCGATTGTTGTTCGGGGAGAACTTGGCGCTCGCGGGCGGCGTTTGCGGGGCGGGTTCGGGGGTTTGTGTTTCGACGACGACCGGTGCCGACGGTGTCTCCTCTTCCTCGTCGTCGTCCTCGATTTCGCCATCTTCGAGGTCTTCGTTATTTTGAGCGGGTGCCTCGTCTTTGGGGAGGTCGGGTTGCGGAGACGGTTGATCGCTAACGTAAAAACGAGTGTTTAGAGGAGGAGTGCGAGACGATTTTTTTGAATTTGGTGGGCAAAGTGTGAACAGGGGTCTGTAACAGGAACGACCAACACCGCCGGTAGATGGCGCGCGTTTGTGTGAAATGGTTCAACGGCCGCGTGCTAAATCTAGTTTGTGACGTCATAAATTTCGAAAGTCGCAAAAAATAAAACTAAAATGCAATTGGACTTTTTGCAAAATGCTCAAAAAATGAATCTGAAAAATAAACAAACTGAGTTAGGCTTAACACAAGTTTCTAGGCGGACTAGAAAAATTAGTAAACAATTTACGTTTAGCACACGGCCGTCTCGAGTACTTTAGATGGAGGCCATTTTGTCTTTTGTGTTTAGCAAATAATTTTCAGAAGAAATATGCTAATATTACGTTAGGACCACGAGTTTCATCGCGATTAAGAGAAAATTATCGGAAATTACCTTATCGAGATTTGACGGGGAAAAAGCGATACGTAGAATGCAACGTCATTTCGACGTATGGAAATTTCCATTACGACGCCGTTTGCTTTTGAAGGCAATTTTACGTGAAAAAACACGAATTTTAGCGAGGTGAGCTTTTTTCAAAAAATAAAACGGTACGGAATCCTCCATAAAAGGGGACCACGCCTTGTTTTTCGAATTAGCGACGCAGAACAAAGGAATCGCTATCATTTCCCGATCGTCCTGTCCTGTCATAATCTTAACATATTTCAGCCTTCGAAAACGTTTTCTTTGTGTAATTGCTGTCGTAAAAATAATGCAAACCTTTTAATATCACATACGAGTGCCATTTTTAACCTAATTTTAGTTCACTAGGCGGAAAATATGTATTGAAATGGCATAAAAGTCACTCATTCACTGTTTTAAAATCTGTCGCCTACAAAATGAGGGACAGAGATTTTTTTATAATTTTCTTCGCATCTTTCGTGTGCCCGACTTTTCTCTTTAGCGATGAGATCACAAATGAGCTTTCCCCGGAACGGCAGATTATTGAACGCTTTTTGATATTCCACCAATCGCGTACGCCTTCACTGTTCCACGCAGCCAATCGCGGTCGAAGAACGCCGTGGCGTAACCCAAATTTGACCTCGCTCGTCGAAAACGATTTCTCTATTTCAAGCGAAATTTAGAGCTCGCTAAAAATAAACCCCTCTCACGTGGCGTACGACCGCTGCGAGTTCTTCGATGGTCCACCTTCGCGATAAATTGATTTTGCCTTTTATCGGACATTCGCGGAGCTGCCGCCATCTGGCGCTGTTAATTAGGCGGACGTACATTGGCGTAGCTATTCAGATTCCTGTTTTACGTATTACTTATTTATTACGGGGTTCTTTTCAAAAGATCGATGGTGTCGCTGGCATCTGTAAGGCGATTATGGGAATGCGAAAAAATAGGCAACTTGTGATACATTGCTAAGGTTTTCGCAAAGATTTGTATTCAAATTCGGCCACGCATGGAGAACATGATGGACGAAAAAGACCATTGGACCACAGTAGGTCCCACAGCAAAGAAAAACTCGATAATTCCTTCCTTATTTCCCTTAGCACCGCCATGGCACCCTTGGATAAAGTAATCAAGTCTTCGTATGCAGACTCAAGGGCATCTATCCTTCAAGACTCTCATTTTTGAAAACGAATGGACAGATCTTTATTTCTTGTGCAGTAAGGAGGGGTCTGGGGGGTATGAAATTCAATAATTGTTTCCCTTAACCCCCCCCCCCCCATGGTACCCTTGGAAAAAATCAAGTCTTCGTATGCTAGAAGGTATTCCATACCTCCCAGAGCTACGTTCTCGCAAAAGGGTCTCGTACTATTTTTTGAAAACAGGAGGACAGATATTTATTTCCTGTGCAGAACCGGGGGCGTCTAGGGGGTATGGAAATCCCATTCCGTGGTGGGAGAGCCTGAGGCGCCCTTTCGTAAATGTGCGTTTCCCCGCAAGTTTGTTTGGTATCCTCTGGCGAACTCAACGAGCTTCCTCCACCAGTCCGCCCCGTCTGCCAGTTTCGCCACCGCCTCCATCATCTTCAGTCAGTTCAGCCCGGCCCACTCCCGTCTGGCGTCCACGGTCTTCCCTCCTCTCCATCCGTGTTAGGTATGATTTCAGGTTTCCGCGGCCAGTGACCAGCTGAGTAACTCTCAGCCTCAATTGCCGCGGTACACGCTCCTTCTGCAGGTCTCCTCGGAAGGGACGAAACTGTCAGTCTCCCGGTCTCGGCCCATCGTTGTTCCCATACTCGCTCGCTAATTTTATCTCTCATTGTATTCTAATTAAAAGTCTCAACGAAAGGAACAGTCTTTTACCAACTACTGCCCTTCTTTTTGTCCTCTTATCAAAGTAAGGGGTGGAACTAGTTTTCTCCTTCATAGTACTCTAGTACCTACACAGGGCGATTGGGACGTTTGGAAGAAATATAACCATTGGACATTTAAATAAAATTTGATACATAGCCACTTAATAATAATAATAAATGCCTTTATTTCATTACCTTGCATAAATATATAAATTTAAAAAAAAGCAAATGTAACGCCATTTTCCAAATTTGGTTTTGTGTCAGATGTGCAGTGCCAACTTTCTTATTTATGGAAGAAATTTCGTAGGGGGGGGGGGGTTTAAAAAAAAATGCGCTTTACCTGCACAAGGGTTGTGCACAATTTGTACCAATGAGTAAGATATGGTAGCACCCAAAATAGGCAACCCGCACTGAAAGTGGTGACATTCTACCCCAAGTGCAAAAATAAAACAATAAAAAAGTCAAAACAAATACTATTGCGATCAAAAATGAATTGCTGTCAAGTCACCTTTGGAATTTTGTTACATGGGAAATCCAAAGGCGACTGGACCGCCCAACGCCCATTATACAGAAATCGGCTAGATAGCGCAATCCTACTCATATGGGCTTACCGACCCTACTGGTCAACGCCAAATATTCTAATCATGCTTTTAACATCCATGGAGCTTAGTTAAATCGGAAAAAATGGCCATTAACATCCCCCTCCGTGGGGATTTAAGGGGCAAATGAGAGTGGCGCCACCTTACAGTACAATCTAAAAACAATTTAATGATAAATAATTCTTTATTTAAATATTTACGGATAATTTAATTTCGCTACGGAGAATTTCTACATATAACTGAGATCCTCCGCTCTCTCCTCACTTCCTCGTCCTTAAAAAGGCTACAGTCCGACTTTAGGATTTCATGCGTGTACTTATACCGGGCGACGCTCTTCATTATATACAACGATCGCCGCCTCAACAGGACGTTAACGTGCAACTCCTTCTCGTCGTCGCGCACCAAGCGCATAACGCAATCGCTGAGGAGACTCAGACCCGCGATCGTGTCGCCGCAAAACTACAAAAGCGAAATTGATATCGGCACACACACGCCCATAACTCGATTACCCTTTCCGAATCGATGTGCGGCTTAATGTAGCCCTTTCGATCGATGTCTAATATGTGAACGTACTGTAGCGGAGTGACGCTAGGCGGAAAGGCCAAAGATCGGACGCGATCGAGAATCTTCACATTGTCGTCGTTCCAGTGCAATCGTTCCGTCTCGCGATATCCGTGAATTGCCTATCGTGAATCAATTATAGGAAGGTAGTCTATCGCATGCGCTACGCAATTACATCGTCCCAGTGATCGTATTCGTACCGTAACGTTTTCAGGTAGGGCTCGATCTCGTTTAGAATGCTCTGTTCTTCATCGACGCTTAAGAAGTTCTCGTAGACGATCATGCTGGTCGCCACATCGCGCGCGTACTCCGCTCGTCCGTTGAAGCTCGACGAAAGCTCAAAACTATTCGGCAACCACTCGGGCACTAAAATTTCGCGTGACAGATGCGGCAATCGGGGGAGGGCTTACCTTCAACGGATTTCGCGTGCAATTGGCGTTTAAGTAATTTCAAAGCGTTTTTGAGCATTTTATTTTTTTTGGCAGATTAGGTTATGTAAGTGTGGCTATTTATATACAGGTGCAAAATTCATACAGGGCCATTTTCATAAAATCGCCAGGGTCTCTTTGATCCAACTGTGGTATTTACTGACATCTGTGAATACGGCGTACTGCTGGGGGCCGCATTTCAATTGATGCTGCAGGACTACGCTGACGGTGACGATGCCGCGTAGCTGCCAAATTCCGTCGTCGGTACGGAAGACCATGCCACCACCCGAATCGCCTACGCACTCGAGGGTATCTGAAACGGGCACTTTAGAGATTTAAGCGGAAGCGGGGTACTCACCTTCGAGAAAGCTGGCGCAGTAGGTGAGGTCGTTGTTAAATTTAACCGAGTAGTTCGCGACCGATACGTTGCACGTGTCCTCCCCTTGTATCGCCATTTGGACGTACATTAACTTTTCTTCAATACGGCCGATTTCGTCGAATCCCCAACCGACCACGCTCCCGACGTTTGTGCCGACCTCCTCCGTCCACAGACAGACCGGGCGGATGATATCGGTAAACTCGACGCTGTTCGTCAGTCGAAGAAGCGCAATATCGTTGGCGTTCGTCTCAGATTTGTAGTTCGGGTGCGGCGAAATCTTGGAAATGTAGCGCGTTTGGGTGCCCTCCTGCGTCCAGTGCTTCAGGAAGTACTTGCCCATGTAGGCGACGAGACGGTCGGGGTTGACGGCGGTCTGCGTGCTTCCCTTGACCACGCAGTGGGCGACGGTCACGATGTGGTCGGGCGATATTAAGGAGGCGCCGCAGAGGTAGGCGATCGTGACGTCTTTCGTGTAGTAGAGCGCTACGTGCCAAGGAAATTGGCCTTTGTACGCGATTTGCGGTTGGGCATTGCTGGGTTGCGTCTGCACGTAAAATGTAATAGATTAGTTATACTTCAAATGCATTTAAACGTTAAGAATTAAGGCCACGCGCACTTTTCGCTCACATTGATTTAAATAGGCAAAAAGCGTAAGTGCGCGTGGGCCTTTAAAAGAAAAAACAAGGTGTACGAATAATTAACGTACGCACTTACCGAGATGGTACCGCAAGTGCTGGTAGGGTTGCTGTGAGGTTTCAGGTGCGATATAAACAGCGGCTGCTCGTTAAAGTTCAACCTATAAGTTTCTCAATAAGATATCTCGCTGTGATAATTGCAGGGGGAGCTTACTCTGTGGTGGAGTCGTCCGTAGACATGACGTTGTTTCGTGATCCAAGATCGGGGGTGACTTGGTCTTCGCTATTGGTAAAGAGGTGTTCGGTGGTGGTGCTCGGCGTCGTGGAGACCACCTCCTCGGGACACACCGTTCGCGCGTTTAGTTTAAATCCGACCACCTGCGGCGGAGGCGCGTTCACGTTGTACTTGACGAAGATGCGTACGATTTTCGGCGTGTGGGCTTTTAAGTTGAAATTTGGGTTTTTGATGACGTATTCAGTCGTAGACTTCTTCACCACTTCTCCAAACCAATTCTACGTTCATGAAATTCAAATATTAGTAGGCCAAATGTCAGTAGTTCAAAGTAACATTAGAGGTTATGTTGTTGTTTTCAATAAAACTTACCCCTAATTGAATAATAGGGCGGTCGAAAGAGACACGTAGCCAAATTCCGTTCAGAGTGGCATCGTTTAACAACGTGATGATGCCAAACCACCGATCGTTATAGGAACTGGTCCGCTCGTACACAAACAGCCTGGGGCACGGCGAAACTTCCAAGAGAACGTTTCCGGCACATTGGCAAAACGCAGCGGTGAGTAAAAGTGCGCACAGCTTCATGGTTCACAATTGAAAACACACTGAAAAGTTGCAGAAGGGAAAAGTGGTTTTAAATAGCACCCCCTCATTAGGACGCAATTAAATAGGCATTTCAATTTAATGGTTTAATTATCTTCACATTATGATACTCCTTTACTGCGTCATTAAGCTAATATTTAGAAAATCATTTGGAAATCACTTCCTTAATCCATTCCAAATATTTCGCACTGTCCGTAAATACCACGTAATGCGCCGTGTCGCACTTGAACTGATTCTGCAAGGCGACGCTGATCGAGACCAGACCGCGCAACTCCCAGACCCGACCGTTCGCCGTCTGTCTGGGAAATACCATTCCTCCGCCCGAGTCGCCGTTGCACACGGAGGTGCCGTTTCGAAATCCGGCGCAGTAGGTGGAGGGGGACGTGAAGCGAACGAAAAATTCCGGAAACGATTGCACGCACACGTCGTCCGAAACCACAGGCATCTTCGCCTGCATCAGTGTCTCGGTCACCTTTCCCGTCTCGTCGAAACCCCATCCCACGACGGTACCTGCAAGATGTCGATTGACTATAACTTATCCAGTGCCTCTACACTTGCTTACATTGCTGGGGTCCTGATACACTGAATTAAAAGAATTACACTAAAACTTGTCTTTGAACTTTGCTCTTGTTGTATCAGGAGAGCATTCTACAGTATGTCTTCCTTGTAAAGAATTTCTCTTTTAGATACAAATTCTCTTTTAAAAATGGTTGTATCAGGATCACAGGCGTGTAAATAAAATTTCTTGTAATATGTTCTCCTAATACCAAATCATCAGTTATTTAATCAGGACAACAGGAATGGGGATTGGGGGGATTCTTGACGTGTTGTGTTCTCCGGATTTTCATTTCAAAGATTGTGTACCAGGAGGGCGCCTAGATTAGTGTTGCGGATTTTTTTAATCAAAAAACAAATGGCTTGTGCCTAGCAAGCTTTGAAAAGGATGATTGAATTGTGATAGCTTTTGAATCATGGAGGCGGGATCTTTCGAAAAATCCTAAAACATCTGAAGGGAATAGAAACATCTGAAAAATGCTGCGCGTGACATTAGGAAACTTTAGACGGTTTATATCAGAAAAAAAACTGAAAATTCAAATTTCGTTTTCATTTTCTCTAACTTAAACGGTCGGAAATGGACGGTTCCCGTTGACACCGTCTATGGGTACTTTTTGTCCTTGAATCTGAATCGGTTGATCAGAGTTTCCATAACACACTCGATCCAGAAGCTAAGGGCTACTTTATAGTTTCGTATGGACGCCATATTGGATTTTTACGGAATGAGACAAGAAATACATTACGTGCGCATAAGTAATGTAATTACCTGTCATTAGACAAGTTAATGTCAGACAGGTTTGCGCTATTGAACAAAAACCAAGCAGTCACTGTCGCATGCTGTGCGTTAGACAAGGAAAGCGAATGACCCCAGCAGTGCGGTTCGTATTTCGTTTGCGCTATTTTATGACTTTGCGAGTTGAAAAACAATCCGTAGTCTGACTTTTGATTCAGATTGGTCAAATTGGTGCGTGTTTGCTTTTCAGAGGAACTAGTAGTACATTAAAACATATGTCCCCCTTGACCATGCAGAAGTACGCCACTGACCACAAATGTAAAGTACGCAGATTGGTAGCAAAACTTTTAAAATTTTGAATACCATAAAAAATCTTGTTTTGAAGGTTTAACCAGTGTTCCAGACAAAATGTTCACCCTGTATATTGTTTTCATGCAGTTGGTTGGAGTTTAAATGATCTTGTTTTTTAATTCTGGGGAAATCGCGACTTTAAAGTCTCAAACTATGAATTCTTTGCTTGATTCTTCAAAATGTTTTGGTGCACATCGTAAAAGAAATGTAATTTCAGCAACCATGGTGCCCCATCTCATTTTGCTGTTACCATTCGGCGTATGTTTTCATATACCCCCCTTGACCATGCAGAAGTACGCCACTAACCACAAATGTAAAGTAGGTACGCATATTGGTAGAAAACTTTTAAAATTTTGAATACCATAAAAAAATCTTGTTTTGAAGGTTTAACCAGTGTTCCAAACAAAATGTTCACCCTGTATATTGTTTTCATGCAGTTGGTTGGAGTTTAAATGATCTTGTTTTTTAATTCTGGGGAAATCGCGACTTTAAAGTCTCAAACTATGAATTCTTTGCTTGATTCTTCAAAATGTTTCGGTGCACATCGTAAAAGAAATGTAATTTCAGCAACCATGGTGCCCCATCTCATTTTGCTTTGACCATTCGGCGTATGTTAGTACATTTTGTGATTAGTAAAGGTAAGTTCATAGCTCTCCGTTCATACGTTTCCGTTTGTCCGTTAGCCAATCAGAAGACAGCAAATATTTAAATTATACGTCGTCCGTTTACGACGGAAAAGTTGGTTGAAGTTGAACATTTACGTTTCCGTTGGTCCGTTTTTAACAAGAGTGAGGTTATGTTTGGTACGTTAACAGCGTTCGCCTATTCGTTCTTCACGGTAATAATCAGATAGCAACGTATTCTTACTTTCGTACCATTTTTACATACTGAAAATCACGGAGGGTGCAGTACAAAATAAAATTTAGGTTATGCTTATACGTTGCAAATGTACAATGTGGACGGATTGCTATGAACCTTAACAAAATTTTCTATCCGTTTGACGGATCAACGCAACGGATTAACGGAGAACTATGAACCCACCTTAACACTATAAAGTCATGGCCTACTAAGTTTTATAATTGCGATATTCAATTTTTTCTGGTCATCTTCCACCCACGCACTAATGGTCCACCCTGTATATTAAACATTTATGTTTGTATTTCGTAATGAACTGTGGACACGTCATGATTTTTGTTGTCTTCTGTCTCATTCCTTAGAAAATCCAATATGGCACCATAGAGTTTACTCTATGATGGCACCCATAAAAATAAGAAAGTGATACCCTGTAGCTTTCACATCTAGCGTGCTATGGAAATTGTGATAACAGATTCAGATTTTACAAAAAAAAGTGCTGATACTAGGTGCAAACGGGAACCGTCCATTTCCGACCGTTTAAGCTACGGAAAATGAAAATTAAATTTGACATTTTACAGTTTTTCTGTGGCATCTTGGTTATTTCCACGAATTTGAACCACCCTGTACAATTATTAAAAACAATCGATTACGCCAAAGCGCCAGCTGATTGCGTCCATGATGCTCATTGGCTCATTTAAATTTTTCTCACTTAAATCAAGGCGGCTGCGCATCAGCTGACAGTTTGGCGAAGTTTTAAAACTTTAAAGGGATCTTTACCTTGTTTGTCAATAACCGAGCTCAAATTCACCTCGTCCGGCCACAGGCAGACCGGACGTACGTAGTCGGTCACGTCGACCGGTGCCTCCAGCTTGACAATCGCTATGTCGTTTCTGTAAGTCGCCGCGTCGTACTTCGGATGGGGCACGATCTCCTCCACCGGTCGATCTTGAATCCCGACGTTATTGAACCTTTGCAGGTAGTATTTACCTGAAAACGACACTGTGTAAATTTAACAACGGGCCGGACCGCGTTTACCTAAATACACGACCACATTCTTCGGCTGCAACGGTACCGTGGACCGTCGGCGTGTCACGCAATGCGCAACCGTAATCACGTGCGAAACGCTAATGAGCGAGGCCCCGCAAATGTACGACAGATCGATTCCTTTCGCGTAGTACAGCGCGGCGTGCCACGGGAACTCGCCCTCCTGCGTCACCATTCCGAAGGTGATCAGCGGTCGCGGTTGCACCTACGAAATCGATAACTCTCCGTGTCGTCGAACTGGGCGTACCTACCACCGTCGTGCCGCAGTTACCGTCCCGCGGCCGAATCCTATCGGAACGGTTGACGAGCGAGACGTTCCCCGGACCGCTTGTCAACAGCATTAGCTTCTCGGTCGTGACGTTTTCCGGATCGTCGTCCTCCGGGCAGATTGTCTTCCCGTTCAATCTAAACGAGACCAATCTGGGTGTCGGCGATTGCGGATCGTATTCGACAAAGAAACGTACGATGTGCGGAGTGTTGGCTTTCAGTACGAAATTTCTATTTTTTACAAGGAACTCCTTGTTCTCGGTTCCGGAGCGTTCGGGCTCGCCGAACCAGTTCTTAAATAAAGGACCGTGACTGTGTGAACACAGGGTGCAGAACTCACCCCCAATTGCAGCGAAGGTTGATCGAGGATGATGCGAAGCCATATTCCGTTTAACTGCTTGTCGGTTAGGAGGGTTATTAAACCGTACCATCGATTTGGAGTCGAACCTTTCTTTTCGTACACGAAGAGTCGGGGGCAGGGGGATGTTTGCGATTTGATTGCCACAAAAAGGAACAGCAAGAACACGATGTTTCCCCTCATGGCGGAACGCCTCACTGCCTCCATAACAAACTAGTCATACTTTGTTTTTAAAAAACTTGGATAACCTTCGGTTTTTCTGCATTGGACAAAGGTTAAGGTCAAAGTGCTGAATATTAATCGCGCAAAGAACACAAAGAATTTGCGAGTTTGAGGTGCGACTTAGCTGTAAGAACGTTCTTCCGCATCAAAGGCAAATTCAAAAATTGAGAGTTGTTTTTGTTACCAAAAAATGAAACATAACCTATGAAAATCAAAATCTTTTCCATCTCGTCTTTTTCACGAATCGTCTGGAATTCATGGTAAACGAATAAAGGGCAAATCTCTCACAATTTGAGCGACACTACAAAACCATTTTTTAAAAAATGACCTCCATAATTTAGTATAAGAAATGGTTTGCCAGTATAAAAATTGGTATCTGGGTTGTTTTGCATACAGTCAGGGGCGCGTTCACTTATCTGAGAGACTGCTAAAGAGATTATTTTTACCCCTGTGAAGTTGGCCTCACCCACATGAAATAATTGGACAAACACGTGTCGACGGTTAGTGCTCGAAACTTATCGTTAGTGCTGTTACATACCGTGAAAAATTAAAAAAAAATCGGGGGCACTGTTTCTAAAAAAGTGTGAAGTTAGCCGCGTCCATACGTTTTTAATTACATGAAACCACATGTGATTATTAGTAGTATGTTAGTGCTGTTTTTTTCTCGAAAATTGCGATTCCGGCATTTCATTTTTCTAAGAAAAACAAAAAAAAACAATATTGTGTGAAGTTGGCTCCATTTATAAGACGTTTTTAAAAAACACACATAGGTACTATACTTAGTGCTACGTTAGTGCTGTTTGCAGATATTGCTGAGCAGATATTCGGAATACGTATTCATTTTATTAGTAGACTGATCCAATTTAACTAGACAATACATAGGTGTAAGAAGCAGGGTTGCCATTGATATTGCACTAGGAAAGGTTATTAATCAAAGAAATTTGTTAGATTGCACCGTCAGTTAATACATAGTGAACCAGTAACACAATTATTTTCGAAAACCTTTTAATCATGCGGCAGCCGGCAACTAGGTATGCAACATTATAGATTTTTTCATTTTTATTTGAAAGATTCAAGGTTAATATTTATTATTTTCTTGGAAATATAAAATCTTAGACTCTCAATGTTCGAGCACCAAACGGCACTAACGTAGCACTATCGATAGTATGTGCGTTTTTAAAAAAAACGAGTCATGGGTGGGGCCAATTTCACATAATATTTTAGTTTCTTTTTCATTTAATTAAAAATGTGGGCTAACTTCACACTTGACTTGACTTTTTTTGGAATAGCCAAAGAATTTGAGTTACTGGCATTTAACAGCACTACTAACAAGTAAAAGTTGAGTGTGAAGTGGGCCCCGTCTCGTTTTTTTTTACTTTTCTCTTGTCATATAGCAGTACTAACGATAAGCTTACTTTACTTAACGTAGCACTTTCGCTTCCATCATAAAAATTCCTTTCAAAAATTTTATCAGGATCACAGAATCTTATGAAATTTATTAGGGGACACCTCTGACAGATTCGTCTGTATCAAGTTCCTCTTTTGAAAATTTGATCAGAAACATGAGAAACTTAATAGGAGACACCCCTCACAAATTATGTTTTTCTGTTCCAAGTTTCTCCTTTAAAATTTTTATCAGAATCGGACCGAACCAAGCTTTCGCGTCCATCATTAAATTATTTTAAAAAATTGTATGAGGATCACAGAAACTTATAAATGTATTAGGGTACACCTCTCACAAATTAGATTCGTCTGTCCCAAGTTCCTCTTTTAAAAATGTTATCAGAATGATATGCTTTCGTGATCGTGATAAAAAATTTCTTTTAAAAACCGGTATCAGGATCACAGAAACTTAAGAAATTTAATATTAGACACCTCTCATAAATTACATTCCTCTGCCCTAAGTTTCTTTTTTGATAATTTTATACACATACTTTTGTTTTCCTGATAAAGATATCCTTTAAAACATTGTATCAGGATCACAGAAACGTATTATATTTAATAGGAGACACTCCTTACAAAATCGGTTTTTCTGTCGCAAGTTTCTCTTAAAAATTTTCAGAATCAGACGGATACCGGTTCTCGATTCCATCATACAAATTCCTTTAAAAAATTGTATCAGGGTCACATAAACTTATAAATGTATTAGAGTACACCTCTCACAAATTAGATTATAAATATTATAAATACATAACATGTCCCAAGTTCCTCTTTTGAAAATGTTATCAGAATGATATGCTATCATGGTCGTGATAAAAAATTACTTTAAAAAACGATATCAGGATCACAGAAACTTAAGAAATTTAATATTAGACTTCTCACATAAATTACATTCTTCTGCCTTAAGTTTCTCTTTTGATTATTTTATACACATACTTTTGTTTTCCTGATAAAAGATATCCTTTAAAACAATGTATCAGGATCACAGAAACATATTATATTTAATAGGAGACACTCCTTACAAAATAGGCCTTTCTGTCGCAAGTTTCTCTTAAAAATTTTCAGAATCAGAATCAGACGGATACAAGTTCTTGCTTCCATCATAAAAATTCCTTTAAAAAATTGTACCAGGGTCACATAAACTTATAAATTTATTAGGGACACTTTTTACAAATTAGATTCGTCTATCCCAAGTTCCTCTTTTAAAAATGTTATCAGAATGATATGATTTTGTGGTCCTGATAAAAATTTCTTTTAAAAAACAGTATCTGGTTTAAAGAAACTCGAGAAATGTTATAGGAGACACCTCTCACAAATTATGTCTTTCTGTCCCAAGTTTCCCGGTATCCCGCCTGGCCCAGTCCGACACTGTATTTTAGAGATTTTGTAAGGGCGATGGGCAACGCAACCGGGCCAGCTCAAGGCAAACGTTCTCTAATGTCATGTAGATATTTCAGAGGTTGATAGCACTCGTCAAAATATGAAAAAAATGCAAATATGTGCGTGGTAAGGGCGTCATTTTGTTATACAGGGTGGCAAAGTTTCAATTTTTCTCTCGTATTTTGCGTTGTCTTTCTTATGTTCTGGGATAATTGTTTCAAATTTGATACTTCAATTATTTTTTACAATCTCTACAATACCAAAATAGTTAGTCGCGACATAAGGGTGTTGCATTTTCTTTGCCACCATGTATATAAACTTTTTTAAACAATTGTCTAGCGCCTACTAAGAGATGTCGCTACGTTACTGCGTAAATCATCGTAAATATTGCTTTTTCCACATTGCTTGTGACCACGTTTCTAATTAATAGTAAAATTTGAATTAATTCGTGGTATTTTCCGAAGTTCAGTTAAATTACTGGCACTGCTAATGGGCTTTTTAAAGGATGAAAGTGGTGGACCGTAACTGCCGGTAGATGGCGCGCGCGCGAACGAACTTTGACACCTCGGGGTGTTTTTGTGCTTTGACAGTTAAATTGAGACGCCATATTCATTTTAATCTTCTTTCTTCCAAAATTGTTAAGTGAAAAATAAATTACGGTAAGTTTTCGCTAATTAGTTCCATTATCTAAATCGATTCTGTATCCGTTTCGCTAATTTTCAATGAATTAACCTGAGGTTGGCGTAACAAAAACAAAGTTTTGACGTTGCAGTCAGCTGATGATCCGTTTACACACTATCCTGTTTTGTCATTACTCATCAGACGCAAATTAATCATCGAACATTTCAGATGGCCACACGCAAAAAGGTACTGCTAAAGGTAATCATTTTGGGCGATTCAGGTGTCGGGAAGACCTCCCTAATGAATCAGTACGTAAATAAGAAATTTTCGAATCAATACAAAGCAACTATAGGTGCCGATTTCTTAACGAAGGAAGTGATAGTCGACGATCGAATTGTCACGTTGCAAATATGGGACACGGCCGGACAGGAACGGTTTCAGTCGTTAGGCGTCGCGTTCTACCGAGGGGCCGACTGTTGCGTGCTCGGTAAGTTAACCGTCCGCTCTGGGTCCGCGTCACTGTAACGTCTCTCTTAGTGTTCGACGTCACCGCCCCCAACACGTTCAAATCGCTCGACAGCTGGCGGGACGAATTCCTAATCCAGGCGTCTCCGCGCGAACCGGCGGACTTCCCCTTCGTTCTCCTAGGCAATAAGGTCGATCTGGAGCCGCGCGCGATCTCCACCAAAAGGGCGCAGCAGTGGTGCCAGTCGAAGAACAACATACCTTACTTCGAGACGTCGGCGAAGGAGGCGCTAAACGTCGAGCAGGCCTTCCAGAGCATAGCGCGAAACGCGCTCACGCAACAGAGCCAGTCGGTCGACCTGTATAACGAATTCCCCGATCAAATTAAGCTCACGAACACGACGAATCGCAACAGTAACGGAGATTCGTGCGCCTGTTAGAATCGTAGCGAAGCAGATCTACATGTCATATCGATTCTTTTAACCAAGCAAGTTCCCCTTATCGAGTAAGGTTATGTTCTCTATTGTGTTTATAATTGAATATTGTATATAAGTAGATATTATTTAAATAAATATATGTACCTACACATAAATTATATCTCTAACGATTTAATTTGATCGTAGCTATTTAATTTAGTAACGGAATTTCCAGTCTAAATGTATTTTTAAGTATCGCTTTCTTTAAATACTTTGGGGTGGCTGCACTCGTGTAGTTTTTACATTAATTTTATGAAAATGTAATAATAATAATAATAAAGTTTGTATATTACACGCAATATTTACATAATAAAAATATGTAAGCAAACTTAATTGGTTCGTGATAAAAAAAAAGAAATGCGGTTTGTACCGTTTCATTAAATGCTATTTTAATTCGGCAAAAATTAACTTAAATCTCTGCGCCCTTCGAAACGCGAAAAAGGGTGCATTTTTCTCATAGTCAAAGTAGTATTAAAGGCGCCGCTCTGAAGCCCCTGGCAATTAAAAACCATTTGCCCATAAACCTAGCAGAACAATCAAACATATTGCATAATTAAGTGCCCTATCCCCGAATTAAATGCTCCTTTTTTTTTTTTAAATTATTTCATGTTCTGCCAGGTTCATATGAACTCAGCAGAGCACTACCTTAAAAATACAAGAAAATGAAAAGTGTACTAACTAATAATTAGGTGCTAATTAAGGGTCCTATTACCGAATTAAATGTTCCCTTTTTTAAAAAAATTCTGACATGTTCTCTTAGGTTCATATGAACTCAGCAGAGCACTACCTTAAAAATCCAAGAAAATGAAAAGTGAACTAACTACTAATTAGGTGCAAAGGTTTAGACCCCCGTTTTTGGGGTCAAGGAACACGATGGAAGTGGCCGGAAGTGAAAAAACGCGATTTCTCATATTTTGCCCAAACTTTTAGGCGGCGAATGCAGCATCAGGGTGGTCCAAATCCGCCATATTGGACACCAACTTGAATGTCGCCCGTTCGGTTCCATTTTCCGACTGGACAGCAGGCAGTTATTAGATTCAGTGGGTCGAAATAGTGGGAAACCACTTGTAATTCAATTGTTTGTTTCTAAAATTCCTACCACGAAAACAAGCGCACTCCTAAATGGGGGAGCGAAAAAGTTCTGATTTCGATTAAAATGGTATCGGGGATTTTTGAACATGAAAATCACGAATCTTAAATTAGTTTTTGAAAACTGCCCGATTTTCTTTTGAAAATTTTTCCCGCACCCCTCTTTCGTTGGAGGGCGGGGCATATGGCCACTTGTAAGGTTTTCCTAGGCGGAGAGACTGCGATCAACACAAACTTTGTTCCCCTTCCCCCCAAACGGCCTATACTTTTGGGTTGAGACCTCATACGTTTTACGTGGGCCAGTTATGGCGCTGTCGATTAAAGGCGATGGAGGGGGAGGCTTTTTGGACAAATTCGGGAAATGCCCTTTTGGCACCTTGTCTTGCTCGTGTATGGTAGCCCGGGGTGGCGCATCTTCCGCAACTCCGACGATTGAAGCCTTCGATCTTCCTACCCTCCTAGACGAATTTAATGAGAATCCTTACCGCTAGACGTTTTGGAGGAGAACGTAGCTAGTACTGGGGCCGTGAAGAGGGGGGGGGGGGTGAGTACTCTCCGTGAAAGAAACAAAGGTTTAATGTTTCCTTTTCCTACACTTATTATCGTGAGATTTTTGTGCACCTCCCGGTTCTACATTATAAGACTAATTTAAAAATACTTAAAGAACTTTAAAACTCATAAAAGGGTTTTTAAGGACTCGCAAAGGCTCTTAAAGAGAGGAGAGACCATGTAAAAGCTATTGGAAACCCCTTGAAATTCAGAGGCTTACAAATCTATAAAACGTGTACTCTAAGGTCTGTAAAAGATACGTAAAGACCCTATGAAACTTCTGAAAACTCCGCGGCTTTTGAAAATTTTCAAAAATTGTCATGAGGAGGAGAGAATCTGAAGATACGAGGGTTGTTCAGAAGTAGCAGACGTTTTGAAATAAAAAATTTGACAATTGTAAATAAAATCTATTATTGTATACATTTGGGCGTCAGATTTATAAAAGTTGGAATCAAAACACTTGCGCCACGCTATGATAAGTGCCTCAATTTGAATGGTGCTTGTGTTGATAAATAGCCCAAATGTATGTAATAATAGATTTTAAAATTTTTATTTCAAAATGTCTGCTACTTTCTGGACAACCCTCGTACTTTGCTTGATTGTTTGTTGTGTCTACCGCTTGGTAGTTGCGATGTACCGTGCGTTTGCGCTACTAAATCATATTTTGAGGTTATGATGCTTATTATTATTTATTTCTTAATTATTTAAATATATTACATTTACACACTTATTTTGGCACGTTGAATTCACGTCAGAAATCTACGGAAAAAAGTACATTAATTATAATTCAACTTAAAACGGGGTCGAAAATAGTTTCTTCTTCAATTTGTAGACGACGATTTCGACTTCGGGAAATCCGTCGGTGGTGCAATTCAGGATGAGCATGAGAACGGTGTGACCGACGACGAGGTATCTAAAGTAGAGGTACTCGTATAAACAGTATAAAACGACGTAAGGCAACAGGGTCCAGAATACGAACGACGCGTAAAGGTAGGTGAGATCGGTCCGTTTGAGTATCTCGCCGTGCAGAAAGTGACCGGTGACGTGAAACTCGTGCAGCACGCGCTCCTTTTCGAGCCACCGCCTCTCGAGAAAGATCCTCAGGTCGTCGGAGGTTTTCGGCAGAACCGACGCGGGGTACCTGCAATCGGTGACGTCAGGTCGGCCACCGTTTCGGTGCGCTTACCTCGTGAAGTGTATCTTCACTTGCTGAGGAAATTTGCCGTCGTTAAACATGATCCTTTCGGTTTGCGGAACCGTGTCCGGGTAGACTAGGGTGAGATCGTAGAGGGCGTCCAACGCGTTGTTCTCCAGGAGCTTCTCGGCTAGGTAGACGAAACCGGTGGTGCGCGGGTGGAGTACGTATTCGTACCGCTAAAGTGTGCGGGTCAGTAAGGGTTTCGCGTGCGGACGGTTTACCTGCAGGTCGTGCTTCTTCGCGTATCGGTTGCTGTTTTCCTTGGTCGTCTCCGTGAAGTCGGTTCCCTCGGGAAATATCAGCAGGGTGTATTTGTAGCAGATCTCGCAGAAGTAGTTGATGTACTCGTCGATCTTCGCGCGGTCCAAGCTCCAGCTTCGTTTTATGTAGAGAAAGCAGGCGAGCTGCATTACCCACCCGATGCCGGGGATGTGCCGTATAATGTCCTTGAGCACGAACTTTGTCGGATACTTGTACCTACTGAAACCGTGAGTCGAGTGAAACACGGCGGGCCAGAGGAAATTCCAGTCGGTCCGCGTCCGGTGGTTCATGATCAGCAACGATGTCTCGTTGGCCTTTATGGGATCGCCTAAGATTTGCACGTCGCAACCGCATAGCACCTCCAAAAGTACCTACAACAGTTCACTAATCGCCGCGGGTTTCATTCGAGTTTGGGACTCACCGTCGGGTACGACTGCCAAAAGGTGAAGAGAACGTCGGTCAGATACCGATAGAGCTTATTCGAGATCAGCAAAATTGGGAGCAACGGGCAGAAGAGGCCGGCGTAACCTGAACGGAGCACTATGGTAAAGTGTTTGGCAAAGAATTGGGAAGACGCGCGACTCACCTGCCAATATGCTGGAGTACCACAAAATGAAGTAAACTCTCCCCTTGAAATGACCCATTAAATTTCATTGTTTATTTAAGTATTTTCACCCTCATATTCGCAACGCGAGCGCGAGAGGCGTCCCTTAAAACGTCGCGCGTGTATTGATTTCCTCCTCCAGCATCCCTTGATGGACCGCCGCGTACCTACTAAAATTAGCCGTTCGAATTTCGTTCGATCAATATCTGTTGAGGCGCGCTCTTTGCCTTTTTATACTGCATGGGCCCTTGTGGGTCTTCGCGTATTAGTCTTTTACAGGATTACCGCAAATTCGATTAAGTTGTAGGTCGTTATTTGCTGACGAAACTCGCGCGCAATGCTATTGGCGTCGTGGCGCAAAAAAACGCGACTTTACCGGAGTGGGGTTGTGAAAATTTACTCTTTCGATCTGATGATGGTAGAGATCGAAACGTCGTTTTGAACTCCAATACGTTATCCAATCGAATAAGAATTCTAAGCTCTTTTTACTTTCTCATCTTCCACTGTTTGAGCTCTAGAAGACAGCTTTGGGAGATTTTCAAACACAACGTTTCGTTTCGGAGGAACCATCATCAACTTCATATTTTTATATGGACCGGAAAAAAGTATACACTGTATTGAGTAGCATTTTTGATTACGAATGTTGCAAACTGTAGGTTTCAACAGGATGGTGCACCCGCGCACAGTGCACTAATCGTGTGTGAATACCCATCGGAGAAATTTTTCATTTTGCCATGAAATTTATCCAAAATGTTTTTATGAAAAGGTCTAAAAATCGCAAAAAATCCGTAAAAAATTATTAACAGGTTCTAAAGTTAAGTGCCCAAAAGGTAATTGAAAATTCTGAGAACTGTTGAAGTGAATGAAATGTTCTAAAAACTTAATGAAGTTCAAAAGTACTAAAGGCTTTCAAAAATTGTACAGAAAATCTTTCAAAAATTGCTAATATGTATGTTCTAATGCTCACTAAAAAATAATGTACAGGGTGTGGACACTTTTGTAATTTCCGTAATTGTTAGTGGTATCAAAAAAGTAAAATAGCGTGTCGAAATCTTCAAAAATTATGGAAAGTTCTAACAAGCATAAAAAATGGCAAGAAAAGCCTTCTTAACTTCTTTGTTTATTTTTCCAAGGCCTACCTGAAAGTGTAGGGTCCTTTTCCAAACAATCTTTCGCGCCATCGAGAAATTAATCTCACTTTCCCAAAATTTGAGGTTAGGAACGAGATTTTGAAAACTGTCCTCATTGGGTGTTATTTGGCTACTTTTTCATAAATAAAAAATCATATTCCATTTGTTTTTTGGATTTTTTTAGGATTTTGGATCATAGTGTCAAAACTAACCCCCTGGCGAGTAAGGATTCAACTCAATTAACTATATTTTATATTTTGATTCTTGTTGCCCAAGAAATGCTCTTTTCAACGATACCAAATTTGTTAGAATCGGTCAAACGGTTAAGAAGTTAAAGCGGGTTATTGCAAAAACAATTGAACGCCCCACGCCATCTTTGTTTTTGAAATAACTGAGTTTTTGTTTTTACGAAAATGATATACTCTTTAAAAATGTGAAAAAAAATTTTTAGTTTATTATGCGAAAATTAAAGAAAATGCAATTTTTAAATTTAAGATGGCATTTACGCCCTCTGTTGGTCATTTTTAGAACTTAATATCTTCCAGCGATTCTTCATGACCGATCTACTCAATAATTTTTTTTATCCCTAAGACATATGACGAACGATTCTCGAGATATGGCCGAGGAACAGTCCTATTGGGTCACCCGGTACATGCCAAAAAGATAATGTACAAATTCTGAAAATCGTTAAAATTGGATCAAAGTGTTCATAGAGTTCTAAAAGTATTAATTAAGTTCTAAAGCACCAAGTCTTCAAAAATTATAGATAGTTTTAAAAGGGGTAAAAGAATTGCTAATGTGATCTAATGTAAACGTCTAAAAAATAATGTAAACCTTCCGAAATTCGTACAAATGAATTAAGTGTGCATAAAGTTCTAACAAAATCATTTAAGTTCGAAAACACTAAAAATCTTCAAAAATTGTGGAAAACTCCAAAACTGCTAACTTCTTCTAATGTAAATGTCTAAAAAAAATGTACAAATTATTAACACCGTAAATATAGATAGTGTTCATTGAGTTCTAAAAAAATGAATTTAGTTCTAAAATCCATTAAAAATCGCAAAAAATCCGTAAAAAATTATTAACAGGTTCTAAAGTTAAGTGCCCAAAAGGTAATTGAAAATTCTGAGAACTGTTGAAGTGAATGAAATGTTCTAAAAACTTAATGAAGTTCAAAAGTACTAAAGGCTTTCAAAAATTGTACAGAAAATCTTTCAAAAATTGCTAATATGTATGTTCTAATGCTCACTAAAAAATAATGTACAGGGTGTGGACACTTTTGTAATTTCCGTAATTGTTAGTGGTATCAAAAAAGTAAAATAGCGTGTCGAAATCTTCAAAAATTATGGAAAGTTCTAACAAGCATAAAAAATGGCAAGAAAAGCCTTCTTAACTTCTTTGTTTATTTTTCCAAGGCCTACCTGAAAGTGTAGGGTCCTTTTCCAAACAATCTTTCGCGCCATCGACAAATACCCGAAATACGTCAAATAAGATACAATTGAAGCATTTTAATTAATTAATTTAACCGTTTTCACTGGCCTTATTGGGTGTTATTTGGCTACTTTTTCATAAAGAAAAAGTCATATAATTCCATTTGTTTTTTTGGATTTTTTTAGGATTTCAGATCATAGTGTCAAAACTAGCCCCCTGGCGGATAAGGATTCAACTCAATTAACTATATTTATATTTTATATTTTGATTCTTGTTGCCCAAGGAATGCTCTTTTCAACAATACCAAATTTGTTACAATCCGTCAAACGGTTAAGAAGTTAAAAGCAGGTTATTGCAAAAACAATTGATCGCCCCACGCCATCTTTGTTTTTGAAATAACTGAGTTTTTGTTTTTACGAAAATGATAAAGTGGTTCTCTTTAAAAATGTGAAAAAATTTTTTAGTTTATTATGCGAAAATTAAAGAAAATTGGATCAAAGTGTTCATAGAGTTCTAAAAGTATTAATTAAGTTCTAAAGCACCAAGTCTTTAAAAATTATAGATAGTTCTAAAAGGGGTAAAAAGGGTAAAAGAATTGCTAATGTAAACGTCTAAAAAATCGTACAAATGAATTAAGTGTGCATAAAGTTCTAACAAAATCATTTAAGTTCGAAAACATTAAAAATCTTCAAAAATTGTGGAAAACTCCAAAACTGCTAACTTCTTCTAATGTAAATGTCTAAAAAAAATGTACAAATTATGAACACCGTAAATATAGATCAAGTGTTCATTGAGTTCTACAAAAATGAATTTAGTTCTAAAATCCATTAAAAATTGTAAAAAAACCCTTTAAAAATTTGCTAATATGTTCTAATGTCTAAAACACAGTGTACAAATCCTGCAAATCGAAAAAAATGATCATGACTTTCTAGTAAAATTAAGTTCTAGAACAAAAAATCTTCAAAAATCACAGATATTTCTAAAAGACAAAAGAATATTCAGAGTTCTAACAAAATTGATTGTACTCTAGCGCACGAAAATCTCATGATAATTATAGGAAAAGGAACATCGAATCTTTTGTTCCCTGAGGGGGGGGGGGGGGTCTACATTCTTCTCCCAAAATATTTAGCGCATTTAGCAGTTAGGAAGTGAGTATCAAAGGGAAGATTGGATGGTCCTTTATGAAAAGGAAAAGGGCTGAACGTTTTGAGTAAGAATGGACCATCGGGGGGTATGGACCAGTACCCCCCTCCCCCGCGCCGTTCTCTCTAACGCACGAAAATGCTATATGATAAGTGTAGGAAAAGGAACGTCGAATTTTTCTTTTTTCTGGGGGATATCCCAGACTCCCCGGTTCTACAATCTTCCCCTCGCCGATTAATCTAAGCTCACGAAAATATTATGATAATTGTAGAAAAAGAAACATCGTATCTTTCTCTTTCCTGGGGGGTATTCCATTCCCCTCAGACCCTCCGATTCTACATTCTTCCCCCAAAATATTTAGCACTTTTAGCGTTTAAGTGTTTTCAAAACAAAAAAAAACTAGAAAACTCGATTTTTCCGAAAAGTCAGCGCTTTTGTGCTATAGGGTGGTTCATGTAAGCGCTTAAAAGGATAGAGTTTCTTCACGGCTTCCTAGATCACTTGCAAAACTTTAAAAGTTCCAAGCCGAATAAGACCTGGACAAAGTCTAAAAAGATGACCTGAACCTGAACCGAAAAGCGATACTGATAAGTGCTTGAAAGGCGTCTTTTAACGCTTTCCAGAACTTAGTAAGTGCCTGTCAAGGATTCCTGCATACAAGAGATTTCCAGAGCCTCCTACGATGTTCCTTCTAGAACCCTTCGGGCGTCTTTCATAGACCTCTACCTGCACGCTTGGAAAACTATGGAAAGCGTTCAGAACTTGCTTGGCTGTGGAAAAACATAGAAAAGCGGAAAACCCTTTTACTGGTGTACAAAGGTTTGCAGTGCTCTCAGGGGTTTCCTCAGCCCTATCACTTGGCAACACTGTCATATGCAATTGAGGTTATGTTTAATTGTTTTCGTTCCACAAAAGAATTTTAAATGTGTATCTATAATGCTGGAAGGTGATGAACGTATCGCATTCGACCATTGCACCATCAAAACAGAATTACACGACAGCAACGACGAAGACCACCCACCTTTTCCACCGTTCGACGTGATCATCAAGGAGGAATACGATGCCTCGTGTCCGGAGACGACGAGCGACTCGAACAGGAAGGTGTTCAACTGCAACCAGTGCCACTTTCGCTCGTTCTACAAGAGCAACCTAAAGAAGCACGTACTCAAACACTACGACGTGAAAGACTTCAAATGTGACCAGTGCGATTTTAAAACGATACAGAAGGCGAGCCTAAAAAGACACCTACTCACGCATTCCGACTTTAAGGAGTTCAAATGCGAGCAGTGCGACTACGAGACGATACGTAAAGACTGTCTAAAGCTGCACCTGCTCAAGCACATCGTCGGCGAGAGCTTCTTCTGCACCTTCTGTAGCTATAAGACGATACGGAAAAGTAATCTCAAGACGCATTTACGAAGACACACCAATATCAAAAACTACGAGTGTCTGTTGTGCGGGCTTAAGACCGCTTATAAAAGTGTCCTGAAGAAACATATGCGAAAACATTAAATTTTATTTATTCTAGATATTAACAAAAGGTGTGTTCGTTTACTAATCGCAAATTAAACGCTTAGTAAAGATAGGAGCTTAGTAAACGAATGTGCCTAAGATCTTGTGTAGCAGTCACACTTTTTTCAAGGGCCTTGAAAGATTTTCCGGAACTTTCTAGGCTCTCTACTAGGTGCTTTAGAGTAGTAAAAGAGCTTAGGAGGCCCTGGAAAGCCATATCTAACTTTTCCAGGGCAATAGTAGATTTTCTAGGAAATGTATAGAAGGGTCTGGAAAATCCTTCAAGTGTTCCAAGTGCGTTATTGATTTTTCTATGATTTGAAACAATAAAAGGAGCTTTTTGGATGCTTTCCAAAAATTTCTTGCACATTTTCCTGCAATAAAAACTTGTTTCCAGAGCTTTCTAGCGTCTGAACAGAAGTGTGCAGAACTTTGAAAGTCTTTCAGAGTGTAAGAGGCATGAAAACGCATAGAAAACTTGGTGTTGGGAAACTCTGGAAAGCGTTCAAAGCTTGTTTACACGTAGAAAGTGCATAATAAAATATCGGAAAACCATTTAGTGGTCAACAAAAAGTATTCTCTATCCTCTTAAGCGCTTACATGCCCTAGAAAACACATAAACCACACTATAGCAAATTTCAAAGATAAGAGAACAAGGTTTTTGCTTTGAAGCAACAAAATCGCGCGACCGAGCATGAAGCGTTTGTGAAATCTGGGTATACAAAAACGACGTGGCAACAGCGCTTAAAAATTTAAAATTGTCAAAGATGACATCTGCAACTTCACAGCGTTCGGCGATCCCGCCAGGCGTACAGCCATTTTGAATTCTCTTGCGGTTTTTATCGGAATACGTTCGCTTGTAATGAGGAGCCCCGGGGCTTCGGTCGTCGGAGGAGCGTGGTGAGTAGTTTTGAAGTTTTTATTTGAAAAATTCGCAAAGGCACAAATTTGAAAATTAACAAACAAGAGGTAACAATAAAATTAAGTAAACCGCTAATCACCAATCGCATTAAAAACAAATTCTAATTACCTACGTATTACAATAGAATTATAGCGCTTCTAGCTGTAATTAATGCAAAAAAAGGAACACAGTTGCATGTAATGACTAAACGAGAAATGAAAAACAATACCTAACGAGCTACTTAATTAAAAAACTAACGAATTACACGGTACGCGCCTAGTAGTGAAGTCCGCGCTTTGCACCATCTATCCTAAAACTATATAACAGTAACATTATTATTATTAAAAACAAAACGATGGTAAATCATGCACGATTTTCAGACTTTGCCCAGATTCGTGGGCGTATAGTAAATAGCGAGCAATAAGAACACCCAAACTTGAAAATAAACTATCTCAATACTTTAACACGCAAAATGCTAAAAATTAATAAAAAAATAGATCTTTGGATTCACATGAGGTTGCAGCAGATCGCCCTGTACGGTAGGTCGCTGCGACGAGTATTTCTTTGTGCCTCTTCTGCGATTTCGCTCCTAATCCTCAAAAAGTCCTCGTTATTTCCGTAGCGGCTCTCGTAAACCTCTATTGCTTCCTCACAGTCTTCAATTGTATTCTTCGGTTCCGTCTCCGCTTCGCGCGCACTCCACAGGACGACCTCGTCGTCCCCCAGCTCCCTGGCGCTCTTAAATATATCGACGTCGGGCGTATTCTCGCGCGTCCTCGTCATCCACTCCCTGACGGCCTGCGTGATCGGATAGTGCGGCGGAGGAGGAGGCGGAGATCCGCTTAAAATCGGCTCAGACGGAACGCTAGTAACATTCGTTAAGGTAATCGTCGGCGTGTTTTGGTTATCCTCACCTTTATCCTGGAACTCTTCCAGGTTCCACCTGAAGATTCCCCTCGAGGTCGACGGGCGCGGCGGCGATTCCGATCTGGCGACTATCCGGAAGAACGCGTCGTCGAGGTCGATGTTCATCGACCGAATCTTCCCCTCGAGGCTGCTGTACATGCCCTTCTGTATCATGCGGTCGAGCTCCTGGGAGATTTCGACGTTGGTCTTCTTGTCGAAGTCGTCGGAGGTGTCGAGGAGGAAGTCGTAGGTGTCGCAGTCGGAGCTTGGGGTCGGGTTCGAGGTCGATTTGGCGGGTTTCTTCTTTTTCTTCTTCTTTTTTTCGGGAGTCTCGCTCGGCGATTTTACCGCCGTTTCTTCCTCGGTGATAATTTTGTCTTCGACGACTGCTGTCGAGATCGTTTCCTCCGGAGCGGGTGGTGAGAACACTTCGCACGCCGGTGGTTCACAGGGCGGTTCTTCTGCCACCTCCACAGGAGGAAAATCGGTTACAATCACCTTCTTTGTTGCAACCTTTATTGTCTTTTTCTTTTTCTTACGTACTTCTGGGGGAGGTGTGCGAATGTCCGGTTCGGATTTGACGGGTTCCGTTACGATTTCCGGAAGACCGGTTTCAGGTTGAGACGGAGCTGTTTCAAGCTGCGAAGGTGGTACAACGTCGACCAATTGGTTAATGTCGAAACTTTCGAAAAGGTCGTCACTAAGCGGCGGGGCCTCCTCAACCACCTCCACCTCCTCCTCCTCCTCCTCGACCCCCTTGTTCTTGCGCTTCTTCCTGCTCGCGACCGCAATCCACTGATTGGACTTGCGAGGAGCGCGAACCGGAGACGGCGCTACTTTAATTTCAGTCTTTTTCTCGACGGGCTTTGCGTTGCGTAACCCCCTCGGCGGTGCAGGCGCTTCGGCAATCTTCGGCTTCCAATCCCGATTTTGATAGTGGCCGAAACGTGGCCTCGTCTTCGGCTTGTACGACTTCTTGCCGTCCTGCTCCTTGGCGGCCTCCTCGAGCTTCCAAACGATCTTCGCGATGTCGATGTCCGTCTTTTTCTTCGCCTCGGCGTCCGGCTTCGCCTCCTGAACTTCCGGAATTACGTTTACGAAATTTTGAGCGGGCGAGATGAAGTTGACCGGCACGAACGGGGGCGGCGCATCGAACGGGACCGGAATAAAATTCGGTGGCACGTTGAAGAAGTGCACGTTCGCCTGCAAATTTCTTGGAATGAACTCTTCGGCATCAGCCTTCAACTCGCTCTTATTCTCCTTTGCAACATCTTGAGCATCGCGTTCCTCAGTCTTAAAAACATCGTCGCTACTCGCCTCCGACGTAACCGACTTCGAAGGCGAGACTTTCCGACGCCGCCTCTTCTTCAAACGCACCGGCTGTTCTTCGTCTGCAAATCTATCGCTAGAGACGAAAAAAAAACAACCGAGACTCACCTGAAGGCTGCGTTGAGACATTCGTCGCGCCGGACTCCTCATTTTGGGGACTGACAGATTCCGCCTGCAAAAAAAACAAGAGACGATCTAACTTTAGCTTTCTGAACGCACTTGACAGGTCTAAAAATAAATCCCCGCTTAATGGCGAGAATTCTTCTAGCGCTAAATTTATTTACGAGAATTTTTGTTGCGGTAAGTAGATTTGTAATAAAATTAGACAAAGCGCCAACAAAATCATAAGTGATTCATTCATTACATCAAAGAAGGCCAGCGCGCTTTGTCTTAATAACACTTTTTCGCAAAGCGAGCGAGCCAACTTAACAGATGAATGGACGGACTAATTAAGTCATGGTCTAGGGGCCAATTTAAATGTGAGACACACTATATCACTTCCGAAAATTCAATTCGAAGACTTTGGAAACAGAACCATTTTCTGAGCATTTTCAAAATCTCTGACAACTTCCTCAAATTTCAAAAACGTTTTCGGGATTTGCACATTTTCAAAATTTGGTTTGGTAGCCGAATCAAAATTATTTTGAATTATACACGGCGTTCTGCCAAAACCCCCGTATACATTATCATTCGTTTACAAAGAAATTGACTTATCTGCAACGTCCACTAATTTTTCTAATTCACATTTTACACCATTCAAAGTCGTACCCTTAAAATAAAATCTATACCACTTATACAAGGTGATTCAAAAATATGTTTGTATAACATAACAATTCTTCAAAAATTTTTTGAAGGAACAGTCACAAGAATCGATGCTGCTTATAACAGAGCGATCAAAGAAATACTTTTAATCATACACTACAGGATGTTTCAAAAAAATTTGACAGTGTCTAATACAAAGAATGAGGCAATATAATTTTTAAGGCACGTTGTACAGGGTGAGTTAACGATTGCGCGGAGTAAGTTAACCTTGAAGATAAGATTTTTCGATAGAGTACTTTTGTATTATGATATGGTTGAATATTCTCCACATTTTAAAAATATTTGGAATTATACAGGGTGCGCCCACAAAGTAGCGCGCCCAAATGGTACATTTTTTTTAATAGACCCCCCCCCCCCCCGCATTGCAAGCGTCAGTATAATGTTCAAAATTATTACTTAAATCTAGATTCCAGGTTTTATATTTTTATCTAGGGTTTAAAAAGTGAGATGATTTTTAATATTGAAGTTTTGTAACTTTGGACTAGAAAAAAACACCCTGTAAGCTATTTTTTTAATGTTTCATATACGTAGATGTATTTATTTGACGTTTACTTAACCCAGGATAAAAGATATAAAACATGGAATCAAAATTTAAGTAATAATTTTGACAATATACTGACGCTTGCAAATGCCCAATTTTTCTTACAAATGGAATTATCTTTAAAACTACTAGCTTTTCGGATATTAACCATATAATAAAAAAGACACAATTACACGTAGAACTCAAAAATGCATTCAAATACAGGGGGTCCTATTTAAAAAAATGTACCATTTTGGCGCCCTACTATGTGGGCGCACCCTGTATAATTCCAAACATTTTTAAAATGTGGAGACTATTCAACCATATTATAATACAAAAGCACTCCATCGAAAAATCTTATCTTCAAGGCATTAAGTTAGTCCGCGCAATCGTTGACTCACCCTGTACAATATTTCAATTTCAAAATTCCACAATACTCTGTAGAATTATTTAAAAATAGGGTTCGCGAACAGTGTTTATACAGGATCGCCAAATGAATATTTACATTGGTATAGTATAGATCTACAGGATGTTTCGACAAAACTTCACTGTATAAATACTCAACATTAAAGTGTTTTTTTTGAGGTTTTATGCAGACTAAACGCCGAATTGTCGAATTCATATTTGAGTGAAGGGAGGCACAGCAATACAGGACATCTCTCTCTCTCTCTCTCTCTCTCTCCTGGAGGACTGCCGTATATTGGGGAGGGGAGAGGGGGTTCCATTCCCCTCGGTTCTACGTTCTCTTAAAGAGTTCACTTTAAATGGTATCTTTCTAAAAATTATGATGTAAATGCTAAAAGCGCACAGTATTTTGGGCGAGGTAGAACCGGAGGGGTCTGGAATACCCCCGAGGCCACACCGCTCCAGTACACAAATATTGTATGATAGTTTTATGCAAAGGACCATTGAATTTTTGTTTCTTTCTCGACTCTCTCTTTCTCTATTTCTCTTCGTGTACTGGGGCGATATCGCTCTGGGATATTCCATATGCCCCGGTGCTACCTTCTCCCAAAAATGATTGTCTTGTACCAAAAGCGCTTAATATTTTGTGGGAGAATGTAGAACCGGGGGGTCTGGGGGGTATGGAATACCCCCCAGCCACACGATCTCAGTACAGAAAAATTTTATGATAGTTTTAAGTAAAGGAACATTGAATCTTTCTTTCTGTCTATCTCTTTCTCTTCGTGTACTAGGGCGATATCTCTGGGGGGGGGGGGTATTAATGATTATACCCCCCAGTTCTACATTCTCCCACAAAATATTAAGCGCTTTTGACACAAGACAAACATTATTGGGAGACTATGTAACGTTTTGTGGGAGAACATAGCACTGTGGAGTCTGGGGAGGTATGGGATACCCCCAGCCACATGGTCCCAGTACATAAAAATTTTATGATAGTTTTAACTAAAGGAACGTTGAATCTTTCTTTCTCTTTTCCTCCTGGGAGAGATTAGATTTTCTAATACTAGAGCGGTATCGCTGGGGCTCCTAGGAATATTCCCCAGAGCTACGACCTCCCACAAAATGTTAGATGCTCTCCTGAAAATGTTTGTCTTTTGCCGATTTTTGCGAATGTAGAACCGGCGGGGGGAGGGGGGGTACGGTACCGCCCAATTCTACGAAAATATTCTCATACTGGGTGATCAAATGAATATTTTCATTGGTATAGTATAGGTCTATAATAGGATGTCTCAAAATTTTCCTGTGAAAGGCGATTAAAGAAATATGCTTCATCCGTGCAAGACGAGCAAGCGTAATGGCTTATCGCGCGCTTGAGCGAGGTGAGGGCGGCCGCGAAACAGAGCTTATGTTCCATTCGAAATAATATTTAGTCACATACATCAAACCCGCACGAACCCGCCAAGTCATTTTCAAGTTTGACAATACTCTAAACGGCGACCCTAAAATAATATCGATACCCCCTATACAGGGTGTTCCACTTTTATACGGTATCCGTGTAATTGGTAGTGCTATAAAAAAGTGATATAGGCGTCATGTTGAATCAAGCTTAAAATTGTAAAATAAAAATCTCGCTCGCTTAAGAGATATGGGGGGAAATCGAAATATTTTGATTTAAAAGAAATACATAAAAATGAGTAGGTATTACAAACGTTTCTTGAAAATGATTGTTGAATCATCTGCCGTTTTCAAAAATAAGTATACAAGGTTAGGTAAGAAAGTTATCGAACCTAACATCATTGTTTGAAATAGAACACCCTGTATATTTTAATCTAAAAAGCATATTAAACTCTCTTTTCAAAAATTTAACATATCAGGGATGATAGTCAAGTGGTTCAAAAAGAGTTTTGAATGTTTTTGGTATTATATTTTTGAACAGTGACTTTAAATATGCTATTTTTTTAGATTAAAATATACAAGGTGTTCGATTTAAAAGAATGAGGTTAGGTCCAATAACTTTTTTAACTGACCCCGTATATTTATTTTGAAAACGGCAGTTTGTTCATCACATCATCATTTTCAAGAAACTTTTGTAATAAACATTTTTCTGTATTTCTTTTAATCGCGAAAATGTAGGGGCGTACAATACTAAAAAAAACGACAGTAGTGTTGGTACAGGATGATCAAAAATATGCAGTTATCCCCTTTTTTACTAACCAAAGAAAAAATATTGTCACACGATCTTCACACTTAAAATATTTGCTAATTCTTTAGTGATGTTCCCACAACCTGTGCGAAAAAGCCTACATTTTTCGACACTTTCCTGACACAGGAACTTTAGGCAATTTAAATTCAAATTTGAAGTGAATACCTACATAAATAAATGAATAAGTACAGTAGTGGTTAACATGTGGTTACAAAATAGAGAAAATTAATGTGAGAATTTGCCAGACACCTATGTCATAATATGCATACATTTATATACAGGGTGATCAGATGAATAGTTACTAACCATGGAATCCGTGCTGTAACGTTTCGTCCTCGAGTTCGGATATTCCGCGTAGCAAATGGGGGCGTTATAGACGACGAATGGGAATGGTTCGAAACCTGCAAAGGGGAGGTTTGTTAATCGAACGCACTCGCCGACCCGAGCGCTTACTGTTAATGTAGTAGATTCCGTTTTGGTCGATGAACCCGTTGGGGAAGACAAATTGCGATTCGTACTCGACGTCCGTACCCTCCATACCGTCGGCCGATTGATGGTCGGGAGTGCACGTCGAGGTGGAGTTGGCTGTCGAGCAGGTGCCCGTCGACGTTTGCGTCTGGTAAAGTTTCGGCTTGTTCAGGTAGCCCTTCTTGAAGAGGACGTCCTGTCGAGGGGTCGTGATACGCGTGTACTCATCTAAAATTTAAATTGCGAAAACCCGGGAGTTTCCCATGAGATTAACGAACCCTCGTTGAAGGTGGCCTTCTTCTCGCTGGTCGTGCTGTTCGATCGCGTCGTTTTGCTGCTGTCGTGCTCGAACTTTCTTATGGGGCTCGAGTGGGTCGAGTACGAGAATTTCGAGTATTTACGTTGGTAATTATCGCCGGCCGTTAGCAGAGATTCCTCGCTATCGCTCTGGTGACCTGCAACGAAATTGTTTAAATAAACAACTTAATCGCTCTGTGTAAACAGCGTGTTTGACGAACTTATTCACGCGCGCTCGCTTCCGCGTGCGCGCGGGAAGGGGCGAAATTCGAAAATGCGAGCGCGCCGGATTGCGAAAAAAAAAACTTGGCAGAAGAGATCTCTCTTATTCGACCGGCACTCGCAAAAGTTCATTGTTTGGTGAGGAATTTTAAGTGTCGACTATTAACGTAGCGCTCTTCCTCCGGTGCCGCCGTCACCACCCCCCAAAGTGACGAAGGCCGTCAATCAACGCTAACTCGATCTATTGTTCTCTATTGCCCAATGACATACGTCACTGATTAGCGCGGATTTGGGAGCAAAATTTCAAATTCAAATTTCGACTCTGTTATTACATCACGTGCAGAAGCGCGTGAATTTCGGTCTCGTGATTTCTAATTTTAGTCCTCGCCGAGTACGCGCGCCCCTTTTTTTTTCCACCGCGAGCGGCCGCTTGCTATCGATTTCGAAAACACCGGCACCGATATTACATCGCGGGAGAGAGGTGCATATCGCAGACGGATGTTTTTGCGATAATCTCGCCTGCTCCATTTATCGATTTCGTACTCTCTGGTTCAGGGGTGCTTCTTGAGGAGGTCGTAGGTCAAAGGTCAAGATTCGTAACCGGCAGTAAATTATATAAATTTAGAATTGAACTTTAGAAAGCCGATTAATCTCGTGCCAATAATAAATACTCGATTGTGTGCTGTCGGGCGGAGGGCGAAACGCCGCCGCCGCCACCACCACCGTCGCAAAAAAACACGTCTAGACCGCAATTTCTAACATGATGCGAATTCGCGTTGGTCGCCGTAGAAAAAACGACGGAAAAACACGTGCTTCGCGTAACACACACGCCTCGAGTCAAACTAAATTATGTAATCGGCTTACCATTGAGCGTAAGTGTACGCCATCTCGTCTTCTTCACCTTTTTCCCCATTATTCTCTCCCCCGAATTACAAGGCGATGAATTGCGGCGCGCGTTTCGTCAACTTTTCGAAATCATCATCGCGTCGCGTACTACGACATTTTTTCGCGAATCGAAAAGAAAACTTCCATCCGCCCCAAACGTCACGCACGGGGGTGAAAAAGCGCGACTGGCCGGTTTCTCACTGGACGACTTCTTTCATGGCTTTCGGCCCTATTACATAACGTTTCGAAAGACCCGTATTTTATCGACTCTCGCGGAACGTCAAAAAATCTGACTTCCCCCGACTGCGTGCGAATCGTTTATGAATGTATCTTTAGCGGGTTCGGACGTCGACGGCGACACTTCGGCCGACTTCCGCGTATCGGCGAAATGACCCACAAATTCGAATCTCGGGAACAATGAATAAATTGGTCGGGAACGGAAATTCAAGCGTCACGTGCGCGCGATTTATTTCGAATGGAAAATAACGAAACGGTTTCGTTTTAATTATAATTTTTTTAAGATTTTGATTAATTGGTTTGATTACGAAATGGAAAAATTAACGTCCCCCTAGCGGACGCGTTCGCAACCACACTCGGTGTCAGTCAGTGTCAGTGGCGGCGACGTTGTACGAATTCGATGGGCGCTCGCGAAAACACACGACACGACACGAACGCGACATTTTCATGTAATTCGTTATTATTATGTGTGTTTATGATGGTTTATTGTTTAAATTAAATTGAATTATACAGTGTGCAATTGCATCTATAAAATCCTTGTTATTCAATAAAATGTAATCTTTGCGCACTTAAAACACTTTGACCCCATTAATAAAGACGTCTCGTTTCGATGTAGGGGGTCGGAGGATGTGTCGGAAAATAACGATTCTTTTGAAGAGTAGTACCGTTTTAACCCCCCCCCCCTCCCTCACCGCTCCTCCGTAACCGCACATACAACTTATTCACATTTTACTTCCCAAGGCAGCATCTAATATTTCGTTGGGGAATGAAGGGCGAGGGGATCTTATGATGCAAACAATTTAAAGGAACCTGGTATACTAACTTGCTTCTCTAGGCGATGACCATGTTTTTTAAAAATAAAAGTTATTTATTATACTTTGGGAACTGTAAGAATTTTTCGAAAAAGGGGTTGGGATGTCGCGATTTGTGTCGTAGACTGATGATGCCTTTCCCTCTCAATTCAACAGGCACGGCGAATGTTCGTGTAGTGAGAGAGGCGGATACGGTCGAAAAATAAAAAAATTCGTGCTTCGTCTCCTTCTCTACCCCCCAAATTAACCGAGAAGCGTGAAAACTCGCCCATGTTTGTAGATTCGGAAAAATTGCATTATCTTTCGCGTATGACTTCGTAATTTGTCAAGCAGTTCGTTTACGATAGGTACTTTTTTAGGTGCGACGCCCCCCCCCCTTTCGCTCCGCAATTGACAGATCAGCGTGAAAAATTGTTCGTGCTCCTTTAAGAGGATTCGGAAAAGTTTGCATCTTTGCGTTTGAAACCAGCAGCTTCTTATAGCCACACCTTCTCCCCCGGGAACGCCCCCCTCTCCCCCATTATCCCCACTAAGTTGACCTAGAATCGCGAGAAATGTATTTTTTGTCATTTTTCAGAAAAACATTTTTTTGTGATTTTTCGTGTTCGAAACATTCAATCTTTGCGTTTAAAATGCTGATCCCCGCCCCCCCTCTCCTTGTTATCATGAATGTGATCAGAGTCACGAAATAGATTTTGATTCTTATTCGGAAAAATTCGCGTTTGAAACAAACAGCTTCCTAAGTTGCACTTGGCTTCGCCCCCGATAGTCCCCAGACCTACTTCTCTTAACCCTTTGAAATAATACCAAGAATCGCGCAAAATACATTTTGTTATTTTTCAGAAAAATTCAAACGTCTTAATACGTCTTAATAATAATAATTTGCGCTTGCAAGCTTGCAACCGCAGACTAACCCCCCTCCCCCTCCTCTTGTCACAATGAAGTTGACCCAGAGCCGCGAACAATATTTTTTGTTCTATTTCGGACAAATTCGACTACTTTCGCGTTTGAAACCGCAGACTAACTCCAACCCCCTCGACCTTAAACCGTGAAAAATAGGTTTTTTGTTCTTTTTCGGAAAGCTTCGAAAGTTGCACCTCGCTTCGCCTCCATTTTCGGAAACATTCGAATATCTTCGCAGACCCCCCTTGTCACCAAGAAGTTGACCAAGAACCGCAAAAAATTAGGATTATTCTTTTTCGGACAAATTCAAGTATTACCCACTTTAAACGTGAATGTGTGCCCCCCCCCCCCCTCCTCACCTGAACTTCACTGAGAACGTGAGAAAAATCTTTTTGTTTTTTTTCGGAATAATTCGAATATCTCCGCGTTTGAAACTTACAACTTCGAAAGTTGCACGTGGCTTCCGCCTTCGATAGCCACGCCTATTTTAAACGCGAACTGGGTACTCCCCCCTCTTGACCCCTTGAAGTTCACAAATAACGGCGCGTAAAATAGATTTTTTGTTCTTTTAATCTGTGTTTGAAACCGTACACATACCCCCCTCACCCCCTCTCTCAAATTGTGTAGTACAAGGGAGCTTATTTTTGCCCTACTTTGGGATTATTGAAGTTTTGGACGCATCGACAATTTAGAGAATGTAGTACGGTGCTGCCACACTGTATTTATTTACAGAACTTTTGCACGCTCCGCTCCCCCTCACCGCTCAACTCGGCGGTGGTCGCACAGTACACCTCTCAATGAAACAGGCGCGGCGAATGTTCGTGTAGCGGGGTAGGCGGATACGGTCGAAAAATATTTTTGTAAAATCGGAAAAATTGCAATATCTTTCGCGTATGACTTCGTAATTTGTCAAGCAAGTTCGTTTACCATAACCACACTTTTTTTGGTGCGAAGCCCCCCCCCCCCTACTCTCCACAATTGACAGATCAGAGTGAAAAATTGTTTGTGCTCTTTTATAGGGATTCGGAAAAGTTTGCATCTTTGCGTTTGAAATCAGTAGCTTCTTAGCAACACCCTTAACCGGAAACGTGCCCCCCCCCTCCCCCATTATCCCCACGAGTTGACCTAGAACCGCGAGAAATATTGTCTTAATAATAATTTGCGCTCGCAACCGCAGACTAACCCCCTCCGCCTCTCTTGGTCCTTTGAAGTTGACCTTTAACTGAGAAAAATTGTTTTTTTTTGTTTTTTTCGGAAAAATTCGGATATTTTCGCGTTTGAAACCAATAGCTTCGTACGTTGCACGTGGCTTCGCCTCCAATAGCCACGCCCACTCTAAGCTCGAAGTTGATTCTCTCTTCTCTTGTCCCCATGATGTTAACCGAGAACCGCGAAAAATGTTTTGTTCATTTTCGGAAACTTTCGAATATCTTTGTTTTTGAAACCGCATATAACCCCCCCTCCCCTCCCCCTCCTGTCACCGTCAAGTTCACTAAGAGACCTGAAAAATAAGTTTTTTTTCAGGACAATTCTTATATCTTTGCATTTGAAACCGCAGCCCCTCGCGCTCCCGTGTCACCAAGTTGACCAAGAGCTCCACAAAAAGTTTTGTTCTTTTTCGGAAAAATTCAAGTATCGCCCACTTTAAACGTGCCCCCCCCCCCCCTACTTTGGGATTATTGAAGTTTTGGACACATTGACAATTTAGAGAATGGCGTATGGTGCTGCCACACTGTATTTATTTATAGAACTTTAGCACACTACCCTCCCCCTCCCTCTAGACATCCACATACTATAAACACTAATTTGTAAAATTAATTATAATCCATAATAGCCCCCCCCCCCCCGGGAGTCAAGTGCCCCGGTATCACAGAACCTACAAGTTACTAATCATCTCCGCGCTCAAATTCCACAACGCGGTAGCGAGCTCGTCGGACTGCGCGCTTTCGCTTTCCCGACACCGAAAGCAGTTGTTAAAATACACGCCCGTCACGCCGTTCAACTCGACGGCGGTCGCGCAGTAAACCGTCGTGCTTGCCGCCTGCTGCAGCGACTTGGTGAACGGACGCACGAGGCCAAAGAGCAGCCGGTAGAGCCACCAGTTGCGCGTCAACGACGACGACACCATATTCCCCGGATGCAGGGTGAACACGCCGACGCCGTTCGACTGCAGATTCTTCGCGAGCTGCCGCCCGAACAGCACGTTGCACAGTTTCGAATTGTTGTACGCCGTCATGTCCCAGTACTTGCTCGGTACGTCCGGCGAGAGGGCCGTCGTTAAGTTGTCGACGGTCAAATTGGCAAAGCTGCAACGAAGAAGAGATGAAGTCGCGCTTTAATTATCGGAACTTACCGGTGGGATTCGGACGACACGATCACCACCCGACTGCCGGTCACAAGTAGAGGCAGCAGGAGGTTAGCGAGGTGGAAGTGCGCGAGATGATTGACTTGGAACGTCGTCTCGTAGCCGTCGATCGTCTTCGTGTACGGCAGCCCGAAGACGCCCGCGTTCAGTATTAGCATATCGAGCTGTTTGTGTTTCGTCTTGATGAAGTTCGCACAATCTACTACGCTCTTCAGCGAGGTCAGATCCAAGTGGACCGCCTCGCATAGGTCCGCCACCGTCGATTTCTCCTCGGCGATGCGATCGATCGCTGCTCGCGCGGATTCGACGTTACGGCAGGCGAATATCACGGTGCACGAGTGCTTGGCGAGAGAGCGGGCGGTTTCGTATCCGATTCCCGCGTTCGCGCCGGTTATTAGCGCGACTTTACCGGTGAGGTCGCGGCCGTGCAGCACCTGTAAAGCGGTGCTGGACGCGTCGAAGCGTTGGCGGAAGTCGTTCGGATGGTCTTTCTCTTCGACGGCGAACGCGAGGCGCGGGTCGGTGTAGGTGGTGCGGCGGTTCTCGTGGTCGATGTAGATTATTTTTTGGGTGGCTTTGTCGATGCACCGCTCCCAGCCATAGGGGAGCTCACCGGACACCACCTTCTTTCTTCCGGTGCGAGGGTGGGTCCACTGGGTGTTTTTGGTCAGGTGATTCGCGTAGAAGACGCTGCCGTCTGCCGTCACTCGCTCTTCCCATCCTGGAGGAAGCTCTTCTTCGCTGTCGCTTTCCGGTAAATTCATCAGTTTCTTTGGATTTAATGTGAGGTTAAGTTACCCATCGGCCATCTTCAATGTCAAATATCAGTGGCGTACAGAAATGTGAATAATTCGGGGCTCATTTTTAAACTCAAAAAAGCGCCACCTATAGACGTTTCAAGTAATTGTTTACTGCAAAAGTTTTCCATACTTCAAGACTAGATTTTTTGTGGACTTGTTAGGCCCTCCCTCTTAAAGTGCAATTAAACACTGCCAATACCGGTCACTCGGTTGGGATTAATTGTGATGATCGGTGCAATTTCATTACAAAAGTACCTAACTGGTCTTATGAAAAGGAAAACACAGTCTGAAGTGATCACTGTAAATATATCACCTCAGTCCCTAGCTTTGGTAAAAACCTAGAATGCTCTGGAAAGATACCAAAGGCTTCTACGCGCGGAAGACCCTTACCAGAGTTGTTATGGTACTTCCAGGATTCCTTGGGCTCTTACTGGAGCTGTCCGCAACCTTTCTATAGCGTTTCAGGTCCTTACCAAGGTCGCTTCGGCTCTACGGTCAATCGAGACATCTCTAGGCCCTCTTTGCTCTGAAAAAACACTAACGGCTTCTTCTTTGCACGACCCTGTATACAGAATACTAAGATATTGGCAACACTGTTTCTTCGACTCTCGTTCGTTGTAAAAGTGGCGTTATGTTTTGGCTTAGGGACGAATTTGTTTATTATTCTCGCCAGGGAGAGAATGCCGGTACGTCATGGCTTTATGTATGACAATTCAACTCATGTATAAAAAATCGCATAAGCCGCAGTGAAATTGTCACTTTAACAGCGGCAAAAGTTACCTGCAACTTTTCCAGCGACAAATGCACTAGTGGTTTTTTCACTTATTCATTTTCGAACCAATTATGGCATTATCCTTTCCCATATGACTAGTTTGACGTCTGTCAGTAATTGATTAGTTATGTGAATTTCTTGTTCGTTAAATTGTCCTGCCGAATTACACTCGAGGTTTGTATTTAAACCGAGTAAATTTGTGTTGTTGCAATTCAAATCTGTTGCCTTTTAGCAATAGACGGTTTCGGCGTAAGTTTGACCTTGAAAGGATAAAGAGGAAAGTTCTACCCTAGTTTTGTTTCTTTCTAACAGTGTCGCCACACATAGCGCAATATATCCCCAAATTGATTAGTTATTTTTACAATATTACCATGTAATTGGTAATCCATGTTTATAGTAATATAACCTTACAAAACATTCGCATAACCTCATTTATTCGTTTCTGTCATCATTATTTCCTGGCCTTTTCTAGTTTTCTCATTGCGGTGTCGCATTTTTATTAGTTGACAGTTTTTCTCGTCTAATTGCTAGGCAACAGATTTTCATTACCTAAACAACCCAAATTTACTCGGTAAAATACAAACCTCTTGTGCAATTATAAGTGATAAATTAACAATATTCATGTAGTCACGGTTTATGATCGCGTGGTTTAATAGGAAAAACTTACGTCAAATTTCCTCTGTAATACTTTGATTAGAAAATGTTCTCCGAGATGGCGACAGGTGACATTTATTTTGAAAGTGTGTAAACAAGAAATTTTAGAAAACCGTATATGTTTTTTCTCTTTCTACCACGTTATTTCATTCAATCACTCATGTCGGTTCCTTCAAATGCACTTCCCAGTGTTTACATTCTTTATTTGTTGTAGTGTTTTTCATGTGACTTCATTGTAAACGTTTTTAGTCCACGTAATTAAGACGTCGGCGTTTTCTCCTGGGCAGAATGTATTTCCTAAGTCAATGAAAAAACCGGGGAAATGAAAGCTCCCCTTTAAGTACTTAACGATGGTCAAAAACGGTGTCGAAGTGGTCATCTCGTAAGTATCCCACGTTGAAGCTTGAAAAAAGAGTTATCCTCGTTCCAGGGTCATTCTGCTCACATCTACCGGCCTGCTGTTCTTAATTAACCGGTACGTGTCGCTCTCGCAAGTCTTTGCCGATCCCAAATTCGAATATAACTGGATCATCTTCGGTTTCCACAACATCTTGGGATACTCGACCGTATTGCTACCCGGCTACCTCGTTTATAGATACATTCACAAAATTAACTACTTCAATAAGGCGGGTAAGATGCGAACCGTTTTCGTGCCCGCAGTCACCCGATTTCATTTTAGGACACAACGGCCTAGCGTTTGTTATCCGAAAATGCTTCGAAAGCGACGACACTATCGACTGCGCAAACTTGGCCGTCTCGAACGTGCCGCAATCGCGCACGCTTCTGCAGGACGGTTTACTGCTCATGTTCTACTTCGTCGGTCTTCAGGCGTCGTTTTTAACGTGGGGCGTCTTACAGGAGAAAGTGATGACACAAGTAAGCTTCCGTCGAAATGAAAAAGTTGAGGTTAGAGTTTCCTTCTAGAAGTACGAAAATGCGGATGGCGGCACAGCACATTTCACCGACTCTCAGTTTTTGGTCTTCGTCAATCGAATTCTCGCCTTTCTGCTGTCGGGGTTCGTGGTTTTGTGCACGAGACAGCCGACGCATCGGGCGCCGCTTTATAAATACGTGTACTGTTCGTTGTCCAACATTTTAAGCTCGTGGTGTCAGTACGAGGCTTTGAAGTATGTGTCGTTTCCGTACCAGGTAAAGCGTTACGTGAGTTGTCTGTGAAGTTAGCCGGTCATTTTCATCGAAAACTCCGTTCCTTTTAAGTGCTTAATAAAGTGCTAACTTCACAGACACGTGTCACGTGCAAGAAATCGTCTATAACGTCCGTTTAGGTACTGGCAAAGGCGACCAAAACGATACCCGTCATGATTCTAGGAAAAATAATCTCCAAGACAAAGTACGAATCGTACGAGTACTTGACCGCCCTCCTCTTATCACTTGGAATGCTCTTCTTTATGTTCGACACCGGAAACGATAGCAAAGGTACGCGAGAATGTGACGCGCCACAGTCTAATTTCGTATTTTAGGTTCTAGCACGACGACACTCTCCGGTGTTTTCTTGCTCTGCTCGTATATCGCGTTCGACAGCTTCACGTCTAACTGGCAAGGCTCGCTGTTCAAACAGTACCACATGAAACCGATCCAGATGATGTGCGGCGTCAATTTCTTCTCGTGCATTTTCACCGCGATCTCCCTGCTCCAGCAGGGGGGATTATTAAGGTCCGTGCGATTTATGCTCGATTATCCCGCGTTCATGTTCGATTGTTTCCTGCTGTCGTTGTGCTCGGCGACCGGGCAGCTGTTCATATTTAAAACGATCGCGACCTTCGGCCCGCTAATCTTCGTCATTATAACCACCATGAGGCAGGGCTTCTCCGTTTTACTCAGCTGTATTATATACGGCCACGAGATTCACGCCGTCGGGATAGTGGGAGTGTTTGTGGTGTTTTTCAGTATTTTTCTTCGTATTTATTGCGGCCATAGGATCAGGACGAAAAGGAAAAGGGCGCAGACCGCCGCCGATCTGAAGATATGATCTAGGTAGATGAAAGACCAAACTCCACTGTGTGTAGATCTGTCGTTTTTACACAAGATGCAAATAAATATTTTGCAGTTATGGATCGCGTAATTTGTTCTGTTGCACTTTTACCCATCTCTCCTTCTCAAAAATCGCGTATAGCAGGGGTTCTCAATCTTTTGGACACTGCAACCCCCCCCCCCCCTTAACGTTTCAGTTGAGTATTTTGCCGACCTACGATATTTTTTTCAATACGTAAGAAAATAGTCTACAATGTTGTATTGTTTTCTTTAATTTTTTCCCCTGTATTTCGCGATACCCTCGGACACGATCTAGAGGGGGGTCGCGACCCACCGGTTGAGAACCACTGGCTTATAGAGTGAATAAAAACAGAAGAATGTGTAGAATCTGAAGAAACTAATGCATTTTATAGTTATGCCATCAACGTTAGTAGGTACTTTGGGTAAAGTCTGGGGGCGTGTTGGGTAAAGAGTAATTCTTATAATTAGTTTCAAACAATCAAACCATAACTGAACTTTTGAAAAATCGCCGCAGCGGCCCTGGGAACTTTTACAACACTCAGCGGTCACTCAAAAACTTAGACTGGATTCGATGATAAAACAAAAGCGCTCACAACGGCTAAAGAGATATTTGCATTTCCAAATTTTTAGAGAAAAATGTAAAACCATGATACGTACATCTTACATTTGAGAATAAAATGTCGCAAAATAGAAAATAGTATGTTTCTATTTCATAAATCAAGATGTCGTCAACTTCCGGTATTTACGGAAGCGGTCCCATCTTGAAATTATTTTATTTCAATTCGCAATTTGATATGGGTGTGAACCAAATTTCTATTCGAACTGTATGTTTAAAAACTTAACCAACGAGCTACGTCCATCTCCCTGTCTACTAAGTGTTTTTGTGATGCTACATCTAAATATAATGAAGTTGCCATTAATAAAAATATGCCCTCCTGGACCATAACTGATATTTATTTATACATTAAAGCGATGTCAAAAATTAACTTGCACACTGTAGATTATAGTTTACAGAGCCACCGCCGCGTTGCTGTTAGCAAGCGTGACGCTAACCACAACTTGAGGCGGCCATTACTAGTCACGTGACTTAATCCGTACGCGCTCATTATATGTTTTTTAAACTTTTTGGTTTAATTCAAATTCAACCCCCAAATTAAAGTTTAAAGCGGGTTCACAGCAATAATGATTGATATTGTGCGCTTACTCTCGCGTGTGTACTGTTACTTCGTTCCAGTGCCATTAATTTGAGCAAATCCAGATGTGGCAGAAGCCCCATTCTCTCTGGCTCTGAAGTAAGTTATCAGTTTATGGCTAACGCCAGTTTAGATGACTCACCTTCTGTCAAAAAGTCGTTGACTGAATTTGAAACGTTCAGGTTTTGAAATGAATAATTGGTTACAGGTACAGGGATGTTGAACTTGAAGCCTGTGAGCCTTGGGGGGGTAAGTGTCTTCCTTTTCTATTGGTGCATGGGTACGTTTATCTACACTGTCTATGCCTATGGCAACAAATGACTTGTGACTAGGGGGTTTCAATTTCGCAGCGAAACCGCACAATTTGAAATTACACTAACCGTGACGAACTTTCACGTGCAACTTAAATCTGAGCTCCCACGTCGTGACAAAATCGCACTGTTGGCAGACGAACTTTTCCGAACCGTGATGCGCCTTCACATGATTGTAAATGTTCATTTTACAAGTCGTCGTATAATCGCACTGTTCACAATTAAAATTTTCCGTCTCGAAGTGGCGCATTTGCACGTGATGTTTCAGGCAACGTTTCGCCTTCGTCGTGTAATCGCAGTGCTGACAGGCGAACTGTTCAAGACCGTGACGCACCTTCCGATGGTAACGCATGTTCGGCTTTTGTTTCGTAACGTAACCGCACAGTTCACAGCTGAGACTTTCCAAATTGTGCCCGTATCGCGCGTGTCGCTCCAATCGCACCATCGACTTGGCGACGAAATCGCACTGCTCGCATTTAAGTGTCGTTTTCGAATGGTAGGTGCGTGCGTGTTGCGCCAGGCTTCGTTTCGATTTCCCACTAAAGTCGCACCGTTGACACGCGAACCTCTCCGAACTGTGCACGTTTTTAATATGATCCACAAGGTACCGTCTCTTCGTGGTTACAAAATCGCACTGCAAACAGTAAAACTGCTCCGAATCGCACAGTTCACAATCGCGAGCAGTGTGAACTTTCTTAACGTGTCGCGGCAAAAATTTTTTCGATTCTGTACTAAAATCGCACTGTTCACAATTAAATGTGATCGGGTTGTGATGCGCCGGTCGCTCGATTTTGTAGGACGTTGTGTACGCACATCTTTGGCAGATGAATTTTTCCGGTTCTGATATATTATGGCAGGCTTGCATGTGATGCACGAACCACCTTTTGGTATGCGCGACGTGGTCGCAGTATTGACAATTGAATTTCTCTGGATCGTGACTTTTTTTCGTGTGTTGCATTAGCAAACTTATCAAATTTGTCGCGGAGTTACATATTTCGCAACGACTAGCAGTCTTGGAACGGTGTCTCACTTCCATATGTTGTTTTAAGCTTCGTTTCCAAGTGCTGGAGAAATTACACTGATAACAAAAGAATTTGTCCGAACTGTGATGTGCCCTTATATGATTATTTAAGTTTATTTTTCGATCTGTGGTGTAATCGCACTCTACACAATTAAATAGAGGTTTTTCCAACGAGTGAGAAAGTTCCATGTGAAGGGTGAAATTTACTTTTAACGTCGTTGTGTAGTTGCAGTGTTGGCAAGTGAACTTTTCCAGGCCATGTTGCGCTTTCATGTGGTAGCGCATCTTTGTTTTCAAATTTGTGACGTAATCGCACTGTTCACATCGGAGCTTTCGTGTACTATGCCGCGCCTTCATGTGTTGCTTAATGCATGCCATCTGTTTCGTAACGTAATTGCAATGTTCACAATGAAATAATTCCGCGCTGTGTTGTCGTCGGATGTGCGTTACCAAGTACCGTTTCAATTTCGTTGTGTAGTTACACTGTTCACAATGAAAATTTTCCAAACCGTGGTGCATTCGCATGTGATCCATTAGGTTTTTTTTCTTTTTTGCAGTGTACTCGCACTGTTCACAATTAAATGTTGTCGATTCATTAAGAACTATCCCAGGATCCTCTTTCCACTGCAAATCGTTGTTGACTCCCTCTTCGTACTTGAGCTCAATTGCTTTAGCTTCCGGCTCATTGTCGAGCTCCTCCACCTCCACCTTCGGTTCAACTTTAATAAACTGCACGTCTTGTAGTCTCTCGGTCTCCATTCTTGACCAAATTAAAAATAAGAACAACCTACAAAGGCAAGATGGATGTCTGAGTCAAACGAACTACCACGTTCGTTGGAGAGCGCTACGATGTGATTTTTGAACTACCTCATGCTATGTACAGGGTGATCAAACTTTGATGGCTTTATCAGAACATCTTCCAACGCTATACTTGATAATTCTGCAACAAGTTTACACGGTGGTCAAGTAAGAATGGCACCATTTCCAGCGTTTTGGAATTTGTGGTCGCAGTGGGAAAGTTCCCCCACTGCAATTGAATTTCGTCTTTCCAATGACGATGTTCCAACCTCATACAAAAACAACCTGAATCTAATTACTGCTTTTGTGGTGTAAATCTTTAATAAATGAACTCGTTTGTAATCTGTCGCAAAATTACACTGTTCACATTTGAAGTCCTTAAAAGTCTTATGCTTAAAGTGGTGTTTCAAGTTCAAGAAGATTCAAAAATGATTTTTTTTTAATTCAAAAACTAGTTTTTTGTCGATTTTTGTCATTTGAACCGTTTCTGAATTTAAATCTTTTTTGAAATGTTGTGAATATTATCTTTCTCACGCTATATTTTCGAAGAGAGAATTAATATTCTTTTTTGGAGCACTAACAATTACGGAGTATCGAAAATGGCGAACAGAGGGCGTAACATTCTTTATTCACATTTTTAAAGAGAACCAGTTTATCTATCATTTTCGTAAAAACAAAAACTCTGTTATTTCAAAAACAAACATGGCGTGGGGCGTTCAATTGTTTTTGCAATAACCTGCTTTAACTTCTTAACCGTTTGACCGATTTTAACAAATTTGATATGGTTGCAAAGAGCATTCCTTGGGCAATAAGAATCAAAATATAGTTAATTTAGCTGAATCCTTCTCCGCCAGGGGGCTAGTTTTGACACTATGACCCAAAATCCTAAAAAATAAAAAAAAATCAAATGGAATGCTATGACTTTTTCTTTATGAAAAAGTAGCCAAATAGCGTCCAAAGAGGCCAGTGAAAACCGTTTTTCAAAATCTCATTCCTAACCTCAAATATTGGGAAAATGAGCTTAATTAATTGATTAATTATTTAATTAAAATGCTTAATTCTTAAATTTACTTTTTACGTATTTCCGGTATTTGTTGTTGGCGCGAAAGAAAACCACCCTATACTTTTAGGTAGGCCTTGGAAAATTAAACAAATGAAACACGATTCATTATAAAATAATAACAGCCGGAAGAAGTTGAAGCAGGTTATTGCAAAAACAATTGAACGCCCCACGCCATCTTTGTTTTTGCAATAACAGAGTTTTTGTTTTTACGAAAATGATAGATAAACTGTTTTTCTTTAAAAATGTGAAAAAAGAATGTTTAGTTTATTATGCGAAATTTGAAGAAAATGCAATTTTAAAATTTAAGATGGCAGTTACGCCCTCTGTTGGTCATTTTTAGAACTTGAAAATATTTTCCAGCGATTCTTCATGACCGATTTACCCAATAATTTTTTTACCCCTCAGTCATATGACGAACGGTTCTCGAGATATGGCCGAGGAACTGTCCTATTGGGTCACCCGGTACATAGTAGGTAATGGTTGCCCGAAGATTTTAAAAATGAATTATCCGGATCACAGAAATGCAAGTAGGTGTAAATGGGTGGTAACTGCTTGCTTTCTTTTAGAACACGACCTCCTCATTTATCTTTTCCCTCTAGAACCTTTTATTTTCAGAGATCTCTTGTTTCTTTTCACCAAAGGACCTTGAAATCTCTTGAGTATTTGGAAAGCATTTAGGAGACGTCGACCATTTTATTCGGTTAGCTCTGGAAAGAGTGTAAGCACAATAAACTTTATTTATATCTATGTTATTATAGACAACATAATACTTGAACATTCAGTTTCATTTTCATGCGACACAATGTCGCCGTTACATGACATTTTAGAAACAAGCTGTCAGGATTTTTCATGTACATACGTCCAAATGGGTTTGTCCATCGAATGTACGTGACGGTCTGGGCGGGCGTAGGAGAGTAAATAATGAAAGTTATCGTATTATTCTTGCACAACAAATGATGGTCAACAAAAAGGTCATATTCATGTGACATATACAGATAAAGTGTGATAAATTGGGAAATGAGTAAATTAATTGCAAGCGTCCCAGCGTGGGATACCTAATTACCCTCATTTACATACAAAATCAAACGAAGTAAGTCCCTTCCAAACAGTCCCGTTTAAACTCTTCGGCGACTGACAGGTGACCGTACCCTCGTCGTACTTGTAGTACCAATCCCGAAAACGTCTCAAGCTGCAGTCGCAGTCCCACGGGTTACCCTCAAGGCGGAGCGTGACCAGCTGCCTCTGCTCCTTGAAGACGGTCTCGTTCAAGTTCTTCAGTTGGTTGTTGCGAAGACTGATCACCTGTAGGCCGGTCGCCTCGATCAGGGCGTTCGGGTGAATCGAGTCGATCTCGCACCTCTCCAGGTGTAACTGACGCAGCAGCGGCGAGGAGAGGAAGTTGTTCGGTTCGAGACGCCTCAGAGGGTTACCGTTGAGGTTGAGGTGGAGCACCCATCTCGGTATCGTGCCCGGTCGCATCGTCGCCAGCTTGTTGTCGGATAGGTCGAGCTTACGCAAATTCGTGACCCCTCTGAACGCGTCCTCGCCGATCTCGCTGATCTTGTTCGCGTGGAGGTCCACCGTCTGCAGGTTGAGGAGGTCGACGTCCCTGAAGACGTTGTCGGGCAGTCGCGCGAGGGAGTTGTGCGAGAGGTCCAGTTCTTCGCTGTCGGGGTCGAGGGTGCGCGGGATCGTCTTGAGATTCACGTTCGAACAGCTCGCCGTGCTCTTCTTGTCGATCAGCTTGCAAGAGCACGGCGATTCGCAGAGCGAACGCACCGAAATTACGGAGCAGAAGAGGAGCGCGCCAAGAAATAACGTCGACATCATCGCGGTCGAGATCTGTACTGAGTAAACTGGTTTGAACTCTCATTGTCATTGCATAAGTTGGCCTTGGAAATTATTGCGCTTTATCTGGAATTGGAAGTTTGGCTTTGAAGTTATTGCTAAAGCGCGGTATCCAAATGTGTAGCGTGTGTTGCCTATACGCCAGGGTGTGTAGTTTTAGTGCAATAGGGGAAAATAGCCAAATCATGTAATGGTGGAAGGTGGTTGACAATTCTTTTTGGGCTAGGTGTTTCACAATAATCTTTTCCCGTTGATACCCTTTTGGTTCTTTGAGCCGGATACAAGAACATGTAATAAAAAATAGTATCAGGCCATGGAATGGTGGGAGTGTTGCGATCTGTGGAAGATGTAGCGCTTCCAGTCGTCATTTACCTGAATGTTTAGGCCATATTTGTTGGTTTTTTTGCGCTATTTCGTTACACTTAAATTTTTGCGCTGGTTTGTGCCGTTAAAATCAGATTTTACGCCAAAATCTGTCACTGGAGTTGACGTTGCTGTGTGCAGTTTATAATTCTTTCCTATCTTTTTGGTTCTTGTGATCCTGATACGAGAATATTTGTATAAGAAAACCGGGAGTTCTAGTACCTCCCAGAGCCTCCGATGCTACGTTCTCTAACAAAACGTTCACTTCTATGTGCTGAAAGTATATTTTGGGGGAGAACGTAGAAATACCCCCCAGCCAGTCCACCCAATTTTGTTAGTTGTAAAAAAAGGAACGTGGGAGATAAGATTTTCGTGTACCGGAGCGATGTGGCGGGTGGTAATCCACCCCCCCCCCCCCCGCCGGACCCATCGGTGCAACCGATGTTCTTCAACAAGACGTTCACTCGGAAAAGTTTACGTGAAATTATGGTAGAAATTCTAAAAGCACTAAGTATGGGGGATGGGGGGGGGGGGGGTCGGAATACGCCCCCAGCCAATACCGCCCCAGTATGCGCGTCCAGTATTTTTTTTATAATTGTAAGAACGGGTACGAGATCTCCCAGACCCAGGTGCAACCGACGTTCTCTTTCTAAAAATTATGGTGGAAATGCTAAAAGCACTAAATATAAAATTGGAATTGGTGGCACTAAACATTTTGACTGGCCAGGGGGTCTGGGGGGTATGGAATACCTCCCAGTCATACCACCGCAGTATACGAAAATTGTATAATAGTTGTAAGAAAATTTACGTGGGGGTGGGAGATATGATTTTCATGTACTGGAGCGAGGTGGCTGGGGGTATTTCAGTCCCCTCCCCCCACTCTCCCAGTGCAACCGACCTTCTCTCACAAGACATTAACGTTTACATGAAATGGTCTCTTTCTAAAAATTATGGTGGAAATGTTAAAAGCACTACGTATTTTGACTGGTCGCGGGAGGGGGGTTAGGAGGTATGCCAATACCTCCCAGCCATACCGCTTCAGGACCCTAAAATTGTATGACAGTTGTAAGACAAGGTACGTGGGCGATATCATTTTCATGCACATGGGCGGTGTGGCGGGGGGAGGTATTGGAATAACCCCCTCTGACGCCCCGGTGCAACCGACGTTCTTTCACGAGACGTTCACTCCTAAAAGTTTACATGCAATGGTCTTTTTCTAGCAATTATGGTGGAAATGCTAAAAGCACATTAAACATTTTTGGTGACCGGGGGTTCTGGGGCGAACGTGGGAGATAAGATTTTCGTGTCCGGTGCTGGGAGGGGGGGGGGGGCTAAAACGTTAACTTAAAAAATTGTGCCAGGAGAATATAATGCGATAGGAGATGTCTGACAATATTTTTTCCTAATCAAATCTCGTTACGGACATTTGAGCCTGACAGCAAAATTTGTGTCAAGTATCAGGAGCCCATAATACCGATAGGTGATTCGTGATAATTTTTTCCTTTCCTTTTTGGGTTCTTGCGATCCTTCTACCAGGATTTAAAAAAAGTGCTTCCTATTTACACATTTTTGGTGCATTTTTTAAGAATAAAAATTGTTTGCGTCTGTCCGTCCGTCCGTCCGGACCCACTTCTACTGTTTTGAACTACTTCTAGGGGAATGGTCCTAGAGTCCTGGAATGTATTGCAGTAGGTAGCCTATACCTTGAAGGTGTGCCAGACGGCCATTAAATTTCGCTG